ACGCCTCATGTACCTATATTGTGATGTGTTGTTACAGCCATACCCAGCCTGCTATGTTACCGTCACGCCTCATGTACCTATATTGTGATGTGTTGTTACAGCCATACCCAGCCTGCTATGTTACCGTCACGCCTCATGTACCTATATTGTGATGTGTTGTTACAGCCATACCCAGCCTGCTATGTTACCGTCACGCCTTATGTACCTATATTGTGATGTGTTGTTACAGCCATACCCAGCCTGCTATGTTACCGTCACGCCTTATGTACCTATATTGTGATGTGTTGTTACAGTCATACCCAGCCTGCTATGTTTACCGTCACGCCTTATGTACCTATATTGTGATGTGTTGTTACAGCCATACCCAGCCTGCTATGTTACCGTCACGCCTCATGCACCTATATTGTGATGTGTTGTTACAGTCATACCCAGCCTGCTATGTTACCGTCACGCCTTATGTACCTATATTGTGATGTGTTGTTACAGCCATACCCAGCCTGCTATGTTACCGTCACGCCTTATGTACCTATATTGTGATGTGTTGTTACAGTCATACCCAGCCTGCTATGTTACCGTCACGCCTCGCCTATGTACCTATATTGTGATGTGTTGTTACAGCCATACCCTGCCTGCTATGTTACCGTCACGCCTTTATGTACCTATATTGTGATGTGTTGTTACAGTCATACCCAGCCTGCTATGTTACCGTCACGCCTTATGTATATTGTGATATATTGTGATGTTGTTACAGCCATACCCAGCCTGTTGTTACAGCCATATATTGTTACCGTCACCCAGCCTGCTATGTTACCGTCACGCCTTATGTACCTATATTGTGATGTGTTGTTACAGTCATACCCAGCCTGCTATGTTACCGTCACGCCTTATGTACCTATATTGTGATGTGTTGTTACAGCCATACCCAGCCTGCTATGTTACCGTCACGCCTTATGTACCTATATTGTGATGTGTTGTTACAGCCATACCCAGCCTGCTATGTTACCGTCACGCCGCCTTATGTACCTATATTGTGATGTGTTGTTACAGCCATACCCAGCCTGCTATGTTACCGTCACGCCTTATGTACCTATATTGTGATGTGTTGTTACAGCCATACCCAGCCTGCTATGTTACCGTCACGCCTTATGTACCTATATTGTGATGTGTTGTTACAGCCATACCCAGCCTGCTATGTTACCGTCACGCCTTATGTACCTATATTGTGATGTGTTGTTACAGCCATACCCAGCCTGCTATGTTACCGTCACGCCTCATGTACCTATATTGTGATGTGTTGTTACAGCCATACCCAGCCTGCTATGTTACCGTCACGCCTTATGTACCTATATTGTGATGTGTTGTTACAGTCATACCCAGCCTGCTATGTTACCGTCACGCCTTATGTACCTATATTGTGATGTGTTGTTACAGCCATACCCAGCCTGCTATGTTACCGTCACGCCTTATGTACCTATATTGTGATGTGTTGTTACAGCCATACCCAGCCTGCTATGTTACCGTCACGCCTTATGTACCTATATTGTGATGTGTTGTTACAGTCATACCCAGCCTGCTATGTTACCGTCACGCCTTATGTACCTATATTGTGATGTGTTGTTACAGCCATACCCAGCCTGCTATGTTACCGTCACGCCTTATGTACCTATATTGTGATGTGTTGTTACAGCCATACCCAGCCTGCTATGTTACCGTCACGCCTTATGTACCTATATTGTGATGTGTTGTTACAGCCATACCCAGCCTGCTATGTTACCGTCACGCCTTATGTACCTATATTGTGATGTGTTGTTACAGCCATACCCAGCCTGCTATGTTACCGTCACGCCTTACGTCACGCCTTATATTGTGATGTGATGTGTTTTACAGCCATACCCAGCCTGCTATGTTACCGTCACGCCTTATGTACCTATATTGTGATGTGTTGTTACAGCCATACCCAGCCTGCTATGTTACCGTCACGCCTTGTACCTATATTGTGATGTGTTGTTACAGCCATACCCAGCCTGCTATGTTACCGTCACGCCTTATGTACCTATATTGTGATGTGTTGTTACAGCCATACCCAGCCTGCTATGTTACCGTCACGCCTCATGTACCTATATTGTGATGTGTTGTTACAGTCATACCCAGCCTGCTATGTTACCGTCACGCCTCATGTACCTATATTGTGATGTGTTGTTACAGCCATACCCAGCCTGCTATGTTACCGTCACGCCTTATGTACCTATATTGTGATGTGTTGTTACAGCCATACCCAGCCTGCTATGTTACCGTCACGCCTCATGTACCTATATTGTGATGTGTTGTTACAGTCATACCCAGCCTGCTATGTTACCGTCACGCCTCATGTACCTATATTGTGATGTGTTGTTACAGCCATACCCAGCCTGCTATGTTACCGTCACGCCTTTTGCACCTATATTGTGATGTGTTGTTACAGCCATACCCAGCCTGCTATGTTACCGTCACGCCTCATGTACCTATATTGTGATGTGTTGTTACAGCCATACCCAGCCTGCTATGTTACCGTCACGCCTTATGTACCTATATTGTGATGTGTTGTTACAGCCATACCCAGCCTGCTATGTTACCGTCACGCCTTATGTACCTATATTGTGATGTGTTGTTACAGCCATACCCTGCCTGCTATGTTACCGTCACGCCTTATGTACCTATATTGTGATGTGTTGTTACAGCCATACCCAGCCTGCTATGTTACCGTCACGCCTTATGTACCTATATTGTGATGTGTTGTTACAGCCATACCCAGCCTGCTATGTTACCGTCACGCCTTATGTACCTATATTGTGATGTGTTGTTACAGCCATACCCTGCCTGCTATGTTACCGTCACGCCTTATGTACCTATATTGTGATGTGTTGTTACAGCCATACCCAGCCTGCTATGTTACCGTCACGCCTTATGTACCTATATTGTGATGTGTTGTTACAGCCATACCCAGCCTGCTATGCCGATGAAAGTGCGACTCGGGATGTTGGGAATCTTTGTTCATAATATCAATCCCTGGATTGTTGGAAACAGACTCGATTATACAATATTGGATTCGGCATTTAATAACCAACAATAAATAACCAACAAAAGCAAGAATAATACCAGTTATCACTGAAGTGTTTCCCTGAAAGAGATCGGCCATTTCAGATAACCTGGTAACAGTACCACCTTTCAGGCGTAGTATTTTATTAGTGTAGGGTATTATACAACCTTCCCAGTGGAGTCAGTCTAGAATTGTCGTCCTCCAGCAAGGCGTTGACTTTGCGGACGTATTTGTCTACGGGAATACGGCTCCCAAACCATGCATAACGAGCCACAAAGGGAGCGCGTTCTAGCCTAGGTACAATCCCTTTCATATAATTCTCAACACGGGTGATGGAGGTGGTGAGGGGACAAGCAAACTCCGTCAACCAGATCCGTTTCTTGTAACGCTTGTGGACTGTCTCCAGGAACCGCATGTCGTTCTCGACGCCGCAGGTGTAGGTGTGAACGGCAACGAAGTCGACTTTACAGCCAGTGCACTCTTTGAAGAACTCGTCCAGCCACTGAAGGTTCTCCATCAGGCAGTTGGTGCCGTTGATGTTACATCGGGCTGGGGCGGGACTGATGAGCGACTTGCCCAAAGCTGCAGATTCTATTTGAGGCCAGTGTGAAGCAGCTACTTGGGGTGTCATGTGGCCTGGATGGTTCTCGTTGGGTTCGTTGACGCCGAGGACGTGGGTTGCGAAGCTCGGTATGTGTAGTTGGTGGAAATTAGCTAAACCCCTGATCATGGGTACAAACTCTCCTCTAGACCGGCATCCCATTGTGTGGTCATTGTTGTACTGGAGGGTCCAGCTGTACCTGGTGTGGAGAGGTCAAGGGAGTGAGTGGGTGAGAGGGTGAGAGAGGATGAGAGGGTGAGTGGGTGAGTTGGTGAGAGGTGAGTAGGAAGGTGAGTCGGTGAGTGAGAGGGTGAGTGAGTGACAGAGGGTGGGGGGTGAGGTGGGTGAGGAGAGTGGGTGTGAGAGTGAGAGGAGTTGAGTGGGTGGGTGGAGAGGGAGGGTGATTAGGTGAGAGAGTGGGTGAGGTTGGGGTGGGTGAGTGAGTGAGAGGGTGAGTGAGAGGGTGGTGAGTGAGAGGGTGGTGAGTGAGAGGGTTGGTGAGTGGGTGAGTGAGAGGGTGAGTGAGAGGATGGGTGAGAGGGTGATTGGGTGAGTGAGTGGATGAGTGGATGAGATGTTGCCTCTAACCGGGCATACATTGTGTGGACAGTGTTGTACTGTAGGGTCCAGCTGTACCTGGTGTGGAGAGTCCACTGGTACATTGGCCTTAACCCACCCTCCAAAACGCAATCCATTAACTCAACAACTTGTAGAATGCTGATCAAACAATTACCATTTGACACCTCCGGCTACAGGAGAGATTTGTCTACAAAACTGCAGCTGAAACATTATGCCCACATGCAATATGTCTTGATGCTGAATCCAAAACCATTCCACCCCACCCGACCCTACCTTACATCACGACACCATACCCACCTTGCCTCAAAACATCCACCCTATCCCCCACCCGACATCAGCCATCGTACCCCACCACACCACCCTACCCATATCACCTCGACACATCCACCCCACACACCCCTACCCCACCCGACCCCACCCCACATCACGACACCATACCCAACTCGCCTCTAAACCGCCCCACACACCCCTACCCCACCACACCCCACATCACGACACCATACCAACCTAACCTCAAAACACGCACCCTATCCCATCACACATCGCCCCAACGGACATCAGCCATCCTACCCCACCCTACATCACACCACCCTACCAACCTCACATCCACACGCCCACCCCACCCCATCCAACAACAATATGATAATATCAGTCTTGACCCTTGCCTGTAACCACCGATATGCCACTAAACGAGCCTGAAGCTATGTGGTTACAAAACGTTAGATAACACGACAACACACGTACCACCAGTGGATGTCCCACATCGTCTCGGTGTCGTTGCAGTGGTAGTTATCCATGCTGATGCCGATGCCCTTCTTTGGTGTTGTCACCACTGTAGCGATCAGTCCGGCCACACAGGTAACGATGGCAACCGTCCACGTCATAGCGGTGCTTTCTGAAAATTTGAAAACATGTATTAGACTGCGCAACATCTTGGTGAAATCACAGCCATATATATACAGACCAGTTATATTCGGACACTTGACGTCATTTCCATGGACTTACATGTTATTTCAGTGTAGCATAAATAATGTTCATGAGGTGACTTTAGGATAGATCTTTGTAAAATTTGACTGGCAAATTTGAAATTATCTCTGCTCTGCGCACATAATTTCAGTTCAGTTTTCCGACCACTATTCAACTAATGACATCACATTTATCAACTTACCTGTAGTTTCACATTGTGCACAATCCCATAGGCCGCCACGTTAAAGGAGTTCACGGCCCTGTGCATATGTTGATTAAATTGTTGCCATTCGATAGATAAGCAACGGAAAATTAAACAGAAATTATGTGATTGTAGGTAAGATGATTCCTCACAAATGTGCAAAATTTGACTTGGATCATACGAAAATTAAATTCATGAAAATTATTTATACTACACTAAATTAACATGTAAGTCTATGGAAGTTACGTCAAGACTTAAGTGCCCAAATATAACTGGCACGGGTCTGTAGAGCAGGCTGTGCAAAAGTCGTAATCGAGGCGACATGAATAATAAACAAACACTTTAAATTCATTAATCTGTAGTTCTTTAAGCAAACAGTTATGTATAATGGAAGTGTATGCGAATATAGCCGAATCCAAAAGTTGAGTTGAGTTTTACGTCGCATCGCATTATCTCAGCTACATAGCGACCAGACCCAGCCCACATACATGGACATTTTAATCCAAAAGACCAAAGTTCTATAAAATGTGGAAGCAAACGACTGAACCTTGCAGTTAAGTTTACCATAGGTATATTAGCCATTATCTTACCTCACACATAAATGTCGCTTTCTGATTGGCTGAGCGCTCTTCTATTTTTTTCAATGTACCCCGCTTACAAGCGAGTAACATTTCAATGTACCCCGCTGTCAATGGCAACTCATTTGGTACTTCGTGGTAGTAATTCTTTATCTCGAATAACATTGAATCACGTAATATGTATGGAAATTACCGGTGTTTTGCGAATGCAAATCGATGGAAGGGAGATAACTCTAAATCTGTTTTTCTTGTCCGCAAAATCTAGCGATGGTATACAAAACGATTTGTACCCGTGCTTCAAACAATTCAAAATTAACATTAAGGTGTTCAGTAAGATAAATACGTTGTTCACTGGTCCCTCGGGGCCCATGGGTTGATGTACCCTCGATGTTTGTTTATGTTCCCTGAGCCCTTCGGGCTCAAAGAAATAAGAATGAAACAACTCGCAGCTACCAAGACGAGGGGAACATAAACAAACATCGAGGGTACATCAACCCATGCCCCCCTCGTGACCAGTGAACAACTTATATTGATGTATCTCAAGTAGCGATACTAGCGAAGTGACTAGTCATATATAAAGAATATAATCTGAAGTGTCAGTATATGTGTGTTTCCATGGTTACAAATATACCGTATATAGGAATACATTCCCTGGCGGGGCGGTGAGGTAGCAAGGTGGTTAACGCGTTCGCTCGTTATGCCGAAGACCCGGGTTCGATTCCCCACATGGGTACAATGTGTGAAGGCCATTTCTGGTGTCCCCGCCGTAATATTGCTGGAATATTGCTAAAAGCGGCGTTAAAATAAACTCACTAACTCACATTCCCTGGCATCTCTATTGATGGAATTATTATCATACATGGTTGCACAAACCCGAACATTATAAACATTATACTCACATGGAATCAGTCCTTACCCACAGTAAACACTATCTCTGTGTTAGGTCGGGCTGTTAATAATCAGAGACCGCAAGACAGCTCGTAGACTGAGTCCAGTGTGCCGCTGACTGCAGATCTTTCAGGTCACGATAGCATATATTCGGCCAAATTCTGACATTTCTGACAAAATGGCCGCACCTCCATCCGGGTAGTTCAGCTATCTCCGTCCCTAGAATAAAATGCAGAAACATTTTTACATGTGTTTCAGGGCAACTGACGTAAGATCGTGTCTGACCAAACTGTGTCTGACCTTCGCTTATCTGCCCACTCGCCAGCCCTGTAAACGCAACAGATGCGTCCTTCGTCCTATCAGCGCTTTTACTCATACTAGGTAGGTACTTGGTTTATTCTGGAGAGTAATTGCTCGATTTTGTCAGCAGTATTTCTGCTGGCCAGTAATGGGTTTGATTATAATTATGCTTCGTGTTTGTGTTGGACCTATCCATAAAATTTGGTATGATAAAGCTTCTGTTAGCAAAAGATATAAATCTAGTGGCACCTCGTGATTGACATGTCTTCCATTACACTAACTTTGGCATTGTCTTTGGAAGAGGTTACTTGATAAGAGGATGAAGAAGATGACGATGACGTGAGTGTGTACGCGCGCGTGTGTGTGTGTGTGTGAATGTATGCGTCTTTGCTCGTTTGTAGGTTTGTTTGGTTGTTCAAGTCCAGCCCTTGTTTTACGATCTTAATGTCGACCGAGAGGTAGCTAACATGAAGTACTATATTTGACCGTCATGACTCGGAAATCACAGGCGTTCTGTCCACTCGACCAGGTGGTCGTTTGTAAGAAAAATTCATCCAAACAGAGCTTTACTGAGTTTGATACATTGACAGATGGCTTGTCATAGACACAGGTGGGCCAGAACTGGCAGGGGTACACTTAGGACATCACATTGTATTCTCGGGAGGCCCTTATAATGGTTAAGATAAATGCGTCAACATGTCCTGAAGAATAAATTCCTAGATTCACTTGTAAATATCAGGGTGGGGGAAACTAGAACTGAGCCTGACGAGCGAACACTTTAACCACTAGGCTACCGCCGAGGTGGGGTGAATATCAGGGTGGGGAAAACTAGAACTGAGCGTGACGAGCGAACACTTTAATCACTAGGCTACCGCCGGGGTGGGGTGAATATCAGGGTGGGGAAACTAGAACTGAGCGTGACGAGCGAACACTTTAGTTCGCTCAACACACTGGATATCCGGGTTCGATTCCCCACATGGGCACAATGTGTGAAGCCCATTTCTGGGGTCCCAAGCCGTGATATTTCTGAAATATTGCTAAACGCGGCGTAAAACTAAACTCACTCACTACAGACCATCACGTGTGAAATGTCTACTGACCATCACGTGTAAACTGTCTACTTTGTCTAAACTGTCTACTGACCATCACGTGTAAACTGTCCACTCTGTCTAAACTGTCTACTGACCATCACGTGTAAACTGTCTACTCCACTCTGTCACGTGTAACTGTCTACTGACCATCACGTGTAAACTGTCCACTCTGTCTAAACTATCTACTGACCATCACGTGTAATCTGTCTACTGACCATCACGTGTAAACTGATCACGTTCTTGCTGCAGGTATGACTGGGGCACGAATGACAACAAGCATCACGAGCTCGGCTGTCAGGGCGAGCCCCGAGGGGAGTTCGTGCCCATGGTCTGGGGCTACTGGGGTCAGAAGATGAACTTCCCAAGCTCCACCCACAACGTGCTCGGCTTCAACGAACCCAACCACAAAGACCAGTCCCACATGACCCCTCAAGCTGCTGCCACGCACTGGCGGGAGCTCCAAACAGCGGCCCACGGGATGTCCCTTGTCAGTCCGGCCCCAGCTCGATGTGGCAGTGTTGGGGGACTATGCACAGAGGAAACTTACAAATGGCTGGATGACTTCTTCAAAGCTTGCAGCGGCTGTCAAGTCGACTACGTGGGCGTCCACAGCTACACCTGCAACGCTGACAACGACATGAGGTTCCTGGAGACTGTGTACCATCGGTACCACAAGAAGGTGTGGCTGACGGAGTTCGCCTGTCCCTATTCTTCCTCCCTTGCGCACATTGAGAACTACATGAAAGCCATCATCCCTCGACTAGAGGCTGCGCCGTTTGTCGCACGTTACGCATGGTTCCAGGCCCGAATAACGCAAGGCAATAACTTCATCCACAAAGAGAACGCTCTTCTCGAAGCTAGCTCATCCAAGCTGACAGCTCTTGGGAGATTGTATAATTCTCTTCATTAGGGGTTTCAATACATTTGCTACAATGTGTTATGTTTCATTTTTATTCAATTATCATGATATTGATTATGGTCCTTGGATTGTCTGAGTCGTTATTGCCAACTTTTGATCCCTTCCTAAGGATTTCAATAGTTTTGGTACAATTTGCTACAATAAGGAACCCTTTCCGACGCTTAGGGTTAGGGTGTGGAGTTAGGGTCTGTACCCTTTCCGATCATTAGGGTTAGGGTGTGGAGTTAGGGTCTGTACCCTTTCCGACGCTTAGGGTTAGGGTGTGGAGTTAGGGTCTGTACCCTTTCCGAATAAAGGGTTGGGGCCGCGTGGTTTCAGAGATGCCTCAATCATAGATGTTTACAATGAACGAACACTCGGACAGAAGGGGCCATGACATAAGCCTTTTGGACCTTCACCCGTGTGTGGAGTAATAACGATCTGTGGGCGGAGCATGATTTTCCTCCTTGCAGTATTCATCTCATATCAAAGATGTGGACATAAAAGGAGGAAATCAATATTAAGCGGTACCTCGAAACGAGCACCTTGTGGTATGAGTATATACTTCAAATACTTTAAATCCCTCATCCTAACAGAATACTCGAATTACGCTGACTGGTGTTAACTATATAATCGACACAGTCCAACACAGGAGAGGTGTTTTAACCAGCTGGGCCTGTAGTTTTTGCTTATCCACAAATCCTGCAACTCATCCACAAATCACGATGTCCACATCCACAAATTGTACATCCACAAATCACGATGACCACATCCACAAATTGTACATCCACAAATCACGATGTCCACATCCACAAATTGTACATCCACAAATTGTACATCCACAAATCACGATGACCACATCCACAAATTGTACATCCACAAATCACGATGCCCACATCCACAAATTGTACATCCACAAATCACGATGACCACATCCACAAATTGTACATCCACAAATCACGATGACCACATCCACAAATTGTACATCCACAAATCACGATGACCACTTCCTGAAGCAACAGCGATCACCACGCGATCTCATTTGTGTGTGTGTTGTTTAATGCTCCTCTCAGCAATATTCCAGATATATAATCAAGTCTGAATCAGACAATACAGTGTGCAACAACATGGCCATCGATCAACGCAATTGGGATACCATAACATGTCAACCAAGTAAGTGAGCAGGACCACCCGATTCCGCGAGTCGCCTCTTACCACAACCATGGGTTGCTGAAGGGTTTAGTTTCAGGGGTTAGGGTGTGGTACCCTTTCCGATCCTTAGGTTTAGGGTGTCGGGTTAGGGTCTGGTACCCTTTTCGATCCTTTGGGTTAGGGGGTAGGGTTAGAGTCAGGTACCCTTTCCGATTATTAGGGTTTAGGGTCAGGGGTTAGGATCTGACTCCCTTTTCGATCCTTGAGGTTAGGGTGTGGGATTAAGGTGAGGTATCCTTTCCAATCCTTAGGGATAGGGTGTGGGGTTAAGGTCTGGTACCCTTTTCGATCCTTTGGGTTAGGGGGTAGGGTTAGAGTCAGGTACCCTTTCCGATTATTAGGGTTTAGGGTCAGGGGTTAGGATCTGACTCCCTTTTCGATCCTTGAGGTTAGGGTGTGGGATTAAGGTGAGGTATCCTTTCCAATCCTTAGGGATAGGGTGTGGGGTTAAGGTCTGGTACCCTTTTCGATCCTTAGGGTTAGGGTGTGGGATTAAGGTGAGGTATCCTTTCCGATCCTTGGGGTTATGGTGTGGGGTTAAGGTCTGGTATCCTTTCCGATCCTTAGGGTTATGGTGTGGGATTAAGGTGAGGTATCCTTTCCGATCCTTAGGGTTAGCGTGTGGGATTAAGGTCTGTATCCTTTCCAATCCTTAGGGTTGTGGTGTGGGATTAAGGTGAGGTATCCTTTCCGATCCTTAGGGTTAGGGTGTGGGATTAAGGTCTGGTACCCTTTCCGATCCTTAGGGTTAGGGTGTGGAGTTAAGGTTAGGGTCTGATACGCTTTCCGATCCTTGGGGTAAGGGTGTGTGGTGCTTTATATTTGGTCTTCGGAGGTGGGATTACCTAAAGATATACTCAGTCTGCTATTTGTATATATTTCACCTGAAATCTCCCCTGTGTATGAAAACAAATCAAACGGTGGTATATCACTGTTAGACTCTGACCTAGAAGACATTACTTTTACATATCCTGATACTATTATATTCCTTGCTGGGGATCTTAATGCACGGATAACAACATTCCTTGATTATATACCCAATGGCACACTTGATTATATATTTGAGGAAGATGATTCATATCCCGGTGACAATTTTGATATGCCACTTTGCACACCTGACTCTGTGACATTCAATAATTATGGAAGGAAACTTGCAAAGTTCTGCTGTAGATACAGCATCCACACTCTCAACGGTTATTCGATGATAAAAGCGGAAATTGTACTTGTGCCACGCACAACGGGGCAAGTGCAGTGGATTACATGCTCGCCAACACTGAACTTTTTTAAAACTTCACTGACTTAAGTACCCTGCACAGAGATGAATCGATCCATTTTCAGTTATACTGCTCCTGGTGTATCAATGTAGAGAATAACTTGGACAGAAATGAACAAATTCCCCATGAAGATGATGAAGCGTGCATAAAATATGTCAAATACTTATGGGATGTGTCTCAATGCAGTGACTGACTGACTGAGTTTGGTTTTACGCCGCTTTTAGCAATATTCCAGCAACATCACGGCGGGGGACACCAGAAATGGGCTTCACACATTGTACCCATGTGGGGATTCGAACCCGGGTCTCGGCGTGACGAGCCAACGCTTTGACCACTAGGCTACCCCACCGCCCCTGTCTCAATGCAATAAGTTTCTCTGTAACTTCCAAAGTGTATTTATTCTTATGAAAATGTGATGAACTAAACAGTATAATGGAAACGCATATTGAGGAGGCGATGGCAATTCTCACTAGTATTTATCAAACTGCAACTAACTTCACAAAATCCAAGTACAGACGAAAGGGACCTGAAGTGACACAATGCAATCAAAGGGAAAATAACACTTCCAAGTAATGACCGAAGTATGGAATACTGTAAGGGACATTCTCGCGATCTCGCATTCTCGCACTTTTAGCATTTTTACCTTGTTTCCAAAGGCCGAGATCGCGAGAATGTCCCTTACACTATTCAATACCGTAGCGCTTGTAAAATACAATACTAAGGTTGGGGTCAAAACTATAGTCTGTTTGCAGTGAAAACGTACCGATGAATTTCAATTTAAACATAAATGTAAATCAAATAAAGTGAAATTAAGATTGCGAATCCTCATAATTTTACCTTGCCATTTGAACGTTTAAATCTGAGAATTTCATTCAACTTAGGATAAAAGTTGTTTAACAAATGATCATAGTTTCAAATCGTTATTATTGGTTTGTATTACACGGGGGTATGCACATTAAATGAAACACCGAGAACAAGAGAGTTGGTCTAAGTTAACGCTCATCACGTACCGCACGTGCATTTGTTTCACTGTTCCATCTATTGCGCTTACCCCTTTGTAATACAAACCAGTAATAGCGATTTGAAACTATGATCGTTTGTTAAACAACTTTTATCTTAAGTTGAAAAAAAATCTGAATTTTAAATGTTCAAATGGCAAGGTAAAAATTATGAGGATTCGCAATCTTAATTTCACTTCTTTTGATTTACATTTTTGTTGAAAGTGAAATTCATCGGTACGTTTTCACTGCAAACAGACTATAGGGTTGGGATGGGTAGGAAATAATGGAATCGAGTACCCGCATTTATTACCCACGAGGTCAACGTATTGGTAGTTGCATACTAGTCTCGTACGTCACAAAAGTGTCGTATCGCGTTGACCAGTGTCGTAACGACTTGACCTGAGATTCTAACGATTTGATTAGATAACCGATGACCTCTCAAATAGTTCACATTCTGACGTAACTATTTTTTCATTCATAACAAACACGTGAATACATTCATTCTACAACTTAAATGCATTGAGGGAATGTAAACATTGCGAACTTTGCCGTGTCGCTACATATGTTTAATTGTGAGTCGAACTGAGACATTATATCCGTCGAAAAACATACACGCAATGTTTCCACCAGTGATGTTAGCCGAATGAAGCAGCTGGAAACCAAGAAACGAGGTGCTACGGAGAAGTTTACTGTAGGACGCTGTACGAGGCGATGACAACTGACATGCATCGTGACGTCGGTTACCAAGGCAGTGACGTCAAAAATACGCTATTTTGTCAATTTAATGCATGTAAGACGTGGGTAATAAATAAAATACCACAGTCGGTCTCATTACATTCGAATTATACGAAACTCGTGACCTTCCTATGTTATCTGACCTCGCTTTCGCCCGGTCAGATACCATAGGAAGGACACTCGTTTCAGATAATTCGTATGTAATGAGACCTCGTGTAGTATTCTCTATGTACTTACCCGAATCGGAATCGAGTACCCGGAAATGTAAGGAATAAAGCGCTTCTGTCTACTCTCTGAATATTCAATCACGAGTTGACAGAGCTTTCTATAGAAAACTTGAAATGATGGCAAAAATACTCTGAAACTGAACTTAAGCTATTTAATATACGCCTATTTAACAAATATAGAGAGTAACACCATTCCTCGTTAAAACACAGGACTTTTCGTTACCGATGTTACTGCAACTTGACTCCTCACTGCTCATGCTCAGATATATTACAGTCGTTAATAATAACCTCCATTAATCGGACAATACAAATGATGCAAATGTGTGTTACGCAAATAATGAAAAGGACAAGTTATTATCTTCCCTTGCCATTACAGAGTTCTCTCCTTTTCCGGGTACTCGATTCCTAGAAATAGGACTCGATTCCAGCTGTACCCGACCCGGATTCGGGTACCCGAGTACCCGTCCCAGCCTTAATTTCACTTTAAACAAAAAAGTAAATCAAATAAAGTGCAATTAAGATTGCGAATCGTAATAATTTTACCTTACCAATTGAACATTTAAATCTCAGATTTTTATTCAACTTAGAATAAAAGTTGTTTAACAAACGATCATAGTTTCAAATCGCTATTATTAGTTTGTATTGGTTTGCCAAAAGAAAACAAACGTTTTCAAATCCTGCAAACAGTCGCAAAAACATTGTAAACGTATTGTCACAAACACGGGTGTTTATATATAATCGAACAACAATTTCTTTCATTTTAACCACCATCATCCGCCACCAGACGAAACTTTTGTCAACGACATGCGTCGTCAGACAGTCGGGTCACCCATAGTCATGTCCGTTTTCTCTAACCCGTGAAGTTCCAGGTTAGAACTGATCTTCAGTAACTCATGCTTGTCGTAAAAGGCCACTAACGGGATCGTGTGGTCAAGCTCGCTGACTTGGTTGACACATGTCATTGTATCCCAAATGCGTAGATCGATTCTCATGCTGTTGATCACTATATTGTCTGGTCTAGACTGGATTTTTTCCAGACCGCCGCCATATAGCTGGAATATTGGAACGTTTTAACCACTAGATTATGGTTGCTACTGGATTGTTGCATTCATCACAATAGAATAGAATTAATTAATACACCTTGGATATTCGAAGTCTTATATACTTTATGAGTGTTAATTCTCATATGATTCTAAGTCTAATATACTCATGCCAATAATGGTTGTCATCCCTCCCTCCCAGTCTAATAAAATAATTGAAGGTGGTGACAACCATTATCGGCATGAATATATTTCCACAGAACATCGTCAGCCGTAAGTCATATCTGGTACATATTAGTAGTCACAAAGTATGGAGAAAACAGTATTATGAATTGTGGAATTTATGCGGCCCCGTGAGCTCAATTCGGAATTTTAAATCAACCACGTACCATAATATCGGTATTTTCTTTGTGGTCTTGGTGCGAACCGCTATATCATGAGTTATCTCCCTTAGATACTTCCGGAATAATGCGGCCTGCATGGTGACTTGCAAACTTGAGACTGAAAGCAGTTTGAATTCTCCAACCTCCTCTGCCCTCTGAGGCACACCGGCGACATTTTACATTGTGTATACGACAGGAGATTTTTTGTTACAAAAGGAGGCGAAATAACTTTCACAACATGGTAAGATACTTATATTCTTTGTCAGTTTGAATCTCATCCATTTCTCACGAAACAAAATGAAAAACATCCACGTTCATACACTATGTTCAGTCAACGTGAATTGTTCGGATATCTCATAGCTTATTGAAAGGTAACACGTCATTGTTATGTGTTTTTGAAATAAGCTCCTATGCATTTTCTTCATTCATCGTATTGTGTGTACCATATTGAATAGTAGTGATCATCATTGATCATGTTGATGATTTGAAAATATTTCGAAGATACTATTTTACAGGTATTATGAATAGGAACCAATGCAATTTCCTAGTTTCTGCGTTTATGTTATTTAATGTTATATTAGCGGCATTTTCACTGATATTACTGGAATATTACAGCCTGCACCATGAAACTAACAAAACAAACAGTTCTGAAGACAACAAATGAGAGTATATTTTGGTCTAATTGGGATATTTATGATTTGTCAAACATCCCCATTAGACTGTACTGAAACCCTGCCGGTAAATCATGCGGTCATATGGATACAATATTTTGAGTTTTTTAAATTTGGGTTTTCACCACATAAATATAAATTTCCATCATGTTTATCTAACTGCCTATGTCTTTTCAGAGTATTCTGACTTACAATGGAGCCTCCATCATTGCCATGAAGGGCAAAGATTGTGTTGCCATTGCATCTGACCGGAGGTTTGGCATCCAGGCACAGACAATTAATATGGAGTTTGACAAGATCTTTGAGATGGGACCACATTTATATATCGGCCTACCAGGTCTAGCAACTGATGTGCAGACAATGTAAGTAGCTATGCAGTACAAGTATTCTGTTGTTAATCATGTTAATCATTATCTATAACTGTATCAGTTGCATGAATGTTTACATGGTAATAATTTGTTTACTTCTCTTAAAATTTAGTCATCTTAGAGAATGTAATAAGTTTACTGCTGGCTTAAGAACAAGCATTTCACTCTCATCCAAAATTAAGCCATTCCAACATACATTTGTACTAGTAAAAGATTGTCTCTCTTTCTCCACTACTTTCTTTTCTCTTGAGTTATATGCCACCATTGGAAATAACTGCTCTGTGAAATTACTCATCTTAAAGAATGTAATACATTCATTGCTGGTTGACTGAAAGGCATATCTCTCTCCACTACTTTATTTTATTCCTGAACTAAATGGCTACGTGGGTTGGCACGTTATGTTACTGGAATATGACAAGAATAATTTATATAGTGCATCTATATGTTTTTAGTGTGTTCAAATTCAATAATATGTATTCATCAATGTACTATACTTTTGTAGTTCACAAAGACTGAAATTCCGACTCAACTTGTACGAGCTGAGGGAAAATCGAAATATCAAGCCGAAGACATTCATGAGCATGGTGTCAAATCTGCTGTATGAAAGGAGGTGAGTCATACTTAACTCTAGACATTCTACAGTAACAGAGATTTGTATCATTTGGAAGTTTAATCTGACCTTTGGACATTAAGTAGTCCCTCACTAAAACTCTTAATAACAGTGTGGATAATTTATAGTCAGAGATCGCATAAACTTAAAAATTTCTACGGGATAACATCGAGCATGTCATTCATATATAGAGGTCAGAGGTCATTTCCAGCATGGAAATAGTCAAGCACAAAATAGTTTATGCCAAGTTAGATTTGGGTAAATGCAATTGTAAATGAAATACTGTTCAAATCAAGAGAAATTCACTTGTTCATGTATATTAACACTTTGTTTTCCTTCAAATCAATATGGACCTGTGAAGATCCGGGGAATAATAGGTCTTCAGCTACCCATGTGCTTGCCATAAAAGGCGACTATGCTTGTCGTAAGAGGCGACTAACGGGATCGGGTGGTCAGTTTCGCTGACTTGGTTGACACATGTCATCGGTTCCCAATTGCGCAGATCGATGCTCATGCTTGTTGATCACTGGATTGTCTGGTCCAGACTCGATTATTTACAGACCGCCGCCATATAGCTGGGATATTGCTGAGTGCGGGGTAGAACTAAACTCACTCACTCACTCAAATCAATATGTTGTTCCATGCAGGTTTGGACCCTACTTCGTTGAGCCTGTGATCGCAGGCCTTGATACCAAGACAGGAGAGCCATACATTGCATCCATGGATCTGATTGGTTGCCCAATGGAGACAGATGATTTTGTCGTCAGCGGGACGTGTTCAGAACAGATGTACGGGATGTGCGAGTCACTATGGGAGCCAGATCTGGTAAGTGATGCAGCCAGTGAAGTAAGAAGCAGTGTAATAGGTCAGTAGGTCAGATTCGCCACATGGGTACAGTGTGTGAAGCCCATTCTGGTGTCCCCCTCCGTGTTATTGCTAAACTCTAAACTCACTCACTCTAGTCCCCACATCTGTCCAATGTGTGAAGCCCATTTCTGGTGTCCCCCTCCGTGTTATTGCTAAACTCTAAACTCACTCACTCTAGTCCCCACATCTGTCCAATGTGTGAAGCCCATTTCTGGTGTCCCCCTCCGTGTTATTGCTAAACTCTAAACTCACTCACTCTAGTCCCCACATCTGTCCAGTGTGTGAAGCCCATTCTGGTGTCCCCCTCCGTGTTATTGCTAAACTCTAAACTCACTCACTCTAGTCCCCACATCTGTCCAATGTGTGAAGCCCATTTCTGGTGTCCCCCTCCGTGTTATTGCTAAACTCTAAACTCACTCACTCTAGTCCCCACATCTGTCCAATGTGTGAAGCCCATTTCTGGTGTCCCCCTCCGTGTTATTGCTAAACTCTAAACTCACTCACTCTAGTCCCCACATCTGTCCAATGTGTGAAGCCCATTTCTGGTGTCCCCCTCCGTGTTATTGCTAAACTCTAAACTCACTCACTCTAGTCCCCACATCTGTCCAATGTGTGAAGCCCATTCCTGGTGTATGTTGCCGTGATATTGCTGCGATATTTCTAAAATCGTTGTAAAACCAAACCATATACTGAATATATCTAGTAAATAACCAAAGTAACTGATCGGGAAAGGGACTTAGTTTTCCATTCCAACGTGATTCAATGCTCTCAATATCGATTGCTGGCTTTCTGGACCAGACTATTGATTATATTCAGATCGCTGTCATACTGCTGGGTGCAGCGTTTAACAACACAGATTCACGCTCATACATGCACACACACTGAGACTGAGTGTATCAGTGGGTTAGAGTAGGTCCAGTTATCTGTAAAACCATACTCACTCACTCAGATTATTTGTAAGACAGCCCTGGCTGCTTGGATACTTGCTGACAATATCCATCACCGGATTGTCTGGTCCAGATATTATTATTAGAAGGCGAGTATCATACAGCCAGAATATTGCTAAATGAAGCGTTGGACAACTAATGCACACACTCATAATGAGTGACATTCCATACTGTTTGTTTGTTTCTCATGTGCAATTTTCAAATGTCAAAATGTCAGCCTGTAAGAAAAAGAAATTAATACAAATATATGAAAGAAGCAAAAATTGTTTGTGGCAAAATGGATCTGTGAATATCCAGGTTAGAAGAAATCTCGATTGTTACAATTGTGACTATATCATGAGTATATACTTGTTTCAGCAACCCATGCTTGTCGTAAAAAGGTGACCTATGGGATCAGGTAGTCAGGCTCGCTGACTTGGTTGACACATGTCATCGGTTCCCAATTGCGTATATCGACGCTGATGCTGTTGATCTCTGGATTGTCTGGTCCAAACTCGATTATTTTCAGACCGCCACCATATAGCTGGAATATTGCTGAGTGCGGCCTAAAACTAAACTTCACTCACTCGTGGAAAAATGATTCACTGTTTATAAAGAGCAATGGTGGCAGTATAAATTTCTATGTAGAGAGTGTCAGTTTTAGGAGATATTGTGTTACTATAGGCATTGATATTTGCTAACTGGGCAAAACAGAATCCTCCTGAATCTGGCCACACAGACGAAGTGATGAAGTCAATGATGCATGTGAATATCTTTCTATATCTTGTCACAACCATGTGCACATATATATGGACCCACAGGACCAAATCCATATGTCTCTCAGTCACCTAAATATTCCTTGTTCATGTTGCTATCAGGCCCAAATCTAGCCCAAGCCAAATGTTCTCCATCCTTTTTGCTCATATATTTCATGTCTTACATTTTCAGGCTCCAGATGATCTGTTTGAGACAATATCTCAGGCATTGATGAATGCTTTTGACAGAGATGCTGTATCAGGTTGGGGCGGTGTTGTCTATATCATGTAAGTTTCACCTCTGAATATATCTAGTAAATACCCAAAGTAACACGTGATCAGGAAAGGGACATAGTTTTCCATTCCAGCATGACTCAATGCTCTCAGCATCGATCACTAGCTTTCTGGTCCAGACAACTGATTATATTCAGATCGCCGTCATGTTGCTGAGTGCAGCGTTGAACGCACGCACACACACACAGACTGAGTGTATCAGTGGGTTAGAATAGGTCCAGTTATCTGTTGAAATGGATCCCAACACACATGGTCAGGCTCAGGGACTAAGTTAATTGCCTTTGTTACCATGGTGACATGACTCAATGTTCTCAATATCAATCACAAGTTGTCTGGCCTAGACTCAATAATTTTTAGGCAGCCGTCATATAGGTGGAAAATGTGAGTGCAGCAATAACTTACAAACACACACACACACACATAATGATAGTGAATTTATGGGCTCAGAAAAAAACAAACTAGAATAGTGTGAAGCACAAGGATATTTATACTATTTTAGAAAATGTCTCCTTCTCTGTTTTCAGTGAAAAGGACAAGGTGACGAAGAAATTACTGAAGACTCGAATGGACTAGTCTTATTTCATGTATATTCAACAGTGTAATGTATTGCGTTGTCAGAAGGAACATCACTTGAAACTTCATCCACAATGTGGCATGTAATTCCATTTCATGTATTAAAACTCTTTAAACCAAATGTATGGCTTGTTTTATTTTAGAGCATACTGTTATTTTAGTATTTAACTAAAAAAGAGCATTTTCTGATATTCAGCACTTTCTATTGCTAAAGTCTGCGGGTTTCAACTCTGACTTGGTATATTTGTAGTCTTGAAGGAAGCGACAATATGACCAAAATCATCATCTTGTGGGACCACAGTAGGTCTAGGTAGACTTATATATAACAGGTAATTTGTATCGGATACATACCTATATACATACAAACCAGCTTTCAGATCACAGTCATCATGGAAGTGTATAGTAATCATTATCTGAGTAGTGATAATATCTGATTATTAATAGTACGTCATCCTATAATTAATCCTTGTGGGACCCCATTAGGTCAAGGTAGCCATATAACAGGCAATTTGTATTGAATACATACAGACATACATACAAACCAGCTTTCAAGTCGCAGTCATCATGGAAGTGTACAATAATCATTCTCCGAGTAATGACAATATCTGATTTGTAAAAGTACATTATCATATAATCATTTCATGTGAAACCACAGTAGGTCTAAGTAAGCTTACATGTAACAGGCAATTTGTATCGAATGCATAGATACATACATCCATAATCACCAGCTTTCCAGTCACAGTCATTCTGGAAGTGCACAGTAATCATTATCTGAGTAATTATAATATCTGATTAATGATAATACACCATCATATAATTATTCCATGTGAGACCACACTGAATCTGGGTAAACTTTGCATATTGCGTATTATTGTGCTAGGAGAATGTGGAGAGATGACCAAAATGTAAAAATATACTCGTGCCAATAATGGTTGTCACCCCCTTCAATTTTTTTAATTGGAGAGGGGGTGGGGGGGTTGGAGTGGGGAGGGGGTGACAACCATTATTGGCATGAGTATATTAGCTTGGTCAGCGTGTGTAAAGGCAATAAACTTAAATGTTTTGTAGTATCTTTTGATCTCACTTTTGATCTGATGAAAGTTTGGTTTGACATCTTTTCTGCTCATAGTGTAAATACTCTTCTTTACTATTAGGCAGATAATGTTTAGAGGGTTGTTATTTTCCCCTTAAAACCAAATAATATATTTTCTAGTGTTATTTCAATTTGTCCTTCGCCCAATATCTCGAGCCATGAGGACAGTTCCATCCACTCTCCCTTAAACTACACTCAAACAGTAGATGCCGTACAGACTCTCGTGTCTGTTTACAGAATGTGCATAATGGTGATTCTCTAATTCCAATCTTATGTAAGTAAGTATCAGTTGTTAAAATATTCTGAGTAATCTTATATATGAAATATTTCAAATTTACACTCTGTCTACATCTATTGGGCATTACATTTATATTCTCCCATTCATTTGAGAAAATTGTCTTCCTAATATTTCTTCCCATTTAAGTTGGCGTGTTGTTTTAACAAAGGTAAAGTCACATAGTATTTGGTAATAATATTTACTTTCTTTCCATTTGTTATCAAACTTATATTAAATTGTAAAATCGGATATACTTGATTATTTTGCAACATCTTAACAGACATATTTTTCTTATTGAAGTAGTCAAGTACTGCATTCTTGATGCTAAGGTATTCAAGGAAATTAGTGTCAACATTGTAACTGCTTTTAATATATTCAAGGGAGTGAATGATACCATTTTGATTTATAATGTGACTCAGAAATGTAATTCCCTTTTCCTCCCATTTCTTGAAACAAACCGGTTTTCCTTCTATTAAGATGTTATAATTGTACCATAATGATTGGGTTAATGTATCCTTTCCCTCAGATGTCTTTTTGTGGCCAATGTTTATAAATTCAGACCATGCCTTCAATACATCTATCCAAAATCTATTTGTGATATTCGGTGGTATATTTTTAATAATATATTCTCCATCAGCTGTCCATAGCCTTGACATGTTTGGAATGAATATGAAGTATTATTCTTCCATAATGTATCCTCCTTTAATAATCTTTTAATCCACTTCAACTTTTGTGCTGTAATAGTATTTTTTTAATAATTGGAACCTCCGTATTTTAGAGTGGAAGTCACTACTGTTCTTTTAACCTGTCTCTTTTGTCCTTGCCAGATAAAGTTTAAACATTTCTTTTGTAGTTTGTCAATTGTGTCATCTGGTGGAGTGGGTACAGAAGAAAAAAGATGATTCACTTTTGGTATAAGTAATGATTTCAAAACAACATTCCTCCACATAGGTGTAGGCGATCTTAAGGACCACATTTTTATCTCCTTGTCTATTTTATCAAGTATTTTTGTATACTTCATATTTATCATTGAGTCAAGACCTACATAAAAATTAATGCCCAAAAGTTTGAATTGCGATTGTGACCAATCAAGGTTGTACTCTTTGCATAGTTTGTATCTGGACCTCTCTTTAGATCCTATCCATATCAATCTTGTTTTTCTGTGGTTACCTTAAGTCCTGAGAATCTAGCATAGAATTTCAGTGTACCGAGTACTCCATACAAACCTTTTTCTGTCCCATGTAATAGCACTGTAGTATCATCAGCAAATTGTGCGAGAAGACCTTCCAAATTACCAATTTTAATACCTTATATATTCTTATTATTCTTTATTAACAGGGCTAGAATTTCTGCACATAAAAGAAAGATATAAGGCGACTTATATTAGATTATGTGATATTACAAAGAAATACAATCTGGATTGTTTTAATGGTGTTGCTTGTCTCCATGTAAATCTCCTGTCATTAGGATGCAATTCACGCCAAGGATCTTTTAAATCAAACAAATTTATCATGTCTATTATTTCACTTCTAGCTTTAGGGTTATTTACATGTTTATAAAAAAAGAATCTTGACATGGTGTTTTGGAGTTTACTTACTGAGTGCATATTTAGGAAATAAAGTTCGCTCTACCCCAATGTGTTTTGTAATAAAGTATAGTTTTGCCCTGAACTATTATAATTAAAGCACGAGGACGGTAGTGTGTAAAGTGTGTTTTATTACACTATACATGGTGGTAGGGCGAAGTGTATTTCTTTTCTAAGATGCCAAATTTAATACTTTCTAAGGATAATTACGATCAATTTAAGGCAGAAAACAAACGACGTTGTCGGTGTCCTAAATTAAGAATGCTCGCACAGGGCTAACTGGCGCGCTGTTCTATTGATATGTCTGCCCCCCTACGTTAAGACGAACGTTACCAGAAAAAAACGAATGATAACAGTTTGATGACGGTTTACGTTCGGATTAAATATCTTCTCTGAATTATTTTAATTACATCTGTCTTTAACGTAAACCAGATGGGGCAATATGAACGTCGCATATCTACTACCAACGTAAGTTTAGATCAGTACATCCAGATGAAGCTGAGTAGTCAAGCGACATTCCACGATTGCATTGTGGGAATGTAAACAGTAGGAGGCCGTACCAGGCGATGACAACTGACATGCATCGTGACGTCGCTTACATTGTGACGTAATGTAAAATGGTTCGATTACGAGGGGGCACACTAGAATGGCGCAGTGACGGGATAACGTCATTCAATTGTTACGTCATCAAAAAACTATACCTTTATTGTCTGATAATGTATTTTTTTTTTCGATGATTATCTTAGAAAACTGATTCAAACATGACGTCATTGCTCCGTTACAGTAAAATCATCACTTTACAAATTTCCAAAACATGATTATCCAGAAAGTGTTTGGTAAAACCACAGAGGGCTATTAAAGCCACTTGGTCAGAGTAAAATGTCAGTATATCTGGTGTGACCACCATGAGCATCGATAACAGCTTGGCAGCGGTGACCCATAGAAGAAAGGAGATGCCGAGTGCTGTCTTGAGTAATGTTTTGATACACTTGCTGAAGTGCTGTGTGCAGTTCTTGTAGTGTCTGAGGTGGCGGATTACGCTGGCGCAAGCGTCGATCAAGAGTATCCCATAGATGTTCAATGGGGGACAAATCCGGTGATCGAGAAGGCCAAGGTAACAACTGAACATTGCTGGAGGAAGACCTGTCAAACACGTGCAACGTGAGGTCGGGCATTGTCATGCTCCAAAGATCAACCGTTGACGTTGATGTAGGGAACGACGTGACGTTGAACTGGTCTTCTGGTAAAAGTCTGGCTTTCCATAGTCAATTGCGCACTGTCTGGTCGGAGATTCGGCAGTCCGGGGATTTTGATTGTTGTGGATGATGCGGCCGTGGTGGTTGAACCAAACTGTCTCAACCGGATGTGGCGATCCTGGGCGGTTGTGGAAACTCAAGGTCGACCTGACCTGGGTCTGTCATTAACACCCCCAGTATTTTTATATCGGTTCCATAGGTTTGAGATGCTCTGTCTGGACACGCTGAAGGGCCTTGCCACACCATGCTGCGATGTCCGTCCTTGTAAACGGCCGATGGCGTTGTGTCGTTGAGCGTCTGTCGGTCTTTTCTTTATCTTGTCGTTTATAGTGGCTTAAAGCAATGCATGTGGAGTACACCATTGATGTGGTTTTTTAAAGCCTACAGTCAAAAGCTTCAGCTCAAGGTGATACACAATTTCATGATGCACATGCATTTCATGTAGGGTGCGTTTTAGCGATTCACTACAGACGTGAGTGTAACGTTACGTTTTTGTTAAACGTTTCTTTTTTCATACGTTTTGTCGTCGGCAACCATTCCCCCACATGCTGGGAATCAGCATGGATTGGTTTGTGTCAAATATTTCCTAAAATTCAAATTTGTCCTATGTCAAGTTTCTTTTTTTTAAGAGTACACATATTTGTTTTCGATCCACTAATTTGAGGATGTCATTTGGAAACTGTGACAAATTCTGTCTCGGTGCTATGGTGACTTTACATGGCGTTACTGCAGTCACCTTGAAAGACTCGGGGACAAGACCATACTTGAGCGATATGTTTACGAGATCCATAAGCGGACCCTAGACACTGTCAGCTGTAGCTTTCAGTATCGATTGTAACCAGTGAAGATGATGTTGTTTTCGAGATAAGGTGTATACTTAGAATTTCTATTTCTGGTAGGCATTTTAACATTTTAATGCTGGATAATGTTTCGACTTCTGGTCTAGCATTCTGAATGAAAATCTCAGCTGATGTGACCCCCGATTTATTAATTTGGTGGGCATGTAGCCCTCACCAGACAAGTAATAGAGTCCTTGACAGTCCCATATAATAGTCTGGGCCCCATTCCTCAAAGCGATCGTAGCGCTACTACTATCGTAAGTCTATGTTAAAGTATAGGAGTTACGATCATCTTAGCGCTACGATCGCTTTGTGGAACGGGGCCTGACGAACAAAGGAAACTGTTGTGGCATTTATAGGACTGTTACGGTGGTATTACTGATGTTCAGAGCTTTCAAACGAAACAAAGTCAAACGAATCTTCTCGCATGTTATTCATACAAAGCTTCAAAAACGGAGGTATTGTGTAATGTTACCGAGCGGATAACACTTGTATCGGGAACTAGTCGGCGAAACATATCATTAAAACAAATGTATAATAATTTCCCGATTACGTAAAAATTTAATTATAAAAGAAAATGGAATGAGAATATTATGCCATTCTATATACTTGCAAATCAAGGACGCAGTTTTCGCTTCCTTCGTGGTTTATCTGGACATTATAAATGTGTAAGCTTGCATTTTCATTATTACTATGCTTATTTAAGTTCTAGTTGTATTACTTGAATAATATGAAAAAAAACCTGTCATATTTGTCAACAGTAGAATCAGACAAATGGTGTATATAAGATACAGTAGTAATACTGTTTTACCAGCTGTTATTTTCCTTGATAAAAGGGTTTTTTATCTATCATCTCAGAGTCATAGCAGTAAAATCTTCTGGTTGACTGACGTCGAAAGAATTACAATATTATGATGTGCAAAAATATCAAAGTGAGTGAGTTTAGTTTTACGCCGCACTCAGCAATATCCCAGCTATATGGAGGGACATCATAGAAACATGCGCTGAACACAAAGTTGTGATAAGTGACTCTTGTATAAAATATAATGAAAATGAGCACAGAGACTTTCTTCATTTTCAGAACTGTGGTAATCACACTTGCCACATGTTCTAGACTAGTAGATCCGTGAAGATCCGGGTTAGAATTGATCTTCAGTCATGCTTGTCGTAATATAAGAGGCGACTAGCGGGATCGGGTACTCAGACTCGCTGACTTGGTTGACACATGTCATCGTATCCCAATTGCGCAGATCGATGTTCATGCTGTTGATCACTGAGGATTATCTGGTCCAGACTCGATTATTTACAGACCGCCGGCATATAGCTAGAATAATGCTGAGTGCGGCGTAAAACTAAACTCACTCATCCACTCTAAATAGACTGACTTCACACATAACCTAGCGTATGTAAAAAAAATCTGACACAGCGATGCCTTTCTGCAAATCTTTAAATTCGCTTTCTAGATTTTACGGGGCTTCCTTCAATACCGGCATCAACATTTCGATTAGAGTTAGCTGTGTCTTCAATCTGTCACGTGACTTTCCAAAATGGCGGCTCCCATGAATGTGATGAAATGTGTGTTACCACGTTTATGATCAAATCGGTTTACGCTTATAACAGCATCGACTAGCAAGCTATGGATGGGAAAAGCAGCACCAAAAAAAAAGGAAAAACGGCTAAAACACGTCGTGAAACTGCGGTAAAGGAATATTCAATATTTTATTCTTTCAATAATAATATTTGTATTGTTTTCGGGGCAGATAATTATCAATCATTGAATGACAAGTGTCATGTAGCATGGATTGTTTGGATGTGTTACTGTGATGGAAATAAACACTGTCTGTCCGTTGTGTTACCAATTTAAAATTAAACGTCGTACAGGAACGAGTCATTATGCTGACGCCAATATTTTCCAACAACAGTGGGGCTCAATGGTTCTTGTACGAACATGTTCACGTGTCCAATTTTTCAAACCTCCCGCCCTTTATAACCCTTATCGTCGGTGCAGTTGTTATGATAGTGGAGTGGATGTGTTCACTTTGATACAAATATATTGATACTTTATTAATTATTCACATTCATAGACATTTTTGCACCTATTTACCATGTTTAAAGGCACTATATCATACCACACTTCTCTAAAAATAAATGATGCATTTCTCTCAATAATACTAACTATCAGCCCTCAGCCCATGCTAGTCCCATTACAATTCACTAATTCAATTATTTAAACTATATCCCTTCATCATTTTTGGCCTGACCTCATTTCGCCTACACCCTTATCAAAACAAGTTTAGGGATGACTGTACATCACGTAAATGCTGTCATACCTTTAGAAAATTAGGCTCTTCCAGTAATGAGGTATACTTCCACTAATGAAAATAAACTCTTGAGTTGATGATTTATACTTTAATAAGGTCATGTTTTCAACAAGTTAAAATACCAATATCATCACCATGATCAGTAACACAAGTCAATCACATACATCATCATCATCAGCAGTGATACATAATTCAGTCACAGAACAATTAATGTAATGTCACCAAGTGTCCAACTGCATCTAGAAACTGCATCAGAGTTTGTCGTCCAGTTGCAAGATGTAGCTTTAGTCTCTCAATTCAGGGATCTCTGTCCCTGTCAATACGTGCACAGCATTTCACAGCACCACCAACTCCTGTCTGTCGTCTAAACCGCTTATCTGCTGTCTCAATCTTCTTGATTTCTTTTATGAACTGGTAAATGTTGGGATGTGACCGCGACATTCTCCTTTTTGGTCCATTGTGAAACCCATCCAGCTGGTTGTTGGAGCGAGGTCCAGTGTTCTCGTGCTGGTTCCAGATATTACAGGGAAATCTGGCGTCGTCTTCTACCCAGGTACTTGTTACATGGTAATTGAATGTAGAAATCTGTTGACCATCTCGACCTTGCTCCATATCTTCAACCCAAGCATCTTGGACTTGATCCAGTGGCAAAGCTGCAGCTCGTCGGACGTGGCTCTGTACTGCAGGATTGTTCATGTGCTCTCTCAGTCTCACAAGACCCCTGTCAGCAGCAACTTGACGCCACAAAGCTGAATGGGCATAGTGGAATAAACAGTCCCGAACTGTCTGTCTGGATCACATCTGGGGAGAGTTCTACACCAGTCCTTTTTTGCTAGAACTGAATATTTGCTAATATTTTTAAGAGAGTGTTTTTACTTTGAACTAGTTTGTTGTTTATCTAAGTCAGATGTGCAAAATAGAATATATCCAAGCCATGTAGTAGTGAACATATGACATTTTGCCAAGATCCTTTACAGCACTGTCATTAGGCTAAAACTAAGCAGTATCCCTCTTTTGTTTTACATAAAATAACTAAAATGTGTCAGCCTAAGCAATTGCATGTTTGTTATCTATATTCCTTGATATTCACGCAAAATATTCATGAATAAATATGCATATTCATTACTATATATTCGTAAAACATATCACATTCACCTCAATCTGGATTCATTGCAGCCCAACAGTACACACATAGAAGAACTTTATCATTACCATAAACAATCTGTATCGTTTTTATAAGCAATATGTCTCTATGTAATGATATGTTCGATACCATATCAATATAATATATCCAATCCATGTTACTGTCCGAGCATATCACCAATGATCCAGCTATGTCTCGCCACTTTAAGACCCTTGGAACGGTTGGCATGGTTACTGCATCCCTTCATTGTCCCATAGAAAAGTGTGCCAATATATGCTGTTGGATATATATTACCCATGAAGTTCTGGGTTGGAATTGAGATTCAGTAGCTCATGCTTGTCGTAAGAGGCGACTAACTGGATCGGGTGGTCAGGCTCGCTGACTTGGTTGACACTTGTCATTGTATCCAAATTGCATAGATTGATGCTTATGTTGTTATCCCCCTCAACGCGTTTTGCGGGGGGGTCCGTCTGTCCGTCCGTCCGTCCGTGCACATTTGTCTTTTCCAGAGCAGAACTTTAAAACTGTTTAATATTTCTTCACCAAACTTGGCACATAGATAGATCTGGTGGTGTACTGGTGCCTTTTGGTAGTTTTGGAATTCTGAATAAAACATTTTTGGCGTTTCCATGGCAAAAAGTTCGACTTAGCCTGAAATTGGTGGTAGTGCACTTTTCCGGAGCAGAACTCTAAAACCGTTAACTATTTCTTCACCAAGCTTGGCACATAGATAGATCTGGTGGTGTACTGGTGCCTTTTGGTAGTTTTGAAATTCTGAATAAAATATTTTTGGCTTTTCCGTGGCAACAAGTTGACTAACCTGAAATTGGTGATAGTGCACTTTTCCGGAGCTAAATTCTAAAACCGTTCACTATTTCTTCACCAAACTTGACACATAGATTAGTCTAGTGATGTACTGGTTCCTTTTTGGTAGTTTTGGAATTGGTGATAGTGCTCCTTTCTGAAGCAGAACTTTAAAAACCTTTCAATACTCTCCTTCCACTTTTCTATAATACACACCTAAATATTTGACATAATCATACCTCGTAGACATAATCATGAAGAGTATTTTGCCATTGCGGGGGATATTGATGACTTTGTCTTCTTGTTGATCACTGGATTGTCTGGTCCAGACTCGATTATTTACAAACCCCTGCCTTGATATTGCTGGAATATTGCTAAAAGCGGCATAAAACCGTACTCACTCGCTCAGTCACTGCTTGTTGCTTGAGTGAGATCCTGAACATCTGTATATTTTATCACAGCTCATCTTGTCTATAATATTGGTGTTCTCTATTCAGGTTCAGGGCACAAACGATCACAGCATTGTCAGCAAGTGTTCAATGGCAGGCGCGGGTTATTTTCAAGATGATTTTCTCAAATTCTTTGTGGCCAAGACATCAAGGAGAGCTCCACTAATTCACAGGTAATGAAGAAGTGTTTTTCCGCAACATAATGGTCATAACCTACGAATACAAACTGTACTGTATTTGGCAAACATACTATTTACTCAGTTTCCGATTCCCAACACTAGTTAGAATTGGTTTCCTGCAAACCATCCTTCTTGTAAAAGTGAACTGACAGGATTTGGTGGTCAAACTAGCTGACATGGTTGACACATGTCGTCATATCCCAGCTGCTTAGATAGATGCTCATGATGTCAGTCACTGAATTGTCTGGTCCAGACATGATTAGTTATAGACTGTTGTCATATAACAACAAACAGTAGAAGAATACAAGATAGACAGATATGCTATCCTAGAAGCAACCTTTACTAAGGTTAACCTTAACTTTCATTCTTTAACATTGCTCTAAGGTTAAGAGGCGACTAATGCCAGTAATGGGATCGGATGGTCAGACTAGCTGACTTGGTTGATAAATGTCATTGTAACCCAATTGCATAGATCATGATGTTGATCACTGGATTGTCTGGTCCAGACTCGATTATTTGCAGACTGCCACCATATGCATGATGTAGCTGGAATATTGCTGAGTGTGGTGTTAAACAACAAAGAAATATATCCCATCCCAGAAATATATTTACAAGTGTAACAGATTGTAATTCTCTATGTCTAGGGGCTACTACATTCGCGCGAAGACTGTGAGTGTTATTGTAAATGAATTCCTTCAGCGTCATGGCTCAAAACCCAAACAGGTAAGTTCAAGGATTTGTTGTTACAATTACCGTCAAACCCGATTGTCTTGCACTGTGATGTGTTGAATCCCTGGTTGTGTCAAACTCACCTTCTTGCTCACAATGAAACCTGTTTCTGGTGTCCCCACCGTGATATTGCTGGAATGTTGTTAAAAGTGTGTATATGTGAGTGTTATTGTACAAGAATTTCTTCAGTGTCGTTTCCTAAAACCTAAACAGGTATTACTGATAGCCTTCAACATTAGACTGACACACTGGGCCTCTCAAACTCAATTCATAGTCGAAACAGTTATAAATATATCACAACTCGCTTTAATATGTCAAACTAAAAACAATTGAAAAATACAACATATACTTTTTTTAGTTATCATGATTATTGATAATTAAGGGTGTAATGTAATTGTAATTGGTAGATAGATGAACATGATCAAGAATGAAGGAAATGGATGTTTAAAGGTCACATGCAACCAAAAAAACAAACATAATTAAAACACAATTGTCACTTATTCATGACATATCATATACATTGCTGATGATGAAAAAACAAATAAATAAAATTATAAGCGTACAATTGCAAATCAAAAGTGAAATATTTTGTTCTTGGGTTTACTTCCCTCGAAACGAAGCACCCGGGATACCCAACCCAATCAGAGCGGGTAGGCGTGCACTTAAGTGTAACAAAGGCCTTCATTGGCTGGTTCATTTGCCGATACACTCTTTGTGTGTGTATAGAGATGTTGGGTTTTGTAAATTCTTGCTCATTTTTTGTGTATAATATTTTGCAATCAACAGACACCTGCCTGTCTGTGTAATTACATAATGTGACAGAGTCAGAACTTGGATGCACGAGCCATAAATCAATGCATTTTGTTTATGTTGTATAGCCTGATAGGTGTTAAGTTCAAATTGTATGTGTTCAGTGATCGAAGTTGTGTATTGCATATTGTCATTTTCACTGCGCTTGCTCAGTGCAGCACAGCTGTTGAAACCACTTTTCACCCCAGCGGGAATGAATTTAGTGAATCGTTTGAACTCTGATTTCCCAGCTTTTTTTTCATCGTGTTATTTTCCAACTTTATAAGTTGAATTTGCATTTTTGATCATTTGTTACTGTAAGTCCATACCGAAAAGTATCAGAATCTGCCAAGTTGTGTTTTACGTTGCATGTGACCTTTAATACGTTTACAATATTACAGCATTCACTTCATAAATCTTTTCAGCTGTGACATATGCCTGTGTTGAATTTTCAGATTGTCTCCCTTGGATCCGGGTTCGATTCTGCATATTTCCGAATGAAATCAGCTGGACAACTACAAAATGCAATGTATATCGAGGTATTGTATACATATGTTGCTGACTTGATGACTTGTCATATGTGACACAAAACACAGAAACACACTAAGTGTTTTTGCTAGTGTTACCAATCCTTGATGAATATAGTGTTATCCATCCTTAATAATTGTAGTGTTATCCATTCTTAGTAATTGTAATGTTATGCATCCTTCCGTCATCATCTTTATTTCCTCCATTAGGAGATTATTGTGAAGATATTTACAAATTTGGACAGTAGATGGACATTTACATGTTTTCAAAAAGAGATGTTAGTAATTAAGGAGTGGGTTTGATTAGGAATTGCAAACATATTGGAACATGTATGATAGCCTTATGATAGCCATGTTATTCATACCTGATGTTGATAGTGTTTATCTGTGATTGGGGATTACAATAGTATCCCCCTGATTGACCTCAATGACTATTGTATTATCCATCCTTGATAATTATAGTGTTATCAAATGTAGGTGATAATAGTGTTATTATTCATATTGCCCTTTGCTTCAGATTGACTTCCCAGAGGTTGTGAAACGAAAGAATGCGATTATCAAAAACACCAGTGAACTGAGTGACTTGCTTGGTGAAGAGCTGACTCTCGAGGCAACATCTCCACATATAGGTAAGTGCTGATGTACTTCTGTTCCCCTCCTCAATAATTATATGGTGCAAACTCGGATTACAAAGTGCTAATTCTACTTTCACCAACTCCTGCTCCACAAAGGAACACGGAGCTGTTGATTATTAAAGAAAATACCAAATGATCAAAACATCCCCCTACGCAAACACCTAACCACCAACCTACCCATCACTGCCACACCCACACAGTTTCTCCTGGAAACAATTACATACCACAAATCGTTTCATACGCATCCACAGGGGTGGAAATAACCCATTGCCCGACGTCCGAGTCCAGTGTTTTTTTCTGTCGGGCAAGCAAATTTGTATATCACACTGTACCGGTGTCCAGTTGACTTTCCAATGTTCATTATGTTGTTTATTTAAAAAATCAACAAGAAAACAGACGGTATAGTGGAAAAATTATCAGGGCAAGTGATTTTACATGTGCCACTGTACCGGAGTACACTAGCAATTTTAAAGTTATTTCTACCCCTGATCCAACCATGGACATCACTCACCTACTGGATCAGGTGGAGAGGCATGATCATTAGTCACTCTCTCTCACTCTTTCACTGACTCACTCTTTCTCTCACTTGGGACGGTGAGGTAGCTTGGTTAAAGCATTTGCTCATCAAGCCAAAGGCCTGGGTTCGATTCCCCACATGGGTACAATGTGTGAAGCCCATTTCTGGTGTCCCCCGCTGTGATATTGCTGGAATATTGCTACAAGCGACATAAGACTAAACTCACTCAGTTTCTCTCACTTGTTCACTGACAAACCTACACACACTCAAGAACCCACCTGCTCACTCACTCACTCACTCACTCAATCTTTCAGAGATCAATCGTCATGACTACAAGATGCTCGGGGTCGACCTAACCCAGCTGAACACCCTTGAAGCAGCTCTGCGTTTGTGTCAGGTGGACTTCGATGCCCCGACTCTTCTGCTGTCTGAAGTCGTCCTCACATACATGACCCGTCGATGGTAAGCTTGCTTCACAGGATTATAATCAGGATCGATAGCCTTATATGATGCACAGCTTAAATACTGAATTGTAGACTGAATGTGACATTTCTATAAAAAGAAACAGTAATGTTTTGCTATTTGATTAAAATGCCCATAACTGAAAAGGCTGTATTGGAGTAAGAGTATGGGATGATCATATTACACATACAATGTTGGAAGAGTATTGCTGCGAGCACTATTTACACATTCACCCGTTCACTAGCCAGGAGTACAGATGGCAAAGTCACCGAAGGCCTTGCAATTTGCTATGTAGAGTTATGTCCCTTAGATGTACCAGACACCTATGATCATTGATTCAAACACCAGATTCACAATCATGTTCATGTGATTCACCACATTCACATCAAGCAGACATGTTGTGATATTTGCAATACATTTCAAAGCAACACTAAGCCAAACTCATTTGCCGTCCATCTTGATGTTTCAGTGCCTCTGCTGTTGTGAAGTGGGCAGCCGAGACGTTTTCAGACGGTGCCTTCCTAATTTATGAACAGGTGAGCTAAGACCGATACATAACACAACTTATGGTCAGGGAAATTGGAGCAAAGGATTGGGCCCAAATTGTTTAGAAATGGTTTTGACAATCATAAAGAAATTCATATTCTTATTCTTATTCTTCTTCCTACTACTTCTTCCTCCTCCTCCTTTCTTCATCTTCTTCCTCCTACCTTCTCTTCATTTTTAATCCTTCATCTCCTTCCTTCATCTCATTCCTCCTCTCCTCTTCCTTCTTTTCCTTCCACTTCTTCCTCATTCTTCCTCCTTATTTTCTTCTTCCTTCATCTCCTTCCTCCTTTTCCTTTGAAGGTTGGTACATCCCCTTCTCCCTCCTTACTACATCTCATTCCTCTTGCTCTTCTCTTCCTTCCTTTCCAATTCTTCTCATTCTTCCTCCTTCATTTCCAGCTTCATTCTTCTTCCTCCTTCTTCCTTCTTTTCCTCTTCTTCCATCTCCTTCTCTTCATTCTTCACATGAATATGTGATCAATACGTACCAGACACCTTCAAAATATTATTTCCCGTCTCTTCTTCTCATTCCTCATTTTTCATCCTCCTTCCTTCCTCCTCCTTCCTTCATTTCCTGACCGCCTCCGTGGTGTAGTGGTCCGGAGAGCCGAAGGTCGCGGGATCGATCCCCGACCGCGTCATACCAAAAAGACGTTAAAATATAGTACTTGTTGGTCCCTGCCTGGCGCTCGGCATTAATGGGTACAACAAGGACTGGTCGGCTCGGAGTCAGCATAATGTGTCTGAGTGGGGTATTCATGCTTCACTGCGGCATGGTATCTCAGTGGGCTAGCACTATAAAACCAGCTTAAGTGTGGGGTTAGTACAAGCAGCCGCATATACACATACACATGCATGCACATCGTCATATGAGTGAAATATTCTCAAGCACGACGTAAAACCCAATTTCACCTCACCTCACCTCCTTCATTTCCTTCCTCTTCCTCATTTTCTTCCTCATATTCCTTCTTCTCTTTCTTCTCCTTCCTCCTTCATATCCTTCTCTTGACATGAATGTGTGATCAGTATGTACAGACATGTAAATAGAGATGTATTCAAAATATTATGGACATATTTGTGGGTTTCTTTTCAGAACTAACTGTGTACACTTTTCAATCAATCTTATGAACATGATAAAGATCAGATATTTTCCAACAATACGATACCTCACAGGATGAAGATTTTATAACACCTCCATAGATAAGAAATGGCCAACTTTAGGATCAGCTTATCAGCACTCTCATTCAAAGCAAAACATTCAGATATATATTCATGACTTCTTTATTTTTGTTACGTTGGTGTTTTCTAAAGCATAGTCTTTTGTTGGCAGGTATTGTGAATTAAAAATGATGTGTGTTAAATAATTATTTCTGGTGTGTTACAGATTAACCCCAACGATCCATTTGGTTTGTTCATGTGAGTATTGATTGCCAGTAACTACGTTCACTAGAATCCACCATTGCTGGTTCTGTCTTCAGTGAAAGTCCCCTTGTCAGTGCGATCAGTTGAATATGACATTAGTTGAATATGACATTAGTTGAATATGACATTAGTTGAATATGACATTAGTTGAATATGAACAGGGAATATCAAGTTGGGAAATTTACTTTTCAAGTTCAGGAATGTTTGCTGACTTGGAACTGAGTATCGGCATCGGAGCCGTTTAGGATAAGTCTGTGAAAATTACAAGGACTCCTGTGTTATCAGCATGACTTTGTGTTAAAACAGGCAAAAGCACTACAAAGTGATTGGGTCTCCACTGAAGTGTATCAACGCCTTCCCTACCCTGCAGTCACAGGTGGACAGGTTTGTGTCACTGGTACGTTGATGAGGCCGTCATGTTTATTGTTTATGTTTCCCAACACCTTGTTCATCTTTAGAGAGATAGTCGATGAAAGTATAAACTTGGAAACTACTTTGTGTTGAGACTTAAAATTTGTAGAATTATTATTTTCAATTTTTCAGCTGTAAATGTTTTTCAAGTGTAGTGTTAGCGGGATAACAGATCTGCAGATAAAATAATGTGAAAATAAAAATATCATTTAGTTATTTTCGCTGATATTTTTACATTATCGCCAATTCTAATGGTATGAATGTAGAACCAAACATATGATTATAAAAACATCTGAAAAGAGGATTCATTGCAACACACAAAATTACAAGGCATGGCATGATTTTGGTATGGCATAACTGGTTGCACAGTCCTATTTGTAGGAAAACATTGTGAGTTCAACTGAGATATTTTGGTTGGCTTTAATAGTTGAAAACACAAAAGATGGAGACAGAACCTGACAATCTGAAATTCCAGATGTTTGTGTCCGTTCTTTGAGTATCTTTACGATAAAGGTCGGAGCTGCTGCTCCATGAAATGGGAAATCATTCAATCATTTTGTATGACGGGGTCGGTGGGGTAGTCCAGTGGTTAAAACGTTTGCTCGTCATGTCGAAGACATGGGTTCGCTTCCCCACATGGATACAATGTGTGAAGCCCATTTCTGGTGTCCCCCGCCGTGATATTGCTGGAATATTGATAAAAGCGTGTAAAACTCGACTCACTCACTTTGTAGGACAGGGTCCTGTTAAACAGTTTGCCAAGAAATTGCCATAGAAATATAGTATTACCAGAAATTATTGAGAATTTTAGGAATATGTTTAATTGGATTTCTAGTGTAAACAATCTTGACCAGCTATCAAGTGCTTGGTTTCATTCAAGAGAGACAACTCCGTTAATCCTTTTTCATTAGTTTGTGAAGAGTTATCCCCCTTTGTTTACTTGCTAGCAGACGACATTTTCAGTGATCCTCAGTATGGATGATTTAGAGAAGAGGAAGTTGATATTAGAGTATTATAACAAGGACATCAGATCAGCTAAAGTGATTTCAAGTAGAACAGGCATCCCTTTGTCCACTGTTTATCGTATTTTGAAAAATATTGCAAATTGATATGGCATTGAGCACCAGGGAGGCCCAGAAAATTGACTGTCGGTGACAGGAGGCGGCTTGGTATTCTTGTTTCTAAAAACAAACAAAGGAGTTTAGAAAACTTAAGGCTGGATATGATTGATAGAGGAACTGTGGCTGTCTGTAAGGAGACAATTAGAACTGAGCTGCATGCAATGGGTTGGCAGAAAAGTCGAGCAATTCCATCACTGATCATGAAACGTGAACAAAAGGAGCGAAGGTTGAACTGGTGCTTACAGCATAGAAATGTTAACTGTGACAATGTGATTTTCTCAGATGAAAGTTGTGTGTGGCTGTTTCCTAATACACTGAACTTCTGGACCAAACAAACTGAAAAACCTTTGTATCAGCGCTCAGTTTACAGTTCGTAATGTAACTTGTGGGGTGGCATATCTGTGTTAGGGGGTAAGGTCCCTCTGTGTATTTGAAGGGAATATGTACAGTGAGCAGTACAAAGATATTCTCGAGGGATATTTACTTCCATCTGCTCATGTGTTGTATGGAAATTTTGGATTTTCCAGCAGGACAACGACCCAAAACATCGTTCAAAGCATTCACAGGCCTGGTTTCGGACCCAAATATGACATTATTAAATTGGCCAAGCTATAACCCTGACCTAAATCCAATAGAAAATGTTTGCGGACTTATGAAGGAACGTGTCAATAAGAAAAATCTGACAAATATTGCTGAAATTAAAGAAGAGTTGGTCGATATTGGGACAGCATCGACCACGCCTTTCTAACTTCTTTGATCAGTAGTATGCCCCGCCGCATTGAAGCCTGCATTGCTGCCCATGGTGACTTGACAAAATACTAACTGTTCACCTGTCTTTGAATCTGGAGTTATGTTCTGCTAATATTCACATTGAATACGTGAGAAATGAGTGAAAACATACAAAAAAATACAATCTTTAAATTCTCAATAATTTCTGGTTGTACTGTATCTTCATGCTTTTCAAAAGGACGGGCACTTTGGAGTGGTGTCCCTTTCATCTCTCACTCTCAGAAATCAACTCACTGATAACTGTGGTATATATAGGGCTGGAACTGGTGTGAGGCGTATGACATGAACCAATTCTACAAGGACCTAGTGGGTCAGAAAGAGAAGGTCTACATCAACAGCCTGGAGCCATTCGATGAGTACGAAGAGATGCACCTCAAGTGTTCCCATTACTTTGTGCTATGTGCCTACTCCACACCCCGAGTTGGTCTGCTTCAGGAAAACAGAATCATGCAAGGTAGGGCCAGTAGTCATAGCAACCACTGGGAGGGGAGTTGTGTGTAGTAACAGTAGTCATGGCAACCATTGGAAGGGGTGTTGCGTGTAGTGACAGTAGTCATTGCAACCACTGGAAGGGGTGTTGTGTGTAGAGACAGTAGTCATGGTAACCACTGGGAGGGGTGTTGTGTGTAGTGACAGTAGTCATTGTAACCACTGGGAGGGGTGTTGTGTGTATTGACAGTAGTCATGGTAACCACTGGAAGGGGTGTTGTGTGTAGTGACAGTAATCATGGCAACCACTGGAAGGGGTGTTGTGTGTAGAGGCAGTAGCCATAGCAACCACTGGAAGGGGTGTTATATGTAGAGGCAGTAGTCATAGCAACCATTGGCAAGGGAATCAGGCAGAGTAGGGATGGTAGAAAATGGGTACCCGGTGGGATGAGTCATGTGACTATTAACCTTCTAGTACCAAGTGTGGGTTATCCAAAGTAATAATTCAGCACTTCTGAGCTGTGCTACAGTCGAAATAAGCACTGTACAACTGAATAATAATAATAATAATAAAAATAGTTAGTAGTAGTAGTAGTTGTCCTTATTCCCTGTGTCATCAGTTATGATGTATCTTGTATAAGCGTGATTGTGATTTATTTGTAGTTTCAGCTGATGATTCATATTCCAAATCAAAACCAGAAAATGTTCCTGAGTTAGTGAAAGTTCTCCCGCCTAAAGAAGACTCTAACGCAGAAACCAGTTCCATCAAGCGATTCAGCCACACCAGCTCCAGAGTGGACGAGCACTTCATTGCCACAGTTGGAGGATTTGGAGAACAAGATGGCCGCCACCAGCGAATCTCTGAAGTCAAGATGACAAACGTGGAAACACTGAATGGCTATTCCATAAAGACAAACAATGAGACTCTTGAAAGTAAGTGTGAAGGGGTGTAAACGTGGAACAAATTACAGAGATTCTTCCCAGGTGCATTGCAGGAATTATGTTGGTTTAAGCCTGACATTTGATAACAAGTTATGATCGATCGAAAAAATATTAAAGCTTTTATCTGCAATTTCACAATTGGCCATAGTTTCATGTATTGAAACAAAAATCCCGAAATAAATAAATGATGACGTAGCCTGTAAAGATTACTAAAGAATTCACGAAGTATAGTTTGATGAGAGTAAAGTTTGTCATGCGGACTACGGTTATTTTTACTGTAAAAAGTGTGAATGAATTCAAGGAAATCGCTATGATACAGTTACAAATGTAAATCGGGGTGTTCCTCTTTTGCCAGTCGGGCAAGTTTTCTATTTAGGGATTAAGAGGATCACCAGACCATGTTAATTATCAAGACAATGGTGGGGGAGGGTGGGGGTGACGGAGGGGTCAGCAGGTTCAGAGTCCATAATCGTCGCTCGACTAGAAGGATAGCAACATCTCCAATGTGTTGTGTCACACTTGCTAGTCTTAATTCGAAACTTATATCCCTGATACACTAAACTACTACCACCTCACCCTTTTGGAACAAACTGAACATTTACCAAAGCATTTAACATCATGGGATAAAGTGAAGACTTGCCATAACATGGCACCTAATATACCTTACAGTAAAACAACATTGTTAATTATTGCTGTTGTTGTTATTTGCTTTATGTAACGTCGAAGACAGACAGACAGATTTTTTATTTAAGTCTCACCTCATTACATATCAATATTGAATACAATATTGTATATACATTAATAAAATATACAAGTAAAATATATCGAGCCACCCACCATGGGGTTATGAGAGACTTCATTGCAGATAAAAAAAGGCATAGGCCCAGAAAACGTTCACAAATAAGTTTTTAAAAGTATGGTTAAAAGATTAAAACATTAAACCTTTTATACAATATGTAAAACGGTGAAGGCCATGTGGGATTAGTTAAACAAACGAACCCAGTCGACCATGCCTCATAATCCTCTTGCACCTTAAATAAACAGCTCCCCCGACTGGCAACAGAGGATACCACCCGTAAATCTGTTCACAACTGGAATCAGAGTTTAAACATCATAAGTTACAGATGTAAATTACATCATGCAAGTCTTCAGAAGCATATTACATTGTTTCCACTAATATATGATCTTCACGATACAGTATCTCTTCATCATGTAATGTCATTGTAGTGTTACTCAATGTATCTTCTAAGCCATATGTGAATACAGTGTTTGACTGAACTGCCCTTTGTAAAAGAGCTGATTAGTAAATTATAAGCCTGTCAAAGAATGAATTTTTTCCTTATCCTGACTCATGCTCTTTTTGCTTGTCTTCTTCTTCTTGCGAACATAGTGGAACACTTGTATCTCCCTAATTGAAGCTCCCTTCAATTTAAAATCACTAATTAGTATTCACCACGAGTTACCTCCTTTCCACAAGCGGGGAGCGAGCCACCTCTACCCATGTGCCTCACTCTCTCCTTCTTAGCCCAGTGAGCTGGGCGTGAGGCGCCTGTGTCTCCGACACACTATATCCTTTGAAATATATTTAGTTAGTTACCTCGTATAGACATCTATAGAGGTTTAGCTAGTATCCTTCAGCGATTATATATTGATATTTAGTCGTTTTCTACAGTTTATTCACGGGGCCCGTGTTTGTTTCAGTGGATTCGTTGATGAAAATTCTGTACTATTGCAGATTCGTTTTTATGCTGCTGCTGATCCGCCTTTAATATGATGTCTGCGGCCATGTGTTTATTATATTCACATTGCAGTTCGCGGTACTAATTTATCAATTCTACCTTTTTATTAATATTTACTTTGCGTTTGGCGCTGCAGCAGATAGGTCGGCGTATGCAGACTCTAGTATGACTGATACACGGAACCCCTCGCCAGTCTACTGCTGTTGGCCGACTCCCCTCCCGTGTGGTGTTCGCTAGAGTGGTGGAGAGGTGTGGGGCGTAGTCCGCCATCTCAAAAGCATCCTGCTTCCCCAGACATCCCATCGTCGCGGCAGAAGACTAGAGGGTTTTCTACCACATCTCAACAGCGAGACCGTTCCCATCGCGGTTTGGGCCTGTTTGATGATCAGCCGGTCATCATACCAGATGTACATCAAAGATTGACCCGATGTCGGCTCAGATCAGCATGCAGCCTGATGTACCAACGCAGATATCGCGATGATGCGTCCTGAGGGTCCCATCATTACCAACACTCAGCGCCAGGCGTCGCACCCAGGGCAGCGTCGACCTCTGAGGAAAATCAGCGAAGTCTACTAGGACTTTCTCAGCGAGATTGTTCCAGCCGATGACCTGGACCTCTCGATGATCAGCTGATCATCATCCCGGCGTCGCCACAAGAAGCGACCGGTGACAGCTACAGCGACATCAGCAGAGATCACCATGCAGCCTGATGCCTCTACACTGATGTCGGACGATTTTCGGTGGACCCCTCCATTAACACGCCAGATAAAGCACCGGCGACCTGCGTCGCCAGACCATCCAGAAGACATGATCGCGACAAATTATGAACATCATGGAGGACCACTATATCTCGCGGTAGCAGGGTCGAGCAACCGAAGAAGGCCAACGTGAACAACACCCCAGAGGCACCCCGTCAGCGTAGCAGCCAGGGCGATGTCACCTTCGCGAAGGAAGTCCGCGGACCACCTTGGCGAAGGACCTAGATGTACAGCCTTGGCGAAGGCCTTGGCGGAAGCGGAAAGGACCTAGATGTACAGCCTTGGCGAAGCGGAAAGAACCTAGATGTACAGCCTTAGAAGGACTTAGCGAAGGCAGGATCGATCATCACCTTATGCGGTTTCATCCCTAGATGTGGACTCGGACCATCAGACATCCGCGGAAGCCTTGCGAAGGTCATATCGTCGTTCCCGGACGGGGCGCAGAGGAAGCCAGCGAAGGCATCTTGCGAGACACCTGAATCAGATCATCATCATCTAGAAGGACATCGAGGGACTATACAAGAGCTTGGCGAAACTATCAGCGTTCCCCTCACAAGTCTCGAGAAGATCAACCCATAGACAAGTTGATCATCGATATCAAATATAAGAACTACAATGCGTATATTGGTTCTGTTGAATCCATGGCCGAGGCGTATGTTAAGCTGGCCTAAATAGATCTAGAGCGATCAATTAGACACTTATCACCAGACTTAAGTAACCACGACTTCTGAATATGATAAGATGATCCATCTGCGGCCCTACTTAGGCAAGCAGCCGCCCGATCCACATCCTGTTAAACACAGAGGCTGTTCCGCGAAGCAAGCTCATATATATATTTATATATATATATATATACTAATCGGGCTTTGACTTCGACACCTTCGCGATGGTCGCGAAGGCTAAAGTAACTCAAGTCTACTTCACCCAGAAGATCTAGAAGGGATACTTGAGAACTTGAAGTCTCAGCGTTCACCGAGGAAGTCTCCTCCAAGGTTTCCATATACTAGCCACTTTCGTCATATATAGCTACTTTCGTCAGTCCGTTCAAGGCGTCGCATAAGTTGATTATCAACTGTATGCCAGATGCCGTCTATAAGCCTCTGCGAAGATAATTGCTCAGGCTATTTACAACACAGAGCGTCGCTGTATTATTAGTCAGCGACATTTCATAGATCTTCACAGAAATCAACTATTCATTATAAATTGCTAATATACAATCCCGGACGGCGATCACGATTATCTACATGCGTGACCATTCGCATATCTGCGAACAATTCAATATCGAGAAATTGAACAGCAGCCTTGTTACAGCGAGTATAACTCTTAATCGTCAAAGTTTCTGAGAAGAAATATGTACAACAAGTTCAGCGTTAATTCTACAATTATGGCGATACATTCATGTATACAGTCTACAAGCTCACAACTTGCAAGTTGTTTATACCCTTATATATAAGGAAGTGAATTATATTCAAAACTGAAATTACTTTCCGACAACCAGGAAAATAACCTACCCAGCATAAAATTACAGGCGAGATATTTGGCGGAGGTTTTAGCGCGATTACCATTAACCCTCGAAACCGTGGTCACTTTCGGATAACCGGGAAGCTACGGTGAAGACCGGCGTTTATGCTAATATCAGCGGCGACAAGAATTTATTCAAGGTGGGTTTTCCGCTACACGGTGACATCACAGCGCGGGTATTATACAGAATCAAAATGCCTTGTTCTGATTGGACGCGAGGGACAACGACCTACACAGAGGTCGATCTCAATTCACAGTTCAAGACTTACGTCACAAGTGACAACTATATATCAGTGAGCGAGCAAGCCTCATTACAGTCCAGTTAACCTGAACATTCATGATTAGACTGCCTTTCTTCAAGTTAGAGACCTCCCTGTCAAGTTAAGGCGAGGGATGCGGCAGTCAAGCGATTTTACATAAAGTTCAGCGAGGACAGACACACCTGGTTGTGCACCTACATCGTCAAAGGACTTAGCGAATTACCTGAGGCGAAGATACAAGTGGATCTAAATCCACAGCGTTTCCAGACTACAGCTGAATTTCATCAAGCGACTAACACAACTAGATGGTTAGTAAACCTACTAAACTTCTGTTTGGAGAATAAAGCGGAAATTTCAGCCCAACCTGGGGATATGAATATAGTGCTCCAACACCTCACAAGTGAGGTTTATGAACAACGCCTGGATGACATACTTGGACCCCATGATCACGATGATTCTATCAAGTTGGCCAGCAAGAGCACTGTAAATTTATCTCCACCAAACCAAACAGGAGGAAAAATGCAACAGATTATTTCCTCTATCATCAACTTCGCAGAGTGAAGTCTCATGTACTATATCTCCATTTGGATCAGAACTGTCATACTACGTGCATATCGCGGATGGACCTATTCCGACCCTCCATGAGCTTAATACTCATGATATTATAAGCTAACTTCTACAATTGTTCTACACAAATGTGATTGAAATAATGGAGGGTTATTTCTGGAAATCCGATATGGTGGTTGCAAACCATTATCTGAGAGATATCACCACGAGGGCGTCTCAGGTATACACCAATTCGATCCCATGGTCCTCGCACAACAGCTGACAGTTCCTCGGAGAAGATAAGTCAATCTAACAGATTTTTACTTATCTTATAACAATACTAAATAGCTTCATGCTATGTATAATTTACTTAAGTTCCTTTTATCATCACAGTACTATGATTATTACATCATACAATATATAAGTTAACAACTCTACAGAGTTTGTTATTATATATATTTACCTTAAGTTATTCATATCTTAAGAGTAATACTATGGTTACATGATAAATGCATTAGCTAACAAACTCTACAGAGTTTTGGCTATTTTATACATAGCTTAAGTTAATTAAGCTAACAAACTCTCTGGGAGTTTTACTATTATATAGGTAACTTAAGCTAATTATACCTTAAGCATAGTACTATACTCATATTATTAAAATATATTGGCTAACAAACTCTAAGGAGTTTTGCTATTATATAGGTAGCTTAAGCTTATTCATATCTTAAGCTTAGTACTATGTTTATATCATATAAGTAGATTAGCTAACAAACTCTAAAGAGTTTTTTTGCTATTTGGCTTAAGTATCATCATATTTCTAAGCAATATGGTTATATTATAACATGTATTAGCTAACAAACTCTACAGAGTTTTAGCTATTATATATGTAACTTAAGCTTATTCATATCTTAAAGCAGTACTATGTTTATATCATATAGGTATATTAGCTATCAAAACTCTAAAGAGGGTTTTGCTATTATATATTTAAACTTAAGTTTCATCATATTTTAAGCTTTATGGTTACATTATAACATGTATTAGCTAACAAACTCTCTGGAGTTCTTGCTATTATATATGTAGCTTAAGTTTTCCTTCATAAGCTCAATACTAGGTTTATATCATAGCTAACAAACTCTAAAGGGTTGTTTTAAGCTATTATACAATTAGCTTAAGTTTCATCATATCTTAAGCAGTATGTTTACATTATAAAGGTATTAGCTAACAAAACTTCGGCGGGTTTTTTGTTATTATATATATATAGCTTAAGTTTCATCATAACTTAAGCTCAGTACTATGTTTTTAACATAAAAGTATATTAGTTAATAAACTCTAAGGAGTTTATTTTGCTATATACTTTTAGCTTAAGAATCTAATCTTATCTTAAGCTTAGTACTATGGTTACACTATAAACATATTAGCTAATAAACTCTACAGAGTTTTTGGCTATTATATATGTAGCTTAAGTTAATAATATCTTAAGCACAATACTATACTCATATTGTAAAATATATTAGCTAACAAACTCTCTGGGTTTTGCTATTATATATGTAGCTTAAGTTCATTATATCTTAAGCACACTACTATACTCATATTGTAAAATATATTAGCTAACAAACTCTCACGGGTTTTGCTATTATATATGTAGCTTAAGTTAATTATATCTTAAGCACACTACTATACTCATATTGTAAAAATATATTAGCTAACAAAACCCTACAGAGTTTTGCTATATATATGTAGCTTAAGTTAATTATATCTTAAGCTCAGTACTATACTAATATTATAAATATATATTAGCTAACAAACTCTACAGAGTTTGGCTATTATATATGTAGCTTAAGTTAATTATAGCTTAAGCACAGTACTATACTCATATTATAAAAATATATTAGCTAACAAACTCTACAGAGTTTGGCTATTATATATGTAGCTTAAGTTAATTATAGCTTAAGCACAGTACTATACTCATATTATAAAAATATATTAGCTAACAAACTCTACAGAGTTTTGCTATTATATATATATGTAGCTAAAAGCTTATTCATATCTTAAGCTCAGCATTATATCTATATCATATAAGTATATTAACTAACAAACTCTAAAGAGTTTGCTATTATATAATTAGCTTAAGTTTAATCATATCTTAAGCTTAGTACTATGTTATATCTTAAAGTATTTTAGCTAACAAACTCTAAGGAGTTTATACTAGCATATTAACAAGCTTAAGTCTATTAGTCTTAAGCATTGTATTAATGTTATATATACTTTATCATAATAAGTACATGGTAATAACCTTTTATATGGCAGCTGATAAGTTAGCAGCAGGAATTCATCAGTTCAGTGCCTTTATGAAGTTCCCATAGGGTTATTACAATCATCACAGTTCAAATCACTAATTATTAAAAATCCAAAGTATTAGATATTCCCACCTCCGTTCCGTTAGGATGCTACAAACAAAAGAGCATGAGTCAGGATAAGGAAAAATATGTAATTTTTGGAGTAAAATTGATATTTTATACTTATCCTGACTCATGAGGTCAGCCCTCCCATCCTCCCCAAATAACACTTTGGATTTCCCTGTAAATTCAAATGTTGGGCTCAGTATATGAGGAGAGAGTGAGGCACATGGGTAGAGGTGGCCCTCGTTCAGCTTGTGGAAAGGAGGTAACTTCGTGGTGAATACTAATTAGTGATTTTAAATTGAAGGGAGCTTCAATTAGGGAGATACAAGTGTTCCACTATGTTATGCAAGAAGAAGACAAGCAAAAGAGCATGAGTCAGGATAAGTATAAAATATCAATTTTACTCCAAAATTACATTTTTTCCCTGATGGATTAATCGGTAGCCTAGTGGTTAAAACGTCCGCTCGTCATGCCGAAGACCCGAGTTCGACTCCCCACATGGGCACAATGTGTAAAACCCACTTATGGTGTCCCCCTCCGTGATATTCCTGGAATATTGCTAAAAGCGGTGTAAAACCATACTCACTCAGTGATGGATTAATCTTTCTTGTTTGTCCTTGCAGTGGCTCGAATGCATCACAGCTTGGATGTTTTGGAAGACGGAACTCTGGTATTGTTTGGTGGCCGAATCTCTCCCTACCGTCTGTGCTCACAGCTTATTAAGCTCAAACTGACCGCAACGAAGAAGGATTCAAATTCAAGTTTGAATGAAACTGAAACGGGTGTTGTGTCAAATGCACAAACTGATTTAGTCAACAAATTAGCTACCTGTGATATTGATACTGGAAACATTTGTTCAAAAGCAAATATACAGAAAGCTAGCTGTGATACTTCTGGTGGCGCATGTGTTACAGAGGATACAGATTTGCAGCCACCAGCTGTACCTCATAACATGGACCACAAGTCTGATGTAAATAGTGACAATGAACCACAGTGTTTGAAAGAAGAGGACAAAATGTCTATAAGCGATTCTGTCCATCATAAAAAGAGTAAAAAGGGTGCGAGAATCCAATAAAGAAGGGGGGGCATCCAATAAAGAAGGGGGGTAACTCTAAAAATGTTAACTCAGAAGTGGAGAAGGGAGATAACTCATGTAGGGACTGGAGTTTTGACATGGAGTCCAGTGTTCTGGAACAGAAGGGAGATGTGCCATGCCTGAGATGGAGACATGCCACAACAAGAGTCACTATCAAAGGTATGTTACATTGTAGTTGATTGTATATTCAGGGACTGGCATTGTCTCAAGGAAATCACTATGTCACCTTAGTTCAACTGTTCACAAGCCAATACTTTCTCAAGCCGCTTTTCCAGCCAGATTTAATTATTTTGAGATCGATTTGAAATGGCTTATATATGTTTGGTTGTTTAACGTCGCACTCAGCAGTATTCCACTGTATGGCGGGGGTCTGTAAGTAATTGAGTCTGGACCAGTCAATCCAGTGATCAACATCATGAGCATTGATCAACCCAGGTGGGATATGGTGACATGTCTCAACCAAGTCAGAGAGCCTGACCATTAGTCGCCTCTTGCGACAAGCATGGGTTGCTGAAGACCAATTCTAGCCAAGATATTTAGGGGTCTAACTGCTTAATAGCTAACTGTAAATATAAAACACAAACAAGAACTGCACAAATTGCTGATTTGTTGTTAAATATTCAACTGAAACCTTCTGGTAACTTTTACAGGTGAAGAGATGGTGCTGTTGTATGGAGGCCGGAACTCCACAGACGCTGCCCTCCAAGACTGCTACTTGTTGAATCCGAAGACAGGAGTCTGGAAACAGGTATTGTGTTGTCCTTCCCAGAACTTGCCAAAATGGTCATCAAACAAATGAAGCCCCTGGCAGGTTGAAGATGTGTTGGTGAAAGAGCATGTACACCCAGGCGTAACAAAGAAATGTTGTGGTTCCTATTTCCCGACCGACCCTTGAATTCTAGTGCTGGCCCTATTTTTTTAAGCTGTATGAATAAAATAAGCTTTCAGATACCATTGAATTTTCCCGGTACCGATCGACATCGGTCATTCTGATAGAGAAAGTCAACATGATGTCCACAAGCTTGTTTGAATGATCAGTTACACATTGATAAATGTGTTATTAGTTTGTACTTTACTTTTTTATTAAAAAAATTAAAAAAGGAATAATGCTACCTACCTACCCTAAATTTTAAAGAGGTGTAATCCGTATTTTTTTTATTTGGCCCCATGGTAACATCCAACAGCTGTAGTAGGAAGGTATTTGGGATGATCCATAACTTGCTTCCACAAAAATGACATTTTAAGAGTGAGATGAAGTGAAATTTCTGACCATTGTGGTGTTATGAGATACTTTGACATCAGAACTGTGAACATCCACGTAAGAATTGGTCTTCAGTAACCCATGCTTGTCGTTAGAGGTAACTAACGGGATCGGGTGGTCAGGCTCGCTGGCTTGGTTGATGCATGTTATAGACCAAGTGTGCAGATTTATGCTCATTTCAGTCACTGGATTGTCTGGTCCAGACTTGCTGAATGTGGCGTTAAACAACAGGCAAACTACTGTGTCGTCACAATCCAGTGTGTTTGTCGTAAGAGGCGATTAACGGGATTGAGTGGTCAGGCTCTCTGACTTGGTTGACACATGTCATCGGTTCTCAATTGCGCAGATCGATGCTCATGCTGTTGATCACTGGATTGTCTGGTCCAGACTCGATTATTTACAGACCGCAGCCATATAGCAGGAATATTACCGAGTGCGGCGTAAAACTAAACTCACTCACTCAGTCACTCAAATCCAGTGACATCACTAATATCTTTGCCACTGAAGCTGTTCAACTGTACCTGGCCATTACTGTAAACAAAGTGAACAATTAATTTTGTCAGTGAATAGAAATCTCACCCTGATGTGTCTCATGTAAACTGTATGAAAACACACATGGCTAAGATTCTCAATGTGTTACATTTCAGGTGGACCTTGAAGGGGAGAACCCTGGGTGTCGTCAGTCCCACACCCTCACATCCTGGGGGGACAAGATGATCCTGTACGGGGGACTGAATGAGTTCCTCCTCCCCCACAATACAGTGTACTGTCTGGACCTACCCACCCTCACATGGAAGAGAATCTCGGTCACTGGCGCCCTCCAGCCGAGGTACAGCTATGTATATCATTGTTTCAAATGTTTAAGTGGCTTTGAGATTTAGGTCAGTTTTTGGAATTAGGACTTCTTTTCTCATTGGTTTTGGTCCGAACATAAGAGTTCTTAATTTCTCTTTCTTGTTTCATTTATCATCAAAATTATAGCACAGACTTTCATTTTCAATGCTAAATATTTTTAGATTACTTTCATTAACAAAATCATTTTTTGTCTGTCATCAGTGAAAAACACATGCCAGCAATACTGGTTGTTCAACTTAATATACAAGTTTGAATGTTTGGCGATCTGTAAGCAAATCAATCAAAATATTTCAGAACTAAAAGGGTTTTCTTCTAACTAAAAAATAAACTGTAAGTCATTCCATTGTATTATATTACCTAACAAAGCAAGTTTTCTTCATTCCTGTTCCCATAAACAGAAAATATATTAACAGAATTAAGCAATGGGCACTAACGGATACCATCTGTTGATTGGCTCATGACAGAATGGACGGGGCTTGTAATGCATAGTTTCCCTGAATGAGGATTTTGTAGTGTTGCCTGTCGTTGTTTGTGTGTTGATGATTGAATAAACCTGTTAAGTTCTGTTGACAAGTTTATTCTTAATAGTAGATTTACATATCTTTCAGCATTTACACAAACATGTTTGTGGCAATTTTTAATATCCTTTTCTAGGTATTCGCACACATGTCATGTGACAGACAACATGTTGGTGGTGATTGGTGGAGTCAATCTATCCCATGGTACACCTGGAGTGGCTCTCCTCGATCTCCACACAGGGAAGTGTGTGGAGTATGACCTGCCAGTGAGTTTACACACATAGATCAGCTACTTTATGTTTCAGTTGTGTATGGTTGACTGTTCGCTTGACATGCTTGATGTGATGATCTTGGCCTCACCAACTCCTCACAGACAGTGGTGGCATGTGGTCCCTTGAACACAGTCAGTCAGTGAGTGAGTGAGTGAGTATGGTTTTACGCCACTCTTAGCAATATGGCCACAATATCATGGCGGGGGACACCAGAAATGCAACTTCAGTTGCTGAGTGTGTCAGGTTTCTCACTGTTTTTAAAGGTCTCCCCGCAATATCACAGCAAGGGACACCAGAAATGACCTTCACACATTGTACCCATGTAGGGAATCAAACCTGAGTCTGCAGCGTGATGAGCAAAAGCTTTGTCCACTAGGCTACTCCACCTCCCGTTAGTGGCTGAGAGTAGGTGGATGTAGGATGGTGTTTGGCAGCTAGAACAGTTGTTAGAGTCACAGTGCTGGCCCACATGGAAACCCATGTCATTTTTTCTGAGTCAAACATTTTTGTTCAGAAACTATGTCTCTGTTCACAAAGTGTTGAACTGGAAGGATTAGGTTGTATTGTGACAATATATCAATTAGGTCATCAGAATGAAATGAGAGTAACAATGCAGTGTTTTGGGCATGCTGAAAGGTGTGGAGTCAGCAGGTTATGCGTATAATTATTATTTTGAGATAGTAGAACTTTGTTAATCTGTGTGTTTTGTTCCTGTATGAATCATCTAGTCTAGAAGTGGACATGTTTAGTTTAGGGACCTCTTGACCAAAGCGACTTTAAAATTTGAAAGTTAAAAACTTATTTGAGTGAACATTATTCTTACTAACATCAGGGATACTCTACAACAGGGATAGGTCACTCGCTGGCTTTCTTTACCATTTGTACTAATTAGGGTGTGCCTCGTCATGCTCCAGCGCACACAGTCACTTGGTTCGTTCCCAGCGCAACTTCGGCTGCGTTTAACAGTACTTCAGCCAGTGTATTGTATCAGTCGGAATTTTACAATGAATGAATGAATGAATTAAGAGCAAGAATTATATGTGAATGAATGAAAGAAATAAAGAAAAAGAACACAAAAAAAAGAACATATGTGAATGAATGAAAGAATAAATGATACACCACGGCCATCCCTCCCCAAACATGTTAAAGAACACAAAACTATCGCTAGAACACATGTGTTAACATCAGCTGTCCTTTTAAAAAAAATCTACTTTGAGACATTTTTTTACATTAGTAACTAATTCAGATATGTTATACTATGATCAACAAGAAAGAAAGAAGTTTTAGAACTATAACACTCAAGCATCACAAGCATCAATGGCGTATGTCATATTTTTCACACACCTCAAATACACCCCAACAAAAAAAAATTAAATTATAAAACTATCACTATTACTTGCAAAAACCTTTCCCCTGATGGTATATTCTCCTCATAAAAATTAAAGGTGTATGTGAAAGATGTTTTAGAACATATAACTAGAAACACTCAAACAATGCCCTGTAGTATTTCAATGGCAGATCGGCGATATGTCATATTTTTCACACACCTCAAATACACCCTAACAAAAAAAAATTAAATTATAAAACTATCACTATTACTTGCAAAAACCTTTCCCCTGATGGTATATTCTCCTCATAAAAATTAAAGGTGTATGTGAAAGATGTTTTAGAACATATAACTAGAAACACTCAAACAACGCCCTGTAGTATTTCAATGGCAGATCGGCGATATGTCATATTTTTCACACACCTCAAATACACCCTAACAAAAAAAATTAGTTATAAAACTATCACTATTACTTGCAAACACCTTTGAACTAAAGGTACATTTCCCTTCTAAAAATTAAACGAATATGTGAAAGAAGTCTTTAGCGATCGAATTTAGTCTTTCTTCGCTGTGTACTGAGAATTGAAGCCAGTGAGCTACAACAAGCCGACTTGAAACTTTACTACAAATCTACTGTACTAATACTGACACTAATAACAATTATTTGACTTAAAATGAAGTGACAGAATAGGTAACTTATCTTCTACATGTAGGTTTTCAGTTGTCACAACACTCAGCGTATGTAATCAGCTGTTGAAAATAAACCGGGCTCGATCTTAAAAAACTACGCTGCCGCCATATTGGCTACACTGGTCACGTGACGAGCCGAGGCCTAGCTTAGGGGTTTTCCGAGGAGTGACCACTCCCCCTTATAGAGTCTCCCTGCTAACATGCAGCACAAAGCTATGCTAGAGCCACGGTTGGTTGGTTGTTTAATGCTACACTCAGCTATATGACAGCGGTCTGTAAATAATCGCGTATGGACCAATCCAGTGATAAACATCATGAGCATTGTTCTACATAATTGGGATACGATGATATGTCTCAACCAAGTCAGCGAACCTGACCACCTGATCCTGTTACTCGCCTCTTACGACAAGCATAGGTTACTGAAGATCAATTCTAACCCGAGAGCTAAGGAATTAATTACTTACAATAGTCATGCTGAGATTGCCTTGTGCAACCGTAACCAGCTCAAAGAATCAATTACAGTGGATGCCCTCTTAACCGGCATTTGTTTGCCGGTATAGAGGGCATGCAAGCTTAGAGGACTTTTCCCATTTCAACCTGAGAATGATATTCCGTGTGCGACAGAATTTTCTTGTCAAGAGTTAATTCCAATCTAGCTCACTTGACTGGTCTAGCCAACTTGACACAGTATTTAAGCAACTGACAAATTGTGACATGACAATTAATTTATAATAAAAGTGTCACTCACCAAGTTACCTCACCTACTTAGGCCTAATCCTTATCCTTACTCCTTATACCAGGCAACATCAATGAGCTTAATACCGATGGTAATCCACTGTGTTGTTAATACACGTTCAGTCAACCAGCCAATCAATAGGAGAGCCGGATATCAGATGCTGGTTTAGAGAGCGTTAATTACTGTACAAACAGTCAATTGGGGGTCTTTGTTATGCCAAAATACGGAATAGACTGACGCCGGATTAGAGGGCGTGTAAATGATCATAAATTAACTAGCTTCTGCCAGGACCAAATTCTAGTGCCGATATTGAGAGCATGCCGGATTGGAGGGCTGCCGGTTTTGAGAGATTCCACTTTACTGCATTAATGATTTGTTGTAATTACAATGCAAATAAAGTATTTCCAAAGCTACCCTATTCTGTAAGGGTCTTCTATGATGTTCCGGTTATGACTGAGTTTTTCTCCTGTATATTTGTGACTGTGTGGTAGGTATTTAGTACAGTAACTACGCTAACTGTTTCAGAGTGCTGAGAAGGACAACCTGAAAATGTTCCACAAGCATTCCAGTGTCAGTATAGCTGATGGGCAGTTTCTCATCATCGGAGGCGGGGGAAACTGTTTCTCTTTTGGTTCACATCTCAACGCCTCGCCGTTTCTCCTGGATATAAGTCTGTGCCTGCAACACTTCGTGCAGAATGCCTGAACAGAAGTGCCACAGTGGAAACTGACACAACATTAATTTCCGGTGGCCATTAGCAGAATGTTACACATGACAAAGGAATGAGGGTCTTGATGGGGGTGGGGTGGGGGGTGTCACAGTTCAGTAGTCTGTAAAATTTGGAATCTTTGTCGGTTGCACCTCATTTGGCTTGTTTTGCAAATACCAAACACAAACTTGGTTTTGTTGTTTCATCAGATCCATTTATATGTAAAATGTGCAACTTTTTAGCTCAACTTAAGTAAACAGTAAAGTTTTAAATTGCACTGAACAATTTTTATTGACCTTTATACATAAATATTTGACTCTAAACATTTGACTCATTTAACGTTTACAATAGATTTTGTTAACAGTATACCCCATCATGACCCTCAGGAATGTTCGTGGCTGTCAACTGACATAGGTTTGGTTTTGTGTGTGCCAGCAACAACCTTGGGGGTGGGGTGGGGGGGGGAGGGGCTTTTTGAACCTTTTCAGACAAAAAGACATCAGGATTCAGAGTTTGGGTAAAATGGAATTTTTTTTAAATGGTGTTGACAATGATAATTTTAAACATTGGTCATTGACATTTTAAGTGACGTTCTTAAAAATGTTATGTTTTTTAATAGTACTCATGGAAATGGGCATTTTAAGAACAGTCATAGATAATGTTTTATTCAACAGTTCGAAGAACAGCAAATTGAAAGTTTTGATAAGAGTAGTGTTAAAAAGACTGTGACATCTTAACAATGTTTTGTGTTTTAATTTGTGATTTTAAAATCGGGACCAGTTGCCTGGCTGCAGCTATTTTTTAGAAGACACCAAAAATAATGTAGATGTAGTTGGATACATAATAATATGTCTCAACCGTAGATCTTGTTACTGTAGTAACCATCACAAGCAGCTATATCATTAGTGGGGATGTATTTGTCAGGCAGCACAATTAGTGGTCCAGAGTTATGTCCCTTATATGTGCCAGAATCTTATGATCTGGTTTCTAATCCCTTGCTGTTGTGAGTGCATCTCAGTTTGTTAAATGCTATACAAACTACAAATTGTTAACTTATAATGAAATATATGTCAATATCTATAATTTATTGAGTGAAGATAAATTATATGTGAATAATTAAACACCATGTTAATGCTTTGTGTTGTGCATGTGATATGAATGATATTAACCGCCATGCCCTACTTGGTCCGACTGTAAGTTTAGTGCCGTGGATAGTGTGTCTGGTTGAGGATGGAATGTTCATGTTTTATTCCAAGACCACATACCAAAAGATGTCAAAAGATGGTACTTGCAGCATTACGGGGCTAAAATAAATCTGGTTGGTTGTGAGTATACTGTGCCCAAGTACGGCATCCATGTTGTTGGGGATTTTTTTGGTTTATCGCAGCACTTGGCAATGTTCCAGCTAGATAGCACAGGTCTGTAAAGAATTAAGTCTGGACCAGACAATCCAGTGACCAGCATCATGAGCATCAATCTACCAGTTGAGATACGATGACATGTGTCAACCAAGTCAGTGATCCTGACTACCCAATACCGATACCTTAGTCGCCTAGGACAATCATGGGTTGTTGTAGACCAATTCTAACCCGGATCTTCATGGGTTTGGGTACACATGTTAACCTGTGACATGATATCTCAGTGGTCTAGCACTATAAAACCTGCATTAGTCGGATTTGTTCTCCAGCACACCAGCACAATCAAACCTTTGGAATTGTTCTGGAGCAAGTGTTTCTGGTAGCAAGACTAGGTGGATGGAGTGGTCATACAGATCTTAAGCCACTACCCAGCGGTTTTGATCATTGGTTACTTGATGGATCGGATATACAGGGTCGGTGATAGAATTCGGTGGGTGATAGAGTTATTGAACAAAGCCTGTGAATTGTTGCTCAGAGAATTGATTATTTGCAGGTTTCTGATATATTTTAGAGTGTAGTATTAAACAACAAAACAAGTAAGTACATGACTAGACAACACATAACCGTTTTAATAGAACAAAGGTGCCTGAGTGAGTGAGTTTAGTCTTACCCCACACTCAGCAATATCCCAGCTATATGCGGCGGTCTGTAAGTAATCGAGTCTGGACCAGACAATCCAGTGATTGACAGCACGAGCATGGATCTAAGAAATTAGGATATGATAGTGTCAAGCTGGTCAGCGATCCTGCCCACCCGATCCTGTTAGTCACCTCTTACAACAAGCATGGGTTACTGAAGACCAATTCTAGCCTGGCTCTTCATGGGTCAATAGAACAAAGGGGTGATGACATGCAATGTGGATATTCCAGGGTTGATTGAAAAGTTCCAGCGAAACATTTGCCCAAGTTTGTAGTGGACTTAACATGATGCGATATAGTTATTTATATACATGTGAAGATATCCAGGTTAGAAATGCTCATCAGCAACCAGAACTTGTCGTACGAGGCGACTAACGGGATCGGGTGGTCTGGCTCACTGACTTACTTGACACATGTCATCGTATCCCAACTGCGTAGATCGATGCTCATGCTGTTGATCACTGGATTGTCTGGTCCAGACTCGATTATTTACAGACCACCGCAATATAGCTGGAATATTGCTGAGTGCGTCAACAAACATACAAACAGCATCATGGAGTTAAATCCACTAAAACTTGGGACTTACTTGAGAGAATTATTCTGCCTGACACCTCAATTATGTAAGCATGGATCTGTGACCTTTGAAAATGGACATGATTCAGGAACTCAAAATACTGGATTATTATGCATATTATTTGTTTTGTGTGAGGCTGAGAAGAATCAATCCTCACGAGAAACTTGAGAATTTGAGTAAATACATATTCATGGAAAGACCAGCTCGCATTACTTGAATCTCTGTCGCTTAAGTATAAGTTCTGAGTAGAGATCCATCTGTCACATACCACAAAATGAATAAATCTATACCAAAAATTAATGGTGTCTGCTTATCACATATTTAAAATCATAAAGACAATTTCATTGGGGTTTTTTTTTCACCCACTGGATTAAAGGCATCTGCGAAGGGAAAGCTTTCACGTATAAACTCCTAAAGATCGTGTGTATTTTCCATTGGACTGACTGACTGTGACTGAGTTTGGTTTTACGCCGCTTTTAGCAATAGTCCAGCAACATCACGGCGGGGGACACCAGCTTTCCATTGGAAATAAAGTAATATGTACAATAATCAATCCAATTTCCAATGTCCTGTGGTAGCTCTGTAGGCACCCATGAAGGTCCAGGTTAGAATGTGCCTTCAGTAACCCATGCTTGTCGTAAGAGGCGACTAACGGGATCGTGTGGTCAGGTTCGCTGACTTGGTTGACACATGTCATCGGTTCCCAGTTGCGCAGATCGATGCTCATGCTGTTGATCACTGGATTGTCTGGTCCAGACTCGATTATTTACAGACCGCAGCCATACAGCTGGAATATTGCTGAGTGCGGCGTAAAACTAAACTCACTCACTCACTGTAGGCAGAGTGGTCGCTATGTTATGAGCCGACAGCTTCTGGGTTCAGATCCAACATTCTCGCTAGTGTTCATTTGTTCCAGGGGGCGGTGGGGTAGCCTAGAGGTTAAAGCGTTGGCTCGTCACGCCGAAGACCCGGGTTCGAATCCCCACATGGGTACATTGTGTGAAGCCCATTTCTGGTGTCCTCCGCCGTGATGTTGCTGGAATATTGCTAAAAGCGGCGTAAAACCAAACTCAGTCAGTCATTTGTTCCAGATACAAGTTGAAACTGTTCAAACCAGCGTAGACGCATCTCGCTACTCACATAATTATCCAAAAAAAATCAACTTGTGCAGTTTTAAATAGGGCTGGCTAAAATGATCGATAATCGGAAATATCGTGGATAGGAAACATATTTAATGATTATCGATATGAAAATTGTGTTATCGATAATGGCATACATTGACTTTGTGATAGAAAAATTAATATGTTTCACATCACTGGTGAGTGCTGACATTCTTTTTGCATGGATTATTAACAAAACCTCATCCTGAACATTATTTCGAAGCAGACCATGAATAAAGTCCTAAATGTGTATATAGTGTAAGAGAATTATACCTTTTCTTTCAGATATTTTTGTCCTTTTTGCTTAACGTTATGTCGATCGATAATCGATCGATATTTTGTTAACGATTATCATAGCAGCCCTAGTTTTAAATTAATGAAATGTCCTTAGATTCATTCCAACTATTGTCCTTGCTCACTTTCTTGTCTTGTGTTATTTTCGTGATGTAAAAGAACGAACAATGAATATAACGATCTCTGTTTTCTTCCCTGTCAAAGTTGTTTTAAATCTGCAGGTGATGCTTAATGTCGTTAGTGAGATCGGTCATATGTTATCGTATCCCTTTTTTCCACTTCCTCCTCGGAAACAGCCGACGACGAAGCAAAAACCATCCTGAAATCAGGGAAGAAACAGCCAGTGATTTGTGTGGTCAAGACAAGTATTTAATGTATTGCTTTTAATTGTCTTACTGAATCCATATCATCCACTCATTCCATCCCCATGAAGGGGAAGCGACGGGTTAAATTAGATACCAATATTTCGCGGTTAAGTTTGACAGGTGTTTTAGATTTAAGTCCGGTTTATCAAATTAATTCTCAACTGAAATATTACAGGTTTTGCATTTGATACGAAAACGGTTTTCCATAAAAGACATGTAAGTGACCTCCCATACATGGACAGAGACTTACTACAGTCTTATAATTACGATCACTCTCCGAGGTGAGCCATTGTGACAATTAACAAGACCCGGAAGTGGACCCTATAACTGGTCGCTTGCTCTCTCACATCAACACAGGCTTACAGCAGTCGTATAATTACGATCACGCTTCAAGATGATTCGTTGTCGCTCCTTAAGCAGACCCGGAAGTGAACCCCATACGTGTCCAAGATCCACATACAGCAGTCGTATAATTACAATCACGCTTCAAGATGATTCGTTGTCGCTCCTTAAACAGACCCGGAAGTGAGCCCTATAACTGTCCAAAATCCACATACAGCAGTCGTATAATTACAATCAAGCTTCAAGGTGATTCGTTGTCGCCCCTTAAGCAGACCTGGAAGTGAGCACAGGTCCTCGTGTCTTTGCGAGGGTTAAAGATTTAAAAAATATTGTTTTTGAGATGACCCCGAAGGGGTCGGGGGTCATCTCAATTTGTTTTTAATAAATATTTTGAAAATCTTTAAACCTCCCAAGGACACGAGAGCCTGTGGAAGTGAGCCCTACAACTGTCCAAACTCCACGTAGAACAGTCGTATAATTACGATCACTCTCTAGGTGGAGTCATTGTCTCACCTTGACAAGTCCAGGAAGAGCTCCCCAGAGCGATGTGTTGGGTAGTACCTCCCTCCCCGTGTTATGACGCACGTATCTGTTGTAAGTGACCCCTCCCACCAGATACACGACCATCACAACAATGACTCTGTGAATGAAAGGAGGCGTTAGCAAAAGTATGGGGGAATCGTGTCCATTATTGCATGTGTGTTACTTCGTTTGCTTTTCGTCACACTCGGCAATATTCCACCTATATGACAGCGGTCCCTAAATAATGGCTGGAGCAGACAATCCTGTGATTGACGTCGTGAGTATTGATCTCCGAACCGGGATGCAATGACATGCATCAAGCAAATCGATTAGCCGATCCCGTTAGTCGCTGCTTACAAGCATTGGTTACCCGGGTAAGCAAAGACGCCAGCATTTTATGGCTTGTCACAATAGACGGAAATGAAATAGTTGTCATGTTTAGTGCCGGTTGCTTGCCAGCGTATCAAAAAACGTACAGAATGGCATGTACTGCCATCGACCGATGTACGGCGTGGTTGATTGATTACACTTTGTTATTTTGTTTGTTTGTTTAACGCCACACTCAGCAGTATTCCAGCTTTATGGCGGCGGTCTGTATATAATCGAGTCTGGACCAGACATTCCAGTGATCAGTAGCATGAGCATCTTGATAATAGTCATAATACTCCGCATTTATTTTCGTTAATAAAAACTCATACGCAGTTGGTGACATAATATTTGATCACTGACCACTAAAACATGACAGTCTTAGATCAGATTTGCTAAGTGGTTGTTTAAGTTGGTTGGTTGGTTGGTTGGTTGGTGTGATGTTTAATGCCGCACTAAACAATATTCCAGGTATATGGCGGCTGTCTGTAAATGGGGAGGTGGGGTAGCCTAATGGTTAAAGCGTTCGCTCATCACGCCGAAGACCCAGGTTCGATTCCCCACATGGGCACAATGTGTGACGCCCATTTCTGGTGTCCCCCGCCGTGGTATTGCTGGAATATTGCTAAAAAGCGTCGTAAAACTAAACTCACTCATTCACTCTCTGTAAATAATCGAATATGGACCAGACAATCCAGTGATCTACTTGTTAAGTGACTGTCAAGTGTTAATAGAGCCATACTTACATTATAAGCAGAATGGTCCCTACGCTCAAGCCGTCACTGGGCGGAACGTAAATTGTCTCGTGACAACCGTCTGCGCATGCGCACTTCGAGGTTATACGGCCGTACTGAGAATAAAACGATATAGTGTTATTGATGACTTTAAGATAATTTAAACTTTCTTCAGCTTGTTCAACCCCGGAATGGGGCGGTGGGGGTGGCCTAGTGGTTAAAGCGTCCGCTCGTCACGCTGAAGACCCGAGTTCCATTGTCACTTGGGTACAATGTGTGAAGACTATTTCTGTTGTTCCCCGCCGTGATATTGCTTGAATATTGCCGAAAGCGGATAAAACCTCGCTCACTCACTCACTCACTCACTCTGGGCTTTCAGACATCTCTCTGCTGATTGATCCGCACAGTGTTGGAGGAAGATACTCCACACAACTCAACACACGACACAATTACTGGTGGGTAGGTTTAGCCCAGTGGTGAAAGCGTTCGATCGTCAAGCCGAAGACCCGGGTTCGATTCCCCATTTTGGTACATTATGCGAAGCCCATTTCTGCTGTACCACGTTGTAATATTGCTGTAATATTGCTAAAGGCGGCGTAAAACTAAGCTCACTCACTCATTCACTCCGGGTCATCCTTAAACACCAGGCTGTGTCTTGTTGATAGACCGACATAGTGATCTAACTAGGAATTACTTACATATTGGGGAACTCCCTGGGAACCCTGGATCTCAACAAACGGTTCGTCGTAGGTCTCATCACAGATGGCGGTGATGAAGGACTCCCTACAACATAACTACTGGTCATTCATACTTGTTCGAACCTTTTCAATAGGCGATCACCGTAACATTAGAAATAGGTTCCTGTTAAGTCGCGGAGAACATGAAGGTACATGTAAACACTTTTACATTGAAACAAATAACAAAAAGGATATTTGCAAAAAATGCGGTCCCAAGAGTTAGGTTGACAGACTATATATCGTGTTAACTTTTGTACAAGGTACGAGTACTTCGTTGTGGAGCAGGACTGAAGTCCAAGAAACTCTCAGGAGTCAAGCTCCGAAACATGGTCACCCATCCAACGACTCTCCGTGACCGACGTTGCTAAACTTTAACTAATCTGTGACCTGGGTTCTTTCCACAGAAACACACACGCCACATTGCGACCAGCACAGATTGCTTGGTGTTAACTGTCACCGTGAAATCCCCAGGAGTTGCGTGGATATTTCGTTTACACCAGAGTATAGCAGGGACCGGACAAAAGACAAGGGTCAACCTCCCAGGACAGATTAACTTCAGTATTTTGAATGAATCGGTGATCCTTAACTTCCCTTGAGCAGTATACATGTATTATCAACCTATCAGAAGTAGCAGAGGAACGTTTACGGGTAAAACGCGCAACAGCCACTTTGCAAAAGTCGATTTTTTAAACCGCCTTTATACATTTTTGTGTATATCGATATTAGAAATTTGAAAATGAACCCATTTATCTACCATATGTTTAGCTGTCTATTTGTTTATCTGTTCATTTATAATAATTTACTTACTGTCAGAAGTAAATATGATGGTATCAATTTATACCCCAGTAGGCGATATTCAAGCTGGAAGAGGGCGGTGGGGTAGCCCTGTGGTTAAAGCGTTTGCTCGTCATACTGAAGACCCGGGTTCGCTCCCCTACATGGGTACAATGTGTGAAGCCAATTGTTCGTGTCCAGCGTCGTGATATTGCTGGAATATTGCTAAAAGCGCTGTAATCTAAATTCACTCACTCACTCAAGCTGGAAGACAGTGGTGTTTGATTGACGTCACCAGCATCAATCAACACGACATCAACCATATTGTTTCTCGTATTTCACTTTGAGTGGAATTTCCTCAATGAACAAAATGTGATAACTTTACAAAATGTGATAAAATTGTTAATTTTACCTCAAGGTGTCCGTGGTGGCGCTGTAGTATATCTGGATGTTGGTGCCATCAAATGACCATACGGCTGAGTTCTGGTCGCCAGTCAGCCATGAACTCCCGTCATAGTCACTCTGACACATCTGTAACGACAACGTGCAGGTGTGTCATGGTATCATGACATTTCAACAAAACAAAAACATAATTACATCACATGACATGACAACATGGCATGACAGTACAACATGGCACGACAGTACAACATGGCACGACAGTACAACACATCCTTACAGCATGACACTGCAACAGGGCATGACATTTAAACATGGCATGTCAGTACAACATGGTATGACAGTACAACATGGCACGACAGTACAACTTGGCACGGTACTACAACACATCATTTCAACATGACACTGCAACAGGTCATGACAGCACAACTTTGCATGACAGTACAACATGGTATGACAGTACAACATGGCACGACAGTACAACACATTACAACATGACACTGCAACAGGGCATGACATTACAACATTGCATGACAGTAAAATATGGCACGACAGTACAACATGGCACGACAGTACAACACATCCTTACAGTATGACACTGCAACAGGGCATGACATTACAATATGGCACGACATTACACCATGGCACGACAGTAGTACACATCATTACAACACGACACTGTAACAGGGCATGACATTAAAACATGGCATGACAGTACAACATGGCACGACAGTACGACATGGCACGACAATGCAACACATCATTATAACATGACTCTGCAACATGTCCAAACATGACCACATTGCAATATGACACAAAATGACATGACAACACAACACACCATATAATACTCATTGCAGCTTGACATTGCATAATAACATAAACCGTGATTTCCACAGAACGCTGCGAATAGCTGCAGAATAGCTGACCTCATCTTGCAAACTCGCCACGGCGTATGTACATGCCATATATCTACACACCATACACAAAACTCACCGCAGCGTCTGAGCACGAGTATTGACTGAACGGGAAGCATGGGTTGTACGAGTAGAGGTAGTTGTCGTTCAATGCCGTGTAGTCGCTGTACCTGAAACAAGCGACTCAATATTTAGTGAGCATTTACTGTTAACTACCCATTACTCACCAAGTATGACCAGAAATTATTGAGAATTTTAGGAATATGTTTACTTGGATTTCTAGTATAAACAACCTTGACCAGCTATCAAGTGCTTGGTTTCAATCAAGAGAGACAACTCCGTTAATCCTTTTTCATTAGTTTGTGAAGAGTTATCCCCCTTTGTTTACTTGCTAGCAGACGACATTTTCAGTGATCCTCAGTATGGATGATTTGGAGAAGAGGAAGTTGATTTTAGAGTATTATAACAAGGACATCAGATCAGCTAAAGTGATTTCAAGTAGAACAGGCATCCCTTTGTCCACTTTTTATCGTGTTTTGAAATATATTGCAAATGGATAAGGCATTGAGCACCAGGCAGGCGCAGGTAGACCCAGAAAATTGACTGTCAGGTGACAGGAGGCGGCTTGGTATTCTTGTTTCTAAACACGAAACGAAGGAGTTTAGAAAACTTAAGGCTGGATATGATTGATAGAGGAACTGTGGCTGTCTGTAAGGAGACAATTAGAACTGAGCTGCATGCAATGGGTTGGCAGAAAAGTCGAGGAATTCCATCACCGATCATGAAACCTGAACAAAAGGAGCGAAGTTTGAACTGGTGCTTACAGCATAGAAATTTTAACTGGGACAATGTGATTTCCTCAGATGAAAGTTCTGTGTGGCTGTTTCCTAATACACTGAAATTCTGGACCAAACAAACTGAAAAACCTTTGTATCAGCGCTTAAAGTACAGTCCGAAATTTAACGTGTTAGGTGGCATATCTGTGTTAGGGGCAACGCCCCTCTGTGTATTTGAAGAGAATATGAACAGTGAATGGTACACAGATATTCTCGAGGGACATGTACTTCCATCTGCTCACGTGTTCTATGGAAAGTTTGGATTTTCCAGCAGGACAACGACCCAAAACATCGTTCAAAGCTGACATTATTAGATTGGCCAAGCTATAACCCTGACCTAAATCCAATAGAAAATGTTTGGGGACTTATGAAGGAAAGTGTCAATAAGAAAAATCTGACAAATATTGCTGAAATGAAAGAAGAGGTGGTCAGATATTGGGACAGCATCGACCACGACTTTCTAACTTCATTGATCAGTAGTATGCCCCGCCGCATTGAAGCCTGCATTGCTGCCCATGGTGACTTGGCAAAATACTAACTGTTCACCTGTCTTTGAATCTGGAGTTATGTTCTGCTAAAATTCACATTTAATACGGTAGTAATGAGTGTAATCTTTAAATTCTCAATAATTTCTGGTTGTACTGTAATATCGTTTTGCTGAAATACATCACACCATTAAGAAGGGTTAGAATTGATCTTCAGTAACCCATGCTTGTCTTAAGAGGCGACTAACGGGATTGGTTAGCCAGGCTCGCTGACTTGGTTGACACATGTCATCGGTTCCCAATTGCGCAGATCGATGCTCATGATGATGATCAATGGATTGGCTGGTCCAGTCTCGATTATTTACAGACTGCCTCCATATAGCTGGAATATTGCTGAGAGCGGCGTAAAACTAAACTCACTCGCTCACATCATTATGCTCATAATTCGTCAGATATTTTTGTCAGGATATTGAACTTTGATCATCATATGTCTGTAACTAAGACATATCGAAAAGCAGTGAAAGAAGAACATTTTTGTTTTCTTTTTCTTTAAATTTTCGGACAACCTGTTGAGACAAAACATAACCAAAAACGAGTGAGGGAATTAAAGAAAAAAACTTAACGTCGATGAAACAGATTTCAGACCGGAAAACTATTGTCTGTCCATTGTTGTGTTTGAGATTGATGGACATGTCTGAAGATCAGGGTATGAACTGCTCATTCAGTATTCCGATCAACGGGGCTGATAATGGACAAAATTAGAGAATCGGTCAACAGACATACCACCATAAGGACTCACTGTGCCTATCTAAAACAACCTCTGAAGATCTTCAGTAACCCATGCTTGTCGTAAGAGGCGACTAACGGGATCGATTGGTCAGGCTTACTGACTTAACTGACACATGTCATCGTATCCCAGATGCGTAAATCGATGCTCATGCCGTTGATCACTTGATTGTCTGGTACATATTTGATTATTTACATATTTCTGTCATATAGCTGGAATATTTCGGCGTAAAAATCACTAAAAAGCAAATGAAGAGATATTTTTCATACTCCACACGATTATACACATCTATATTCTTTACAAATTAAATATGCATTATCATGGTTGCCTCACAGTAGATAAACTGTGAAAGAAACATCGCTAGCTGGTTGTTAAACCCTATCGTTTGAATAATCAGTGCAGTTTGTTATATGGAATGTTCAATGGTGGACCAGTCGACGAGGTGCATTGACAAATAGACGCTGAGGATAAACTGAACGAGTGCCGAGTCACATTTAACCAAACTCCCCTTTGGATTGGTAATGGATTCTTCCGTTGCACGCGGAACGCCTGACGTCCTAAAACGCTGATACATGGCCACAGAGTACGAAATCAACGTACACCTAAGTCACACTCACGAAAAAATTCCCCTTTGGACTGATGACGAATTCTTCCGTTGCAAGCGGAACGCTATGTAAGGTCCTAAAACGCGGGGTCCACACCCAATTGTCTTACATTTGATGGCAGGAAACATGGTCACAAAGTTGACGTTCGGGATAAACTCAACCTGTGCCGAGTCACAATCAACCATTTGGATTGGTGATGGATACTTCCGTTGCACGCGGAAAGTCTAACCTCCAAATACGCGGGTTCCACACCAATATTTCTTACTTTGTGACAGGAAGGAGACATGAATACAAAATAGGTGACTTACTTTGGCGTTCCATCAGTATTTCCTGTGGTCGTCATATCAGCTGTACCAGTACCGTCGTCGAAAACACACATACATGGCCCCACCCCCACACACTGCCTGCCGTGGGACCCTGGCAGCACCCCCAGGGCGAGCACCACCCCCAAAGTTAGCCAAATAACAGCCATGTCCAGTTGACCCAGATTTGACAGTAAACATGTGACATTTGCCAGTTGATAACTCGATAACAGCTCAACGGGATGCTGTTATCTACGACGTGATAACGTTATGATGTATACATAATTATGATTTTTTATTATTTTATGTCTAATAACGTAAATGTTTTAGAACTAAAATATACTCGTTTGCACTAAAACGGTATAAGTCTAGTGAGTGAATAAATGATATTCTATGGCCTAATTTCCAAGCTTCACTTCAGCAAACTTGTCGAGTTTAATCGTGCTAACCAGTCATGGAAATCGCGTGCGTACGTGCGTGCGTTTGAATGAGGAGATGCGTGATATGGTGTGGTGTAAGTTATGGAACATGTTCCCTTGAAAGCCCTTTCGAGGTCTTGATCGGCCATTCTGCTGTGAAGTTGAGGTCAAATGAAGTCAGTCTTTATCCCCGTTTGTGTTAGTCAGAACTGAATTTTAGTCAGAGCCCCCTGGACCCGTGAAATCCGGGTTAGAACTGGTCTTCAGTAACCCTGCTTGTCGTAAGGCGACTAACTCGATTATTTACAGACCGCCGTCATACAGCTGGAATATTGCTGAATGCGGCGTAAAACAACAAACCAACCAACCAACCAAATCCAAGACCACTGAGATGTCATGCGTCCGTTTAACATGACCAACAGAATCCAGTCCGTGTTCCATCCCTTTAGCGTCGAGTGAGTTTAGTTTTACGCCGCACTCAGCAATATTCCAGCTATATGGCGGCGGTCTGTAAATAATCGAATCTGGACCAGACAATCCAGTGATCAACAGCATGAGCATCGATCTGCGCAATTGGGAACCGATGACATGTGTCAACCAAGTCAGCGAACCTGACCACCCTATCCCGTTAGTCGCCTCTTACGACAAGCATGACTTACTGGAGACCAATATTCTAACTCGGACCTTTCACGGGACAAGAGACGTGGGACACAACTACTGTTACCTACACCATGCTATTGAGTGAGTGAGTGAGTATGGTTTACCGCTTTTAGCAGTGTTCCAGCAATCTCACGACGGAGGACACCAGAAATGGTCTTCACACATTGTGCCCATGTAGGGAATCGAATCCGGGGCTTCGGCGTGACGAGCCAACGCTTTAACCACTAGGCTACCCCACCGCCCGTTGAGGAGGTTTCTTAGCATGGGAAAGATCCACAGATCAATATCCGTGGTGGGGTTGTCATCCAATAAGAGCCATTATATCGCAAGTATGTTAATGCAATTCAAAATGCTGAATGGCTTGTCACGCGATTCAAATATAATCCAAAGACACGGTACAATAAACATTTTAATACCAAAAATACCAGCTTCATGATTTAGCATCATGATGAACAAAGTTTTGGCAGAAATAGCAGCTGATAAATAATTCAGTTTCTCTATGGACAGCGACACTCGCATTATTTTTAACAGTTTAAATACACTATATTTTCTGCTCACTTTATTTTCCTCTATGTTAAATATGTGACCATCATTTCGTTATCTTTATCAATCTGACTTGTCTTTTGAATGATTCATTTATGTTCAGGAACACTAGCAATAATGCGGTCATGGTTGATGAATGGTTGCGTTTCCTTTGCATTTGAGTATATGACGTGATTCTGATGCATCATATATGTTGGTAGGATGCTTTCTGTGGAGCACCACCACGACAACGCCCGATGGCAAACGAAAAACCATCCTGAAATAAGAAGCAGCGATGAGTGAGTAAATTGGTGAGTTTACAGAGTGACGAGACACTGAACAAAATATATACCGCCGATTTCGACCCAAAGAATGAAACTATCCCGCAATAAGTAGCAGCAACGAGGAGTGAGTGAGTGAGCGCGTGAGTGAGTGAGTGAGCGCGTGAGTGAGTGTGTGACACTTCAAACAACGGGGAGTAATACACATTGCTGCTGTCGAACCAAAGAACCATATTGTTTCACCAATATGTAACACATCAACAATGACATCCGAATTACGTCACAAAGAATGTTCACGCCATTTCAACAATTTCACGTCATACATATTACAGCAACAATGAGGTCTGTATTACGTCATTTCACCATTTTAACGTCATACATTTTACAGCAACAATGAGATCTGTATAACGTCATTTCAACAATTTAACGTCATACATATGACAGCAACAATGAGGTCTGTATTACGTCATTTCAACAATTTAACGTCATACATATTACAGCAACAATGAGGTCTGTATTACGTCATTTCAACAATTTAACGTCATACATATTACAGTAACAACGAGGTCTGTATTACGTCATTTCAACAATTTAACGTCATACATATTACAGCAACAATGAGATCTGTATAACGCCATTTCAACAATTTAACGTCATACATATTACAGCAACAATGAGATCTGTATAACGTCATTTCAACAATTTCACGTCATACATATTACAGCAACAATGAGATCTGTATAACGTCATTTCAACAATTTAACGTCATACATATTACAGCAACAATGAGATCTGTATTACGTCATTTCAACAATTTAACGTTATACATTTTACAGCAACAATGAGATCTGTATAACGTCATTTCAACAATTTAACGTCATACATATGACAGCAACAATGAAGTCTGTATAACGTCATTTCAACAATTTAACGTCATACATATTACAGCTACAATGAGGTCTGTATTACGTCAACGAGGATGTTGTTGCTGCTGCAACTACGTCGTGCGTATTACATTAACGACAAGGTCTGTATCGGCAACCACGTAGTCTGTAATACGTAGTCTGTAATATGTATTATGTCAAAAGTATCATCTACATTACTCATGAATCATCGCTGTGTTATAACTACATTGCAGTCTCTCCCACATCAACACACACTTACAGTCTTATAATTACGATTAGGCTCCAGGGTGCGTCGCCTTTGTGACACCTTAACGAGACCCGGAAGTGAACACTATACCTGTCCGATCTCTCTCACATCAACACAGACTTACAACAGTCTTATAATTACGATTAGGCTCCAGGGTGCGTCGTCTTTGTGACACCTGAACGAGACCCGGCAGTGAACACTATAACTGTCCGATCTCTCTCACATCAACACAGACTTACAATAGCCTTTTAATTACGATACGCTCCAGGGTGCGTCTTTGTGACACCTTAACGACACCCGGAAGTAAACACTATACCTGTCCGATCTCTCTCACATCAACACAGACCTGCGACCTACGATCACGTTCAAGGTTGATTCGTTGTCGTTTCTTTGCGAGACTCGTAATCCACGCCTATAACTCTCAAAAACTTCAAATCACGTCGAACTTACAGCAGTCGTAGAATTACGATCCAGGGCCCCGTTCCTCAAAGCGATCGTAGCGCTACGACAGTCGTAAGCCTATGTTAAAGTATGGGAGTTGCGATCACCTTAGCGCTACGATCGCTTTGAGGAACGGGGCCAAGGTGGAGTCACCGTCACGCCTTAACGTGATTGGGAAGTGAACTTATAACTGTTCGATCGCTCTCTCTCATCAAAACAGACTTACAACAGTGGTAGAATTACGGTCACGCTTCAAGATAATTCGTTGTCGGTCCGTAAGCAGACCCGGAAGTGAGCCCTATTACTGTCCAAAATCCAAGTACAGCAGTCGTATAATTACGATCACTCTCCAGGTGGAGTCATTGTCTCACCTTGACAAGTCCAGGAAGAGCTCCCCAGAACGATGTGTTGGGTAGTACCTCCCTCCCCGTGTTATGACGCACGTATCTGTTGTAAGTGACCCCTCCCACCAGATACACGGAAATCACAACAATGACTCTGTGAACGAAAGGAGGCGTTTTAGTAACAAATAGATCGTACAGCAACTGCTGTAATTTCAATAATAATGACTGCTGTAAATTCCTTAATAGCGATAAAACCAACTAAGACGAATCTCGAAACATGTACAGGGCGAACCCGGAATTGGAATCCAACATCGTAGATTCCTTGGGCACCTAAGGGCGTAACTATGCACAAATACGATTTTTGGAAAGGCCATCAGTGCCTCTGTTTTATTTAAGGGGGAATCAAGTATCTGGTTAGCCATTTCGCAGTGCATCTCTTTTATAAAGAAACATTTTCGATCCGTATTTTGCAGCCATCCCGCTTCTACTTCTTTATATGTCGGAGAAGAAAATAAAAATAAGCTGTAAGATTAAAGATGGATACTTTGCGTCCATATTGGAATTCATCTGAGGAGTTTATCAAATTTATGGCAACACCTACGATGATTTCTGCATTCAAAACCTACAATCGATAACCAATTCATTTCACAATCTCAACCACAATACATGATAGACATACTTACATTATAAGGAGTATAGATCCCCCGCTCAAGCTAATCTCAATATCCACTTTATGCGTGGTCGTATGGCAGCCGTCTGGACATGCGCACTTCGAGGTTATTTGACCATACTACGAAGAAACGAGGAAGTTACATCGATATTGTTAAAATAACTTCCGGGCTAACAGGATTCAAACCAACCTAATCCAGGCTAACAGGATTCAACCCAGAAAGATCCGGGCTAACAGGATTCAAACCAACGGGATCCGGGTAAACAGGATTCAAACCAACGGGATCCGGGTTAACAGGATTCAAACCAACGTGATCAGGGCTAACAGGATTCAACCCAGAGGGATCCGGGCTAACAGGATTCAAACCAACGGAGTCCGGGCTGACAGGATTCAAACCAACGGAGTCCGGGCTGACAGGAGTCAAACCAAAGGGATCGGGCTAACAGGATTCAAACCAACGTGATCAGGGCTAACAGGATTCAACCCAGAGGGATCCGGGCTAACAGGATTCAAACCAAAGGGATCGGGCTAACAGGATTCAAACCAACGTGATCAGGGCTAACAGGATTCAACCCAGAGGGATCCGGGCTAACAGGATTCAAACCAAAGGGATCGGGCTAACAGGATTCAACCCAGAGGGATCCGGGCAAAGAGGATTCAAACCAAAGGGATCGGGCTAACAGGATTCAACCCAGAGGGATGGGGCTAACAGGATCCAAACCAACGGAGTCCGGGCTGTGAGGATTCAAACCAACGGAGTCCGGGCTGACAGGATTCAAACCAACGGAGTCCGGGCTGACAGGATTCAAACCAATGGAGTCCGGGCTGACAGGATTCAAACCAACGGAGTCCGGGCTGACAGGATTCAAACCAAAGGGATCAGGGCTGACAGGATTCAAACAAACGTGATCAGGGCTAACAGGATTCAACCCAGAGGGATCCGGGCTAACAGAATTCAACCCAGAGGGATCCGGGCTAACAGGAGTCAAACCAAAGGGATCGGGCTAACAGGATTCAAACCAAAGGGGTCGGGCTAACAGGAGTCAAACCAAAGGTATCGGGCTAACAGGATTCAAACTAAAGGGATCGGGCTAACAGGATTCAAACAAAAGGGATCGGGCTAACAGGATTCAACCCAGAGGGATCCGGGCTAACAGGATTCAAACCAAAGGGATCCGGGCTAACAGGATTCAACCCAGAGGGACCCGGGGCTAACAGGATTCAACCCAGAGGGATCCGCTCTAACAGGATTCAAACCAAAGGGGTCGGGCTAACAGGAGTCAAACCAAAGGGATCGGGCTAACAGGATTCAAACAAAGGGATCGGGCTAACAGGATTCAACCCAGAGGGATCCGGGCTAACAGGATTCAAACCAAAGGGATCCGGGCTAACAGAGGGATCCGGGCTAACAAAACCAAAGGGATCAACGAGGGATCTAAACAGGATTCAAACCAAAGGGATCGGGCTAACAGGATTTAAACCATAGGAGCTAACAGGATCCAACCCAGAGGGATCCGGGCTAACAGGATTCAAACCAAAGGGATCGGGCTAACAGGATTCAACCCAGAGGGATCTGGGCTAACAGGATTCAAACCAAAGGGATGGGGCTAACAGGATTTAACCCAGAGGGATCCGGGCTAACAGGATTCAACACAGAGGGATCCGGGCTAACAGGATTCAAACCAAAGGGATCGGGCTAACAGGATTCAAACCAAAGGGATCCGGGCTAACAGGATTCAAACCAAAGGGATCCGGGCTAACAGGATTCAAACCAAAGGGATCGGGCTAACAGGATTCAACCCAGAGGGATCCGGGCTAACAGGATTCAAACCAACAGGATTCAAACCAAAGGGATCGGGCTAACAGGATTCAATCCAGAGGGATCCGGGCTAACAGGATTCAAACCAAAGGGATCCGAGCTAACAAGATTCAAACCAAAGGGATCGGGCTAACAGGATTCAAACCAAAGGGATCCGGGATAACAGGATTCAAACCAAAGGGATCGGACTAACAGGATTCAAACCAACGGGATTCAACCAAATCAGCAAGCCTGACCACCCGATCCCGTTACTCGCCTCTTACGACAAACCTGGGCTCCTGAAGATCGATGCTAACTCTTATCTTCAAGGTTCCTCAAATAGTGAAAGGTAAGCGTATTTTGCCCCATCGTTAGTACCCGTCATAAACACATGCAAATGCTAGTCAATTGTTCACCTGAAAAACGTGAACCTGTGGTCCTGCCATCATTTCTTTAGTGTTCATTAAGTGTTCTACTCCAAGAACTCACATATTGGGCTGTTCCAAAAGTTTCTTCTCCCAACATTTCGACATACGGTTCCTCAAATGTCGGGTCGCAGACCGCAGTGATGAAGGATTCCCTGGTGTAAAATTGTGGTAAATGTGAATACTTAATTATGAAAGGGCTTGAAATGTTAATGATATGTTATGCAAACGTTACACACGATGTATTATGGGCAGAAAACGTGGCCAAAAACAAACCCCAAAAAATAAATAGCCTGTACTGAAATTTGGGATTCGAACACATGTACCAGTCCAAATTATGAAAAGCGATTTGCGGCGTCTCAGATTTAGACTAATCAACGAGGCAATAGGAATCAAACACTTGAAGAAAGGAACTGACCCCCAAACGTCTTAAATCTTAAAACAGTGGCCGAAGCATTGCAAACCCTAGGGGTGAAAATCAGCTTGTTGGATTTGGAGGATGTATGCTTAGAGGTCAAAGCCCACTTAACCCTTTTTGGGTAGCCCATAATGCACGAACCAAAAAGGCATATTATGCAATGGAAGGTTGCCAAAGCGGCACTATCCCCAAAAGTGAGTGAGCGAATGAATTTAGTTTAAGGCCGCTTTTAGCAATATTCCAGCAATACCACGGCGGGGCACACCAGAAATGTATTAGAAAATGGTGAACAGGGCTCACTAATACCACCAACTCCCAACTTCCCTTAATTGCTAATTTTCTTGATTTCTTAATTTTGTCTTCTTCAAGTATTTGTGTCCTATGGATTAGCCTTTGCACGAATGGGGATTTTGCTTACAGGGGATTTAACCATTAACCTGCGGGTCCCGAGATATATATATATATATAATTTTCAGCCACGGCAAGTGACAGGAACGGTTCCAAATAACAGTCAGCATGGCATCGCTATGGCATAAGTGTATGAGCCGATTAAGTGTTACATAAGTAGAGCTGAAATAGAAACAATAAATGCCGTTTCTCCTACAATATCATCAAAGGATAAATGTTCTGTGTTACTTGTTCACAATATAGAAATATTGTATTAAAAGCAACATTCTATTGCACTCGTTATACATCCATAGAAAGTGTTCAACAAATCTGAGAACAACTCAAGATAAGGTCATCATTAGGGACACCTGCCCACCAATAGATAATGAAGTTGTTGAAAATATTTGACAACAATCCAAACAGTTTTTAAGATGAAGAAACAATTTCATGGAATTCAAAATTGGGAGCTCAAAATATTCAAATTATTATTATTATTGACAAACTTTAAATATATGCATCAGACTGTGCACTGCCACAATCCTTTGACCAAAGAAGCCTTAATCCAAATCTGAAACGAAATCTGAAATGTTACTGGTTGAACAATTTGCCGTTAGTTTATTCCAAGAGTTCAAGAGATGTAAGTTGCCATACAATCTCAGTCATTTATTACGCTTCTAAAGTCGAGCACTTTCTGAAAATATCTCAAAGCACAGTTTGGCATGGAAGTCAACGTTGAAAACATGTGTTTGAAAACTTGAGAAAGCTGCTCTCTGATTGACTAATATCCTCTTCCTGTTGGTCATTTCATTGGTCGGTTAAGTTCGCTCTCACATAACCTGTATTGGGATATACTCAGATCTTAGTGATGTGATAGCGAGGAAAGGTGTCTAAATTAGATAATAATCTTATAAATTTACCTCATGGTGTCAGTGTCGGCACTATAGTAGATCTGGATGTTTGACCCGTCGTAAGACCAGGTAGCTGAACTCTGGTCGCCTGTCTTCCACGCCTGCTGGCTTGCGTCACTCTGACACATCTGCAACGACAACAACACCGTCAATGTCATCCAGGGCCTGCTTTCACAAAACACTAAGGTGATCGTATGTCACAAAGGTAACCTTAGTGCAATGTTAAAGAATGGGAGTAAGGTTAACCTGAGTAAAGTTTGCTTCGTGAAAGGAGCCCCTGAACAACATCACAATACGCCATATTGCCATCGTGACGAAATGTCGTTTGTATTGAGTCGTCATATCGCTATCGTGGCGTAATATCGTTTGTACTGAGTCGTCATATCGCCATCGTGGTGTAATATCGTTTGTATTGGGTTATCATATCACCATCGTGACGTAATATCGTTTGTATTGAGTCGTCATATCGCTATCGTGACGTACTATAGTTTGTATTGAGTATAAATGTGTAGCCTAGTAGTTAAATCGTTCGATCGTCACGTCCAAGATACGGTACCACATACGTACAATATGTGAAGCCCATTTCTGCTGTGCCCTGCCGTGATATTGCTGGAATATTGCTAAACGGCATAAAACCATACTCACTCACTACTCCGTGACGTGTTATAGTGACATTGACCACGGTCGCAACATATTGCAGTCTTCCTCGTCGTATAAACAGCGACATCAACGGCGAGGGCCATTACGTATAGACTTGACTCCATCGCTTCATATCGCAGTAATTCACTTACGGGCAATGTCATTACAGTGATGGAAAGTATTTATCTGTTAATCTTACCTAATCATAAAATGGAACAAGACTGCATCAAAAAAAATTCGAAAGCTGTTAGATCTGAACAATGCCCAGTGATGACTTCTACTACCACACGGAACATTCGCACCAGCGACAAGTTACCATGACAACAACAGTCACTCGCCATATTGAATGGTGTCTCCTTATTGCGAGATCTCGTTTTTGCAAGATCTCGTTTTTGCGAGATCTCGTTACAAGTTTACATCTAACTTCTTCCCCGCCTTCAGAAACACTGCTCACGAAAGCGCCAATAAATAGCAGTATATATACAAATGTAAACAGAGTTAGATGTTCACATTCATTAAGACACTAATATCTTTTTGCAAATTCCCATTTACACTATGTACGAAACTTATGTATGTTAGAGACATATTCACAGTTCATGGTTCAGTGTTTACTGGACATAATCCTTCAGACACATTTTGGGATGTCCCATTCTTCTTGATTCCTCAAATAGAGGACTGCTGCCAAGTACGGACACACAGAAGCTAACATCTCCAGTCAGATCATTTCATCACAACGACCCGATATGGATTGTTTATCCACTGACCTTAAGTAATGTCTTCTTCAGTTCTTTACAGATTGGACTGTTTTTTTCCCATTGATGGCGTTTGCTGAAACGTTGCAAACTTTCCTCGGCACATATCTACCATTCCGTTCCCTCAAACCTTCCCCGGCACATATCTACCATTCCTTTCCCTCAAACCTTCCTCGGCACATATCTACCATTCCGTTCCTTCGAACCTCGTTTCATTCGTTTACAAAAGAATCTGTTTCACTGAATTGATGGCACTGTGAGCAAGGTTTCGTAACAGCCCATTTGCATATCCCGTGTTTCAAACCAGTTTTGAAAATCAGATCCTCTTAAGATTCTGTCCTTATTACTACTTGACCCTTCGGAAAGAAGAGAATATGTAGATGTCAACTTCTTTATTAAGAGGATAGTGGTGTAAAGCTGTGGTCGATGTATTGTGGCTGATCTTTCAAAGACAACGCCTTGAGCTTGGATTTCCTGTCACAGCCCAAGCGATTCATGTCTACATAGAGCTCAAATAATTTCAACTATTCTTGCTCGTCTTCTTGTCCTCAAACCTTTTCTGGCATAGACAGCGGTCACATATAATCACGGTGTCCTTTCCTTACCAACGCTCCAGATAAGTGCTCATAATTCCCAGTGATGACACAGCGATACAATCCTGAATCAATTTCATGGAGAAATTTAAGAACAGACGTGTGTGTCAGTGCACAATCGCACTCTGAAAAATATGTCTAATGTCTAACTTCATTCCCTAGCAGTCTACCTCACTAACCTGACATATACCGTCACACAGAACATTACCTATGCTGCTTGTTCCCATGGCAACACTGAACGGGATCACTCATTGGGTGACGCCATCTTGAGTTTGGGTTTTTGAGAGTTTTGCTCTTTTGAGATCTTGTTATATGTTTACGAACTAACCTTTAAGCAAACAAGTCAAGGCCAACAACAAAATTAGATTGCAACTGGAACACACAATGGGAGAGAAACATCTGCATCGGATACTTTTATTATTATTATCCAAAATAACTATCTCAGAGAGAGCCTTCAAGCAACTCTATTACAATCTGACTTACAATATGACAACATGACAACAACAACCAATCAGCATACATTTACTAATCTTAACCAATCAGGGACGGTGGGGTAGCCTAGTGGTTGAAGTGTTTGCTCGTCACGCCAAAGACCCGGGTTCGATTCCCCACGTACATGGGACAAGGTGTGAAGCCGATTTCTGGTATCCAGCGATATTGCTGGAATATTGCCGAAAAAGCGTAAAACACACCCCACTGCCAGAGCGTAAAACTAAACTCACTCACTCACTCAAATCTGCTGATGTACCAGACAGTCCCACTCGATCATTCACGCTCGACTCACCGCGGCGTCGGTGCAACTGCTCTGTGAGAAGGGGAAACACGGGTTGTAGGAGTAGAGGTAGGTGTCGTGGAGGGCGGTGTAGTCAGCGTACCTGAAACAGAAGATTATTTACTTTTGAAGATTCACACAGGTCTATCTTAACACAAATGGTCTACACACCGTCACATTTCTGTTAACGACATGCAGTAACATGCACGAAAAGTACACTTTCAAATACACATGTACGTTTTGTCGCTTTTTATTTAAACTAAACCATCTTAAACCCAATGAAAATATCATCCTGTTCATAACGGACAAAACAGTCTCGCTGGCAAAGATTTAACATCTGTGGGGCTCTGTTGGCGATCATACCCGTGAAGATCCGGGTTAGAATTGATCTTCAGCAAGCCATGCTTGTCGTAAGACGCGAATACGGGATCGGGTGGTCAGGCTCGCTGACTTGGTTGAAACATGACATCGGTTCCCAGTTGCGTAGATCGATGCTCATGCTGTTGATCACTGGATTGTCTGGTCCAGACTCGATTATTTACAGACCGCCAGCATATAACTGGAATATTGCTGAGTGCGGCATAAAACTAAACTCACTCAATCACTCACTGTTGGCGATCTTAAAGTCAATTAAGACATTAACCTTCGATGGGGACCAAATGATCTGGCAAAGATTTAACATTAGTGAACAACCTACAGAGTGTCATCCTAGCAGCTGTAAAAGCTAATGTTATAATGTTGAATAACCCGAAAATAACTTTGTACAGAAATATATTATGACATCGAATAACTACAAATAACCCATCAAAAGTACCCAAATATATTGAAACACGCAGGAATATTTCACAACCACAGTGTCTAATGTCTATGATCTGTCACACTACAGTAGTTTGAGTGCCGCACGTGTTTCCCGAGTCCAGGAAATAGTGCTGAGTTTCAACAGTACAGAAGTCCCGTTCGGTGGCATTTCAAAAACTGGGAAGTACATTACAGTCAAACTTTATAGATAAGAAATTCTTTATTTCCTGAGTGACACGTTTCGTTACATGTTCAAGACAACGGCGTGTACAACGCACTCACGAAATTAAGAAGTTGTTATCAATAAAGTTCTGTACTCAATCGGATTGTCGAATATATCGAATCGCTCTGATCTTGTTCTACATCGGTACAACGAGGCATCTAGAAGTTGTATCTTCGCAGTGCACAGAGCATAATTAAGCAAACATGAAATAGTTACGCGGTGGTGAAATAGTTTGCCCAGGGTTCATAGTTGTATTTGGACGCTACGTTTACAGTGTTTTCTGCCAATGTTTTCAACCGAGAACCGTTTTCTAAATTTTAGTCAAATCCATTTGTAAATTTGAGTCAAATCCAATTTTCAAGTGTATACATTCCTTTGCCCGGTACTAGAATATATATATTACATCGGTGAGTTCTAACTGAACCTGGGGCGAATGGTCCCTTAGGGATCCAAGAAACCAATGGTAGCGGGTTCGAATCCAACATTCGTCCTGATTATGTTTGTATGTTTGTAAACATCACTCACTCACTCAGACTTCACATTTAAAGCTTATTTAAACGCTTATTAATCATACATATGATTATTACGTGACACTGTGTTAATATTTTGATCAGTACAAGAAGCAACACGTACTTTGCCGTCCCATCATTGTTTCCCGTGGTCGTCATGTCAGCTGTGCCACTGCCGTCGTCGAACACACACATACAGGGCCCCACCCCCCACACACTGCTTGCCATGGGACCCTTGCAGCACCCCTAGGACCAGCACTACTCCCACGGCTCGCCAGAAACGTTCCATCGCAGCCATTTCCAGGTGACCCAAATCTTGCAAATCGTGTGACCAGCGCTTGTTGATAACTTGATAACAACGTATTATGGCTGCATGTTATCTGTAAGGTTATATCGATTGTGGTCCGGCATGTTTCTGAAATAGATAGTTTAAGCTATGTTTGTTTGTTTATTTGTTGCTTAATGCCGCACCCAGCAATATTCCAGCAATATGGTAGCGGTCTGTAAATAATCGAATCTGGACCAGGCAATCCTGTGATCAACATCATGAGCATCGATCTACGCAATTGGGATGCAATGACATGTGTCAACCAAGTCGGCGAGCCTGACCACCCGATCCCATTAGTCACCTCTTACGACAAGCATGGGTTGCTGAAGACCAATTCTAACCCGAATCTTCACCGGTTGCTTTTGGTTGGTTGGTTGGTTGGCTGGTTGTTTAACGCCGCACTCAGCAATATTCCAGCTATATGGTGGCGGCCTGTAAATAATCCAGTCTGGGTCAGACAATCCAGTGATCAACAGCATGAGCATAGATCTACGCAACTGGGATACAATAACATGTGTCAACCAAGTCAGCGAGATTGAACACCCGTGATGTGATGTATAACTCGTGGATATATTGCTTGCTGGTGACAACCAGATTTACTTGCTCCAAAAGTTCCTGCCAAGATAATGTAAATAATCTTACGACTTCGTCTTTGTGATCCATTGAATATTGTTTGACCTCTGGCAGTGATGTGATGTGAGGTGTGCAAGGGGTTTAATGTCGCCTTCAAGATTAATACTTACACGTACATTATATAATATGTTCTATACTTATACACACATACATACGTATATGCCTGTACTAGTGTGGACTTTTACAGCGCTCTCCCACTGAGATATCATGACACTGTTTTACATGACTAATCCATTCAGACATAGTATACCGACAAGGACCGATCAGGCATCGCTTAACCCATAATGCTGACGCCATACCTAGAATCAAGCAAAGTCTTTCAACAACTTCTTGCATAACGCGACCACGGATCAACCCACTGACCAGCTGTCCTCTGGCGGACAAATCCTTAAAAGGACGCAGGGGGCGGATCCTCTGACATACAAATGGTAGGTTTGATTAACCAGACTTTGCTGAACCCTAATCTGGTAGTAGTTACACGTAACCCTCCGTCCATCGTAACAATGCTTAAGTTGAGAAACAAGCCTGTTACTGCGAACTCTCTCGGTTTGGACGGCAAGTCCAACCCTGCTCTTGAATATGAAGTCTTCTGGAGTCTCTGATCCGTCTGGGCATGTCACCTTTGTTTAATTTCAAACACAGACGTCATAAACATAAATTAAATGCTTAGCAAATTCTCGAAAATTACAAACCACACAACAGACTGTTGAGTACTGGATATATGAGGGGGTCCCAGGGGTGCAGTTTATTAGGACCATTGATACTGTCGTGAAAACGGGTGATGATCATCCGGGTTAGAGTTGGTCTTCAGCAACTCATGCTTGTCGTAAGAGGCGACAAATGGGATTGGATGGTCAGGACTTGGTTGACACATGCCATTGTATCCCAGTTGTGTAGATTGATGCTCATGCTGTTGATCACTGACTTGTCTGGTCCAGACTCGACTATTTACAGACTGCTGCCATACAGCTGGAATATTGCCGAGTGCAGTGTTAAACAACAAACCAAACCAAGCCAACCCAACCCAGGCTTCTCTATCACATAGCATTGACGCAGAAAACCTCCGTACTTGAGCAGTGAATTTAGAAGCTGTCTCAGTCTGTCCTGGTTCAGATCTCAAACCTCCGCAGAAAACCTCCGTCTGTCCTGGTTCAGCAGTGAATTTAGAAGCTGTCTCAGTCTGTCCTGGTTCAGATCTCAGCACCCCATGTGTGTTTCTCCCAGAGGATTCCAGTCTCCCCTGGTTCAGATCTGAGAACCCCATGTGTTTCTCCAAGAGGATTCCAGTCTGTCCTGGTTCAGATCTCAGCACCCCATGTGTGTGTCTCCCAGAGGATTCCAGTCTGTCCTGGTTCAGATCTCAGCACCCCATGTGTGTTTCTCCCTTCTCCCTGGTTCAGATCTCAGCACCCCATGTGTGTTTCTCCCAGAGGATTCCAGTCTGTCCTGGTTCAGATCTCAGCACCCCATGTGTGTTTCTCCCAGAGGATTCCAGTCTGTCCTGGTTCAGATCTCAGCACCCCATGTGTGTCTCTCCCAGAGGATTCCAGTCTCCCCTGGTTCAGATCTCAGCACCCCATGTGTGTCTCTTCCAGAGGATTCAGCACCCCATGTGTGTCTCTTCCAGAGGATTCCAATCTCCCCTGGTTCAGATCTCAGCACCCCATGTGTGTCTCTTCCAGAGGATTCCAATCTCCCCTGGTTCAGATCTCAGCACCCCATGTTTGCAATAAGAGTTAAGTGTGGGTTAAAACTCAACAATGAACACAAGGCTGCCTTAATATCTTTAAACAAGAAACCTTGGAGGTAATGTTTTATTAATAGGTTTGCAAAACAGTGATGACCTAAGTCAAATGGATGCCCGACACATAGCTGCCACAGAGAAAGGGTGGGTTCTATCAAATAGATGGTTCTATCAATCAGAGGAGTGGGTGTTAGTGGTGTTTGCTATTAGTAGTGTTGGCAATTGGTTAAAATCTCATAATTGATGATTGATTCATTACAACCGATCAAACATCGATAACAATTGGTTAGCGTCACATATCAAATTTTCCTGGTTATATTCTGTAATGCACACACGAAAAAGAAAAAGAGATGTAGTTCTTTTGAGTTTTTGTGCAAATTGAACAAAATGCCTTTGCAAATTTTACATCTTCAAAGGATGACTAGTATGTTAGGAACATAAATTTCCTTGATTCTTTCAGATAAATTCAATCAAGACTTGGAACGAGCTGGTAGTGCTCATGACATGTACCGGTAACACACACAACCAACCTTGTGAAAAGTATTGTGAAAGCAAACAAGTGTTCCAAAGTTTTTGGTGTTCGATTATTTGAAAACATGATCGATTGTTTGGTCGTTTAGTCACTGTGACCAATCTTCGATTATTTCAATTAATCGGACCACCACTAGCTATTAGAGTAGGGTGCTCAGTGAAAGTGAGTGAAAACCTAACAAGTGCTTAATAAAGGGAGTGAGTGAGTTTCAGTATTTTATCAATATTCCTGCAATATCACGGCGGGGACAGCAGAAATGGGCTTCACACACTGTATCCATGTGGGGAATAGAACCCCGGGTCTTCGGTGTGACAAGCATCCGCTTTAACCACAAGGCTACCCCACCTTCCTGCTCTGTGAGAGAGAAGGGTTACATTCACATACTATTTTCACTACAACATGTTCTCTAAAGAAACAATACACCTGACACTGACAGGGTAAGCCAGAAGAGTTCCTTCCAAAGGGGAGCTGGTGTTGGAGTTTCCTCGCTACTGCCAGCCACTCTCACCTGCATACAATCTAAATGTCATCAGCGCAGCATACTTCTAATTTCTGGGTACATTCCATATTTTGAGAGTGACAATTAGTTACCGATGAATGAACAAACATAAAAAACACCACACCATTAGCTCTTCTTTATCACTGAGCACATCACACTTCCCTGAAAATGCATCTTTCAGAAAGGTACATGATTATTTTGCCATAATGCCAGCACAATTTGTCTTTTCACTTTCATTTAGTTATGAAAACATGTTTTCAAATTAAATTTATAAAATGTCGACAACATGACTTCTGGTCCCCGAGATGACCCTCTAGTTAATTTACTCCCTAGCTTCATCACTGGCGATCACACTTTCTGTAACCACATTACGAACCGATGTGGTCGTCATCACAGGAGTGAGTGAGTGAGTTTAGTTTTACCCCGCTCTCAGCAATATTCCAGCTTTATGGTGGCGGTCTGTAAGTAATCGAGTCTGGACCAGACAATCCAGTGATCAACAAACAGCATGAGCATCGATCTGCGCAACTGGGAACCGATGACATGTGTCAACCACGTCAGCGAGCCTGACCTCCTGATCCCATTAGTCGCCTCTTACGACAAGCGCGGGTTACGGAAGATCAATTCTAACCCGGATCTTCACGGGTATCATGACAGGAGGTGATATATACAGTGGTGATGATACTGCACGTCATGTCCTTGTCAACTGCATCACAGGTTATCTTTATGGAGGAGATGAGATGAGTGAATCTGTACATAAACTGTCTTTCATCAGCTGGGAGGTCCGAACATGTCAAGAGTCTGTGTCACCAGGATGAGATGATCCATGAAAGAGTTGACACTGACTCGCAGTTTCCTTGCCTCTGGTGCCTCGAACATCCTGCAAGAAAATGTGTAAACAGTGACATATGTTAAGTTCAGGACCTGAAGGCCTGGTTAGGTCTACTAATGCCTACAGTGAATAATGCCTACAGGGAATAATAGCTACAACGTTTGCAGTGACAGCTATACCTTACCTGCACACAAGTAGATTGTTCCACTTAGTGTGCACTATTGCCTACAAAGGGATTAGGGGAGGTTAGCAAGGAGAGTAAAGAGTAAGATCAAGAGTATTAAATCGTTAGCTAGCTTATGTTTTGATAATTCCATACGCATTTAGTTCTCACACGACAGAAGGAAATTGAAGAGTAAAGTAATTAATAGAGAGATTATTAAAGGGAGAAGGAAACGCTGTTGAGACCGTCTTCCCCAACTGCGACGTCCGTGGATGCTATTTCCACTACAGCCAGGCTCTCTGGAGGAAAGTACAGAACCTCGGCTTCAGCGAAGCCTACCAGCAGGATCCTGAGGTCCACAGATGGGTCCGACGAGCAGCAGCACTCCCCCTCCTCCCAGTGGCCATGGTACAAAATGCCTGGATAGAGGTCATGGACGACGCCCCTGCCATTGGACAGAAGGATGAGTTCCAGGACTACATCACCAGCACCTAGGTAGACGACCATGCACGGTTCCGAGCCGGACTATGGAATCACCACGACACCAGCGGCCCAAGGACGAACAATCATCTCGAGGGTTGGCATTCGCATCTCAACAAGACCGTCCAGAGAGCCCACCCGAACATTTTCGCTCTTGTGAAGGTTCTGCAGAAGCTGGAGAAAGCGGAGAGAAATAAGCTGGTGCAGATGGCTCATGGCTTCCTGTCCCCCACCCAAGAGGGGCGTGCACAGAAATTGACCAGAGACTCACTCGTCTGAAGGCCCAGCTGACATCTGGTATCAAGACACCCCTGGAATTCTTGACTGCTGCAGGATATTTGATCAAGCTAGCTTGAAAACCAAATGACTATGTTGATGAATGTGTGAAACTGTGTGTATACATGTAAATTACTTTTGGTTACCACAATGACTTTATTAATGAATGTGGTAGCTGACTGTGTGAAAGATGTATATATGTATATATAATCATGAATCAAATTAAGTTTTAATTACATTTTAATCCAAATAAATGATTATGTTTATCTATGTAAATTTATTTATCTCAAAACAAACTACTATGTGAAAGATATGAATAAAGTTTAAGAAAATTAAGAAAAATATGACAACAATGTGAAAGATATGTATATGAATGTACATATGTATATGAATGACCAAATAAAATGTCTCTCAACATAGAAAGTTACTGTTTTCTATATACTGTAGGCATTAGTGCACTTTGAAATAGGACCATGCCACTTTATTGAAAGGTTGAAGGCAGGTGCAATCAGCAGCACTGGTGCGTAAAGTTGTTTATTTAACACTGTAGGCATTATTCACTGTAGGCATTAGTAGACTCCACCGAAGGCCTAGCTTTGATGAAGAAAAGATCAATCCAAGCCAATCCTAAATTAATAATATAACACTGTCATTTTTCTGTCTATGCCACTAAGATTCTACTGATTGTTCTAGCAGCATTCTAGAAGTTAGTGAGTCTGTTATGAAGCATGTGACTTTACGGATGAAAGCTTCTTGTTTATTGCATGATATCATAGAAAATCATATTTTAACTGAAATCAAAACTGTGAATTGCATTTATCTTTGTGATTTATTTGGATATGATTTCTACATCAAAGTGAAGGTTGAAGAGGAGGGACATATTGTACGATTTACGTAGGAATTAAGTACCAAACGTAGAATGCCGACATATTCTCCCATAGATGTAGTGCATATACGTTTTAGTTTTGGTGATAGAAGATACTGTTGGAAAGGCGACCGACTCCGGTTGAATGTGATACAATTTGGTCATGTGGTCACAATGTTTATAGAATGTATATGTTTTTTAAAACTGCAACATCATCACAGTGTGGAACTGACCACATAGTTAGCTGACGCCCAAACAACAGCTGGATTAAAACAGTAGCCTGCGCATGTGACTTTATAGATGACAGCTTCTTGTTTATTGCATAGCGCGACATATTGTAGATTCCTACACTGGTATCTTACACTAGCTTGATAACAGTGGAAGAATCTACACTCAGTCAATAAACAAGAAGTCATCCATAACGTCGTATGCTTCATTAAGGATTCTACTGGTAAATGAATGAACAAACACAAGGTGTTATTTTCAAAGTGAGAAAGTTTACATTATCATCAATTTTTGAAGCACTTTTGCCACATATTGTCACCTCTTGCTACATATTGTCACCTCTTGCTACATATTGTCACCTCTTGCTACATATTGTCACCTCTTGCTACATATTGTCACCTCTTGCTACATATTGTCACCTCTTGCTACATATTGTCACCTCTTGCTACATATTGTCACCTCTTGCCACATATTGTCACCTCTTGCTACATATTGTCACCTCTTGCTACATATTGTCACCTCTTGCTACATATTGTCACCTCTTGCTACATATTGTCACCTCTTGCTACATATTGTCACCTCTTGCTACATATTGTCACCTCTTGCCACATATTGTCACCTTCTGCTACATATGTCACCTTTTGCTACATATTGTCACCTGTTGTGATGGCGGACAATGAATGTCAACTGTATTTTCAACATTTTTCACAAATTAATTTCCCGATATGGCTATTATTCACCAAAGAAAATCGTTAACCAAGATGAGTGAGTGAGTTTGGTTTTACGCCGCTTTTAACAATATTCCAGCAATATCACAGCGGGGTACACCAGAAATGGGCTTCACACATTGTACCCACGTGGGGAATTGAACCCGGGTCTTCGGTGTGATGAGCCAACGCTTTAACCAGTAGGCTACCCCACTGCAACCTAACCAAGATGAAAAAGAGTAGCCTTGTAATTCATGTTAAAAGTTACAATTAGCCTAACTCAAGTTACAAGTTACATGTAGCATGCCTGCCATAAAATTGGTTTTATACTACATCAGCAACTTTCAGCTATTAACACAGGATAAGTCATGAACAAGACGATGTAAATGGATCGGGCGTTAAGATCAGTAGTATGCATGATTGTATGTTATCATATGCAGTGTGCAAAATATACACTGGTCCTGTGGTCCATGACTAGCAAAAATTCATCAGGACCATTAAATGATAAGTTTGCAGTGGTTCTGGTGGCCAGTGAATTTTTCCCCCATCTAAATAATTACAATTGTCTTTAAAGTAAAAAGTGAGTTATACTCGCAAGTTGAAGCACATGGGGAAACAGGAACCAGTTTTACATTCACAATCACTCCAGTGGACCAGTGAAGTACAAACAGAACCACTAATTATTGTCCGCTTACAGGTGCTCTCGTCTAGTGGGAAATTTTGAAAGGTTTCTAACACTGCATTTATCATATACTCAACAACAAAAGTTAAGGACCATCCCAATAATCAATATTTAAGTATTATATGGATAATAATATGAACTATTAAATACTTTAATATTGAAAATTGGGGAGGTCCTTAACATTTTGGAGGGTTGAGTATATATGACAACATGGGACACTCCTCATAATATCAACCACTAGTTTATTTGGACAGGACTCAATTATTTACAGACCACAGTCTTGTAGCTGGAATAATACTGACTACAGTCTCAAGCAAACTGAATGGTTGATAAGACAAATAAAACTGACTGATCAAATTGATGGTAAAGAAAATCTATATCTTATTATCATTTCCTTGAAATGATTCAACAGACTAGTGTTGGGAATTGGTTGAAACCTCACAATTGATGATTGGCTCCTCAACCAACAAGCAAGTATAAAATAAATTGGTTAGCGTAATTTTTCAGGTTTTCCTGTTCATGTTGTTCATGCGGATATGGATAAAGAAAAAACATGTGGTTTTCTGTTGCTTTTAGTTTCATTTAGAAACTGTGCAAATTTCACATCCAATGTAAAATGATGCAAATTGCTTCTTTAAAGTTACCGTGAATCCTCGTATTTAAGCCCTGGGCTTAATTTCGAATTTGACCCATTTCATCTAAGAAACATTTTTTATGAAATTAAGCCCTGGGCTTAAAGAGAGAAGGTAAAATACAACAAAACGTTGTTCTTATTAACTTTTAATGGAACGAATCTTATTCCGTGAACAAATTCAATCATCTTTTCAACATAACTATTATAATTTGAGAGAACTCTTTTAAAATTCAAACTTTGAGAATGTGACCATCCATGCAAATGCCCAAGACCACGGTTAATCTGTTCTTATCGTGTCCAGTAGTGAGATCATTCTAAAAGTAATTTCCAATTTAAGCCCAAATGACAGGGCTTAAATACGAGGATTCCCGGGATGACTACTGTATCATGAGCATAAATTACCTGGAGTCTTAAAAAAATATTCAGTCATGACTCTTCAGTAAGTGAAGTGAGTTTTATAAGAATTAAACACGTTTTCAGCCCTGACAACTTCTAAGATATGTTCCATCGTCAAGTGTTTCAAACACTAAACGAGTATTTCCAAAATTGTTTGTGTTCGATTATGAGAAAATGTGATCGACTGCTTGGTCGTTTGGTCACTGCGACCAATCTTCAATTATTTCAATTAACTGGAACACCACAACAACATACCAGTGTAAAAATCACAATCATAAAATCAATTGAATACATGTTCATTATCCCTGGTTTGACCTCCTAAGTTTTCAAGGATTAAAACATTTAAAGGCTACAACTATAAAATCAAACATGACAAAAACTGTTAGCTGTTTAGTATGTGATCAGATGTACTGTAGACAAATGGTAGAGTTTCCAGATACTACAAACTGCTCATGAACGTGATGAATGGAAAAACAGGAGAGCAGCATAATGACATCCTCAAATAAAACTTGCAATAACTATTTACCAAGTAGGATTCATGTGTCATTTGAATTTTGTATGGAACGTTTAATGCACAGCTTTTAAATATAGAAACTTTAAGCACTTTATGTACCTAAAATGGTGAGGTGAGGTGAGGTGAGGTGAGGTGAGGTGAGGTGAGGTGAAGTTGGGTTTAATGTCGTGCTTGAGAATATTTCGCTCATATGATACATGCGTGTGGATGTGGATGTGCGGCTGCTTGTACTAGCCCCAGACTTAAGCTGGTTTTATAGTGCTAGCCTACTGAGATGCCATGCCGCAGTGAAGCATGAATACCCCACTCAGACACATTATACTGACTCCGAGCCGACCAGTCCTTGTTGTACCCATTAATGCCGAGCACCAGTCAGGGACCAACAAGTACCATATTTTAATGACTTTTGGTATGACGCGGTCGGGGATCGAACCCGCTACCTTCCGCTCTCCGGGCGGACGCTCTAACCACTACACCACGGAGGCGGTCCTAAAATGAAAAGCCCGCAAATAGAAATATAAAGCAAAAAGGTCCATGACTCCATGGCCCTGTTCCACAAAATGGGTGATTAAACCACCCATGCTATAACACCGACTTAATACAGTCATACCTCTATGATCGCTTTCTGGGACAGAGCCTAGGTATATATATCATAACAAAATTGGGATGACTTCTTTCAGTGGCATTGTTTAGAAGTTGGAGAGTGATATACAGAAAAACTTTATGGATAAACAACTTCTTTATTCACGTTCTTGTTGTTTTAGTTAATTATTTACTGTATATATAGTCACCTGTTATCTACCTTACTCATACTTGCTTGACAACGATACAAGAATCTGTATCGAAACGTCGCATCTACCGAATAAAGAAGTTGTTCATCCATAAAGTATGTCTTTATAAAATTGGGATGGATAATATCTGTTAGTTAAAGTTAGGATAATAAATTATCCAATTATAAAAGCGGCCTTACACATTCAGGATGTTCCCCTTCAGAGAGAGTGTTCGTCTGACTCCTCCCCGGCGAGGTTCCTCATCCACACTGAGCGTCGTGTGAGCTATCTCTGCTTGCCTCTGTGTCGGGGAACGGCACCTTCAGATCACTTGTATTTGTCAAGGATAAACGTTACAGTTTTCAAAGTCTATCTGAATATCTTTCCTCACTGTAAAAACAAACTGCAACAGTTTTTGTCAACTATACATTCCAATTAGAATGGGAACTTTCACATCAAAATGATACCACTTCGCATTAAAATCTGACATCACCCTAATATGAAGCACTCAGTAAACACATGAACTTTGACCTCCCGATCAAATGAAGGACAAATCGGTTTTTGAGCCAGATGTCAGCTTTCTTGAAGGCCATACCAATTTCATTGAGAAATTTCACTTGTACAAAAGTCTATCCACACAGAACATAACTATTCCTTCAATGGTACTCAACTGTATGTGTAGATGCCATGCCAGGTGAATGGATATAGTTTTACACTGCTTATAGAAATATTCCAACAATATCATGGCATGTGAAACAAGAGATGAGCTTTGCACATTTTACCCATGGGGAAATCGAACCTAGGTCCGAACCTAGTAAAAATTCATCAGGACCATTAAATGATAAGTTTGCAGTGGTTCTGGTGGCCAGTGAATTTTTCCCCCATCTAAATAATTACAATTGTCTTTAAAGTAAAAAATGAGTTATACTCACAAGTTGAAGCACATGGGAAAACAGGAACCAGTTTTACATTCACAATCACTCCAGTGGACCAGTGAAGTACAGACAGGACCACGTATTATTGTCCACTTACTGGTTCTGTCGTCTAGTGGGCAATTTTGAAAGGTTTCTAACACTGCATTTATCATCGAAGCTGGGTCCTCAGCGTGGCTACTAGGCTACCCCATTGTTCCCATGGCATTCAGAAAATACAAAACTACATCGTGATGATCATGGTGAGCAGAGATGCCAACACTAAAGTTTTGCAAATAGTGTGTGTGTTAGTAGGATTTTATGCCGCTTTTAGCAATATTCCAGCAATATCATGGCGGGGAACACGAGAAATGGGCTTCACACATTGTGCCCATGTGGGGAACCCGGGTCTTCAGCGTGACAAGCGGGCACTTTAACCATTTGGCTACCCCACCACCCATTGCAAATAGTAGTTTCAAGGACCATAATTAGTAGTTTGACCAAAAATTAGTAGTCAACTAAATACACAAAATCATGTAAATCTGGTAAAGACACAATTGACAATATATAATATTTACCCTAAGATTAATTTTATCAATTCAAAATATGTAAAGTATTGGTGACGAGTTTGCCTAGACAAGGCTGAAATTCTTGTCTGCTTGCTTGTTTGTTGTTTAACACCATACTCAGCAATATTCCAGCGGTTGGTAAATATTCTGGACCAGACAAACCAGTAATCAACAGCATAAGCATCAATATATGCATCCACGATAATCTCCAGGGTATACGTTACGATCACTCTCCACTATACCCTGGATGCGTCTTAAATTATCTAACCGTTTAAACTTGGCAACACAATTGATGCAGAGGTACTCTGAATGAAGTAGAAGGAGTTCTTTCATATATTCTTTTTAAAGTTTCAGATCTGTGAATTTGTCTTTATTATTTCCCAAAAATTCCAAGTGGCACTGCGAACAAACCTTTGCAACTGCAACTGCAATCTTTGTTGACACTGGCAAGCTCGGATGTAACGCGGCTTAGCTGATTGGCTATTGTGAGAATGCGGAGCCAGCCAAGGGAGGTAATAAAATCATCGCCCCAAGCCGTGGATGCATCCAGGGAATAGTGGACAGTGATCGTAACGTATACCCTGGAGATTATCGAGGATGCAATATATGCAACTGGGATACAATGACATGTTCTTAACTAAGTCAGCGAGCCTGACCACCCGATCCCATTTGTCACCTTTTACGACAAGCATGGGTGACTGAAGACTAATTCTAACCCGGATCTTCACAGATCCAACTTTTGTCAGCATGCTCTGTGCCATTTTGAATCATTTCAGGTGAGCTCCAATGTGCATACCCCACTGAAAGCCCAAGGTTTTTACATCACTGATGACATGAACAACTTGATTAAGCTCGTGATCATAACGATTCAGTGTTAATGATTTTGGTTTGTTGTTCAGAGTGAATACATAATTAATTCCATTTGCAAACCTTGTATCAAAGAAAGCAGTTTCTGTGACCTAACATGCCTCTTAGACCAATAGGGTAAGTTGAACATGGGTTAACAGTGACAGAAATTGGCACTAATCCTTGCCAAACTCACAAGCTGATAGGAGACTACAACTACTGATATAATGTTTAGGATATTGCTGCATGTTATCACCACAAAGATTCATTGGACTGAAAATGTTAGTTTCTATCACTGGGCTTAGGGCATAACTTAGGTAGACACTCGAGGGCTTATCACAAGGTAGACAAGCACTAATTAATTATGATAGTGCCCATAGTTATAGATTTGACTACTCAGATTAAATCACCAGCCTTGCCTTGGTTCAGTGAGCAAAGGGGGTTGATTCCCCAACACTGATGTGAAAGTACTTAAAATCCGAAAAAGTCTGTGCCAGTAAAGTAGAGGCAACGGACTGAACGGGTGCAGGCTAAAACAGAACCACGTCAAAACGGTACCAAAAACCAATTGGCGAAAACGGAACGACTCTGGCGAAAACGGAACCAATTTTCTCTGGCGAAAACGGAACCACATTATTAAAAAAATATGGACACCAAAACACTATATTTTTTTTTTATTTAACACGATCATTTTATCGCATCAATAACGATACACTGAACAGTTCACTAGTTCAATAGGCTGGTTATGTCAACATAGTTCACTAGTTCGTTAGGCTGGTCATGTCAGCATAGATGTTTTCATTCTTGTACATTTTGACGAATGACCACTTCTAATATAGCATGTATCATGCCATTTAGTTGTAACAGAGCAGTCATGAGTTGTTGTTTTAATGAAGCTTGTCAACCCATCAAAGACGCCGCTGTTTTCTTTGGAATAATATGCATGAGGCGTGTTCATTAACTAATGTTTTTAAAATGGGTATAGTCTCTAATATTAATTAAACAATGTAAGGCTGTGCAGTGTGACCGAGCACAACGCCAGTTTGACCAAGAGCCGAGAGGAGCAAGTCGATTCAACTTCAAGACCCTGTCTCGCGGGTGGGTCGGTCGATCCCTCAAACCGTCAGCGTGTCACGCTTAGCTGCATGGCATCTGCTAAACACCAACACTTTCGCGCGACAATAGATGTACCTCTTTCCTATGTTACTTCCTAAGTCAAAAAGATACACACTGAGATTTCCTTCCATATCGTCGATTGTTTATCGCTGAACTACAGATTTGTTTTCATTTTGCCATGTGAAACTCAATCAGGAAGTGATGTAAACCGGAAGTACTTCTAGAATGCTATTTCCCAACCAACATATCTCCGTGTATATTTTAAACATAAGGTGTCAGCTGAAATTGAAAACGACATTTCTTATATTGCAGGAATTTCACGTTTCAACCGCTTTATGTCATTTCCTACGAGGATATTTGCATAGAAAAAATTGTAACAGTTACGTATCGCGATACGTTTACATGTACCGGTTTACTGACAAATATTGTTTTGTTCAATTTTAACTCACATGAAACTGATCTAGTTCATCCTTTTTACCGAGGCTACGTTGTCATTGTGAAGATGTGCGATGTTGAAGGACAAAGCTATCTTCCTGTCTCCTCCTTGCTATGATATTATAATGGATGTTGTGACCCGCTGGAATAGTGCCTATGACATGATGGCAAGATTCCTGGAAATGCTGTGTGCTGTCCTTACAGTGCTGATGGACAGAAAAGGGGACAAGTGCAAAGGTGATTTGGCCACATTATCCGCTGAAGAAGCTCGACTGGCAGACCATGTGATAAAGTTCTTGGAACCTATGAAGGACATGGCCACAATGCACAGAAAACTCCCCTATATTGTGTAAGCAGATACCATATAATTATATGGTCTCTGATGTAAGTCATCATGCCATTGAAACATCATTTGATGAATGTTGCTGCCTTTCCTCAAGATTACGACATTCCTACAATTGTTGAAATAAAACGCATAGTGGCAACAGAGTTTCAACCAAGGTATAGTCTGTTTCATCCTCGATAATCTCCTGGGTATACATTACGATCACTTTCCACTATACCCTGGATGCATCCACATATACCCTGGATATTATCGAGGATGAGTCTGTTTGGGCCAAAATGATACGGATGAATCACAATCTAACTCCAAATCGGTTCATGATCAAACATTCATTTCAACGCAGAATGTAATGAAAACATCAGACCAGAGACCATGTAATCTATTATATGGTCTCTGATCAGACCAACTCTGGTTTCGTAACGTCTGTCTCCAAAATAAAAAAAGTTACAAACTATCCTAATTTTGTTTTGATTTTCCGTGTGAAGTTTTACGAGGGTAATCTAAAGTACTGACGGAAAAAGAAAAAAACCCTGTTTTTAGGCTGTTACTCCGCATTGCTCATTTCTGCACTAATATTTCCTCAGTGAAATCCTTTTTTTGAACGTTTCATATCTCCCTACCACTGAGACTGTAGTTAGTTCAGCAGATATTTCACACTTTCACATATTAACTACCTAACTTGTAGATATAAATGTGAAAAAAACAGTTTTTTTTCTATTTCTGACAGTACTTTAACAGTAGTACTGTCGGAGGAACAGCCTCAAGGGCGGGAAGCACGTACAGCTTAGGATGTCAACATTTAGGGGTTGTATCAAAACTCTTCCGGACCTGAATCTATCAGTTTCTTGTTAAATGGTTCTGTGGAGGAGCTATCTACCCATTGTGTGCTTGCAGTGTGGCTGGTGTTCACCCTTGTTTCATCCAAAAACACTGGTTCGAATCCTTCTTGACGTTTTTGTCTGATAGTGCGTAAGTATGTGTTGCGTAATCGCACGATATCAGCTCTTTCACCTAGCACCCGCCTGTTTTCCCCACTTACCACTTTGTAACGAAACCCAAATGTATCCAAAAGTTTCAGTAACTGATATATGGATATAGTCAACGAATGTCCTGTATCCATGTGTTTTCGCAAAATGTGTAAGGCAGCACAACTGCACATGCAGTGCGTTTAACAAATTTACCCAAGGCATGTTTAAGGCGACCCCATTCCATCGGAAAATTTACAACATTAAACGTTAAGTAGTATAATAATCGCCGTAATATTACGTAAAACCGTCTGAAGGCGAAGTCATACGTACATTATGTAGACAGCTGTAAGGAAGCTACGACATATGACTAACGCATGCCCATCTGTCAATTAGTCCACTTCCGGTAGCTCGTGTCAACAGCAAGTGGAATTTACGCAAGTTTATTTATTGTCAAACCGAGAAATCCCTGGGTTTTCTTAACATGATTTTGTGGATCAGGAACAAGGAACATGTATTATAGATGATTGGAGGCAGTTCTCATTTCTTAAACTGTTTTTAGTGACATTGTAGTATACAACAGACTGCTCAAAATGGGTATTTTGTTCTCGAAGCTGTGGAGTTTGTTCACAAATGAAGGTAAGTTTAAAAACCACCCTTGAATGTTTTTCCACGTGTAAAATATAACTGGCCTTTGTGAACACGAGAATCAAGGTTTCATCCAGGTTGGTTAATTTCATTTTGGAAATGAGTAGTTTCTTAATTTCACCGTCATTTGGCATGATATAAAACCGAAAACGTTCTGATTTGTTACGTCCAATTTCGATTTGTACAAATTAAACATTCCACAATATTTCTGTTTCTATTTTTCTGTTTCCATTTTAATGTACTAATTCAAATGTGTGTCAAATGGCCAGCTGCCCTCTGTCATTATGAAAGATGTTGATTGCTTGTACTCATAATATTAGTTGTTTTCGTGTATTGTTGTGTTTGGATGCTTGAGACACATTGGATTACTTGTTAATCACATGAACAACTCTTAATTGTCTCCGTAACTTATGAAACACAAGTTTATCTGTATACCAAGCCATCATCCAAGTATTATATTGTGAGTAAACAAGTCCAACAACGTATGACATATGAACACGTATAATCCAGCAATGTGACCATATATGACTGTAAAGTCATATTAGCAGAAAGATCATAGTTATTATTACTACTCTTGCACAGTTTTATCTCAAGTTAAATCACCTAATTCTGGGTAGACCTGCCATCTGTAATATCACATGCCTATTTCCATACATGTCCAAAACCCATAAAAGAGATTGAAAAAGTATAACAGAATGTAAACAACATTACTAATATTATGGTAAAATGAGTTAGATGTTCTCTTTATTGTTAGCTTTATGACTTGTATGCATTATGTTGACTGGTACTTCATGTTGTAATAGCTTTGAGCGTGGTCATCAGAGCATGACAGAAACCATTGACAGGCTGAAATCGGACCTCTTTGTACTACGTCAGCTGAAGGAGTGTCTTTACCTTTTGAATAAGACGTATGATGATACAAATCTTTATATATGTTCCACCCATTTATTGACAAAGAAATTACGAGTCAACAGCTCTTTGATAGAAACCTCATGTAGAAACTATAATCATAAGAGTGACAGACGATCTCATATTGTCATATGTAAAAGATGTTTGGTATATCTAGAATATGTGGCTCCCAAAATGTAGTTCCAATCCCCTGTGTGTGAAAGTCTTGATTTGTTTGTATGTGAAAATCAATCAAGTCACTATATGATGAAAAACAAAAAATAATTATGCATCAATTTATAAAGATTATGAACAGATTATTCTGAAAAATATTGATCTTGTGTATCTAGGTTAACAGTGAAAGAAGGATCATTGTTTGCCATTGAGCTTCAACCTTGATAGTGTTTATATAAATACTTTTCTGAAGCGTTCTATTTTAAATAGATCAACATTTCTCAGGGGTAGTAACTAGAAAGCTGTTTTTATAGAAGGTGTTAATGTATATTTGTGATGGCAAATACCAATCCTGTTCTGTACACTTGACTTTTTGCAAGAATTGTTTGCTTTCATTTGAGTAAGAAGTAAAAATATTCTCGGGTACATTGTGTTCATGTTACAGAAGTTGGCATCTTTAGATTTCCCATTTATGGGTATCACTTCTAAATGCCATTCTGGGACTTATTGTGCTAGTTCCATTCATGAATTGGAAACGGTGTGTTTTGGTTGGACATAATTATTCCTCATGTCACCGATCTCAAATCAATACTAAAACTGTGTCAGGGAGCAGGGTCCTATATAAAAAATATGTATTTATAGTTAATGAAGAGATTCAAACATGTTTAAGCTGTTGAAAACTTCAAAGTCAGTGCTGTTTTGCTTGGTCAAGCTGGTTCCCTGTAAGGAAATTTGCTTCAATGTCCATCTGAAACATATGAAATAGTACTTGCATCATCATTATCCAAACATTCTCTCGAATCAACCCATCTTGCTAGTCTCATGACCAGGCACTGGACACTGGCCATTGTTCCACTGCTGAGAATGCCCTGAGGAAATATGTCAACATGATCAAAGTGCTGTGACTATGTAAGTGACCACAGTAAACGACCAGATCAAGGCCATGATACATGTGGTGGTTGTGATAACAAGGTCATGCAATTGTTGATCTGGGGACAGAGGTGAAGGTACTTGGCAATACAGTTGTGTTGAATTTTCTGGAAAACTTCTCCATGGGTCACCATGGTTACTCGTTTGTGTTCATTGTGTGAAAAGTTTAAAAGATCATTATTTGGGAAATAGAGATCATGACTTCAGGTTGAACAAGATTTGATGCAGATAGCAGCCGCAGGCTAGTGGTTTTCCTTGAGGATAATTAATTTGTTGCTGAAAGTGAAACAGCAGGCAGTTTACATGTACACTGTTCTCGGACAGGATGGATCTTTGTTCTCGAAATGGATCACTGGATTGTTTGGTACAGACATGATGTTTGCTGTCATTTAGCTTGAGTGCCATGATGCCAAACCTGTGTTAAACTGTTGTCTCACTATCCATGGCTGACACTATAGATACATGATATTCGACATATTTTATGCATCCGACATCTGTAGCCATGCTGTGTAAGTGATAATTGTGTCAGTCAACATGGCTTCCCAATCCCACAGATTCTGTATGCATAGGATGACAAGGCTGTGGCATATTGATGTGCAATAAGTAGAAGTAGGGCTGGGGCGATTCACCGATGCACAGATACATCGCGATACATTTAAGTTTGATACAGCTATCGTATCATCGACTGATGTATCGATACAAAACGATACACAAGTTTTTTCAAAACAGTATTATCTTAAACATGTTAAAGTACTTATCTGAGAAAAATACGCAAGTATATATGATAGAGTTACTCGTTTGTTTATAACAATAGTGTTATTGTTATTCACAAATGCCGTGAAATAAATCATTTTAAACCTTAATACTGTGTCATTCTTTCAAGGTGTATGTATCGTGATACGTATTGTATCACAGGTAAAATATCGTGATGTGTATCGTATCGTGACATAGTGTATCGTCCCAGCCCTAGCTATAAGTCTACTATGGACGTGATATATAACTTCCCGTAAAGCCAGACACATGAAGACCTGGTTAAAACTGATCTTCATCAACAGATGCTTGTTTTAAGAGGCGACTAAGGGGATTGGGTGGACAAGTTCTCTTAGTTGGTTGATGCATGTCATCGTATCCCCACGTTCTAGATCGATATGATATAAACCACGTGATTGTCTGGTCTGTGTCTGGACCACCCGAATATGAATGGAATATTGCTCTGTGCAGTGTTAAACAACAAACTAAAACACCCTTTGTTCCAGTGACAGTATCAAAGTAATGTTTGAGTGTCACATGCAAAGGAAATTTACGCCGAAGGGGTCATTGTCGGCACAGGTACTACAGATACGTACCCCAGGTACGTTTCTGTATACAGATATGTACCCTGAACAAAGTCAAAATACAGAAACGTACCCGGTACCCTAAAAGGCGGACGAGTCCATATTCCGCAATCCAAAACCGAAACCGTATGTAGTTGTTCCCGTTCAACTGATTCCGAGTGGTGTTCATGTGCATCGCGAAATATCCGTTACTGTGTATTCTCATTACTTAATAACGCAATCAAATGTATCTAATACAACAGTATGACAGTTCCAGTGAAGAATACGACACAATGGGAATGGAATCGTCCTAGGGTACCTTTCTGTATTCTCATTATGGCCAGCGTACGTTTCTGTATACAGAAACGTACCTGGGGTACATATCTGTAGTAGCCGTGCCGACAACGACCCCTTTAGCGAAATTTACATGACGGTCTCTGTTACTATTCTTATTGCCAAGATTTATGCGCATGATGTCATTCACTGGATTGTCTGGTCTAGACTAGATTGTTTACAGACCGCTGGAACACTGCTGTGTGTAACATTAAATAACCCACAAACAAACATTAACTGATCAGCAAACTTAATAGGAAGAACATTTTAATAAGCAAAACCACAGCCAGTTTTCCAAGCACCTGAGACATACATCGAATATGGTATGTCAATTTGATCAGTAAAGGCATCTATGAGTTGGGCCCATTTTCTCCGCTCCCCCCATTCAGGTTACGTTGACCAGAGCATGTACTGTGAAAGCTGGTTGAGTGTTCTCCTTACACCAGCCTAACCACTAGAAGTGTAGCAGCATGTTATATCATTACACATATATCATCTCCTCGGATGTCCGACACCTGATACTGCACATTGATTGGTGTGTCTCCGCAACCTGTCTGACGGGATCATTACCTCTGTGAGAGCTGGCTTGTAATTGTATACCTTGTGTTGCAGTATTGAGTTAGTTCGATATGTCAGCGGTAGAAGGAACCTGTTCACTATCGAAACTGTGGTAACATGTACATGAAGTGATCTATCTAGATTTGCTCACAGGCCAATATTCGGCCTGCCAGTGGCAGGAATAAATCCTAAATAATACAATTTTCCTAATTCTTGTAGTTCTTGTTACTCTGGTTACGGGATATTGAATGATGAGCGGTGTTACAGATTTGTAGGAGTGACTCGTATTCAACTGATACCAGGACCCCAGAGGAGGATCAGGACTCTTCAGTTATGAAGTCCACACTGTTGCACTGTATGCAGTGTTTACAGATCTCCCAATATGAGAAGATAACAATTAAAACAATAATACATATTTGACAATAATGACATTTTCACTGACTACTTGACAAGAGTGATCAGATAATATCCTGATGTAGGTAAACTAAAATTTGTGCCCTAAGTATACCTCTAGCGTTACCAAGATGCAGGACTTGATGTCCAGAGCCGCACCTTGCCGGTTGACTCCCAGGTGTCCAACTCCCATCGTTTGGTATTATGTAATTATTATAAAATCCTGCTGAGGCTAATCAGCGCCTCCAGTGGGACAATATTAATCTCCTCCTAAAAGTCTAATTATCTGGCTGGGTGTCAGGCTAGGGGGAGGTGTGTTAAGGCTTGTGTATACAGGGAAGCCATTAGTGTCCCCTGACACCTAGACGGGGGATGTAGGATAGAGGGGTGTGTCAGGCTAGG